CCTTGATCAGCATAGATCAGACTATATTTGATAGAGACTTAGTCAAAATATCTCTTATGCTCCTTTTGGTTTGTTGGGTAACCCAACTAAAACAGATAGCGGCGACAAAAGTACTTCAAAATTATGGCAAGACAAAGGCACCTTGTATCTATTATTGTTAGTAGCCGTGCATTGCATTCCATGCGAATATACTTTACTGACATCAAGTTTTATAAACCTGTTTGTTTTAGGAAGTTCGTCAGCGTTACGGTATATACAAAATGTCATCGGATTTTATTTCTTGTGCAACATTTATGTAATCACACAATAAATTGACTAAAAACTGGTTTTTGTTAATGATTTAACGTACGAAAACAGTAAGTGATCAGCTAATGAAGTCATTAGGTAAAATAACTTGTATTATAATGTCTTGAAATTGTAAGACCTGTTCTATTTTTAGTATCCACTTTTCCTTGATGGCCATGTTGAAGTTAGTGCAGTAAAATTTACAAGATTTTGGTCAATATTTCTTGTTAACTGATCGTTGTAATTCAGCATCAGCATTATAACTATCTATTTTAATAAACCAGTATGTTTAATATTTTTTTAAGTTAAATACTTTCGTTTGATACTTCAATATTTTTATTAATTTTATGAATAGAATTAGGATCAGATTTCATGTTAATTATTACTTGAGGTTGGTAATTGATTGTTGGGTACTGCTTCCGCGGAACAAATTATACAAATTATTCGCTACGTGTTCATTGTTTCGCAACCCGCAATGCTCTGATTGCAACGCCATATACAAACGCGCTTGTATCTCGTTCGTTTTGCAACTGCACCATAAACGGCTCTATGTAAACTGATAAATTGCAGCAACATTGTCAATGCTAAATATTTACTCGCTTATTATTAGGTATTCAAAATTGGCCACAATCGGTATGATCTGTGGGTCTTTGGGATATTTACTCGAAATTTGGATTAAATAATGTTGTTGCTTTCCTTACTTTAAATTCTTACAAATAATAAGTATAATATTGTACAATTGAAAGCGGCAATAAATGAGGACGAATGAAAGTCTTGCTGGAGCATAACTATATAAAATTGAAGTGCATTAACCAGAGCCAATGTCAAATAATTCTCTGAACTGTGATTACTCGGTAAGTTTGCAACAACTCGCGTTTAACATTGAAACTGTGAAAAATAAACCGCTCTCGAGGAACTAGTCGACCCTGAGCTCACGAGTCTCACAGCTGCCGGCGATTTTTTTTTTCTATAACTTGACCGCGTAACCGACCAAGATAAGGAAATCAATCTACCAAATGTGAATGCTAATAATACAATCATTGTAATTCTTAAAACTTAAACAATAAAATCAAATTTGCAGTGACTGTAATAAATGTTAACATAAAAAGTGAATTAGTGCCAAACGGAATGATCTCATGAGAAGTGAAGTGATAAAGTGAAATAAGTGATGATGAAAAATGGTATCGGAAAGGCCTCCGATATACGGAGGGGCCGGTCCACCGATAAGGCCGCGGACTTTACGAAGGAATTGTGGCGATCAAGGTACTGTTGGTTTCGAAATTGAAAAGTCTCCAATACTGAGCTAATGCCTATAACTTGTACATAAATTACAGCATAGACCGTGCACAAACGAATAAAGATTACTTAGCATGTAAATATATTCCAGTAGAATGTAGTTTTCGCATGCCGGAGCTCTATTGCACTTGCTCAATTGTATGTCGTGAGCTGACAAATATTTGCAGTCAGTGCTTAGTAAAAAAAAACTCTCAAGACGATACAATATAGTATTGAAAAGTGTCGCTAAAGGTTTTCCTTCTTTACTACATAGACATGGCTCAGTGTTGTGAGATGTTTTCTATTTCGGTTCTCATGCTCTCACGATTATGATTCAGAGAATGTTACGATACCTACAGTGCCTTATTTGCCATTTTCTATAGTGTTCATAACTTCACCGTCGACGGTCTACATCGACACGAGCGTGAAATGCCCTTACTACAGCCAGAACGATGAGGATGTCAAATGTTTTCCACGCAGACGCACAGGGCTGCTCGAGAAGATCAAATACATTGATGTCTTGGAGCATCAATGCTGGCTCAACATCAGGACTGTGTCGAAACATGGAGAAATCGAAATACAAGATCTCATTGCATTTATTGGTAATTGTCTTATTTGATAATATTGTGGACCACGATTTGTGATTGCTTTAATTATCGATAACGTAGCATACAGCAGCATACCCATCATAAGAAAAATATCACATTATAGACTTTACTTGTTACAATCGACGGATATGGTTGGTATGGTATGCCATGTGTAATTCACAACAAGTTCCAAAACAAAACATCGTATTTAGCGATTATTTGGATACTCCGACATTGCTTGCACTGTTATGGTTAACGCGATCTTAAGTGTGCACTTTTCCCAACTTTCTAGTTCGTTTAAAAACAGTCACACTACGTTATATTGCTTATACTTCTGTTATTAGGTAATTTATTTTTTTATTAGTTCCAATACTTTGCCGATCATAGCGCATTCCTCTAGCCAAGTTATTTTAATTTATTGTTATTGGCATGACCAAAATCAATTGCGCCATAAAAGCATCGATTCAGAAGCAAAAGCCTTTCGTAGTTATTTACCAATCGATGAAAATGGTGAATTTAAGTCCACTTCATCGACTGGTTTAATTTCATATAATTATTACACATTACTGTCTTAAAAACGTTTTATTCTAAGTATTTCGGGTTTCGTTTATTCTATTTCTTCACCCACACAAGTAACTTCAGGACCCAGTGGATCTTTTCCGAACATGTTAAAAACCTTGACATTAACAATTATTGTCTAATTATTATCAATGATATTATTATCAACACAATAAGCACTGTAATACAAAGCATTAGGCAACTCAAGTTGTACATTGCGAGACTGGTAATTTCTCTAAATAGTTTTATTGTTAAAGATAACACGTCACTGTTCTTTACCAGGTAGAACAAAACAATTTAATTAATTATAAGTTAAGTGGTTGCTTAAGCAACCTCTTCTAAATTGGTTTTCCTCGATCTCATTATTTGACTAGTGCGAATATAATATATAGACAGAGGCTGTTAACATGTTTTGATTTTTAACAGTTTTTTTTACAGATGAAAAAAGTCATAGTTAAAGAGAGAAATTGTGACTTTGAGAGTTTGGAGTTTGTATGTATGAGAAGTTTAATATTCGGAATCATGACATTTATTTATAAGATTTCTTAACCATTTCAAAGGTGCATATTTGTTATCGACATAGGTTACTTTTTAACCGAACACCAAGCACAAAAAGGCGCTTATAAGCGCGAATCGGAACATTACTAAAGGTTCTAGATTAAGAAAGCATCGAACAACAACAAAACAACCCAACATTTACCAAACATTTTCTTTGATATATTATCGTAAGTCAGTAGTCCAGGCCTTTACTTCTAACACTGTGTACGCATTGTGAAACATACAAGTACTCGTCAGTAGCGTTGCCACGTTGCCTCATGATAGCGTCCGTCGTGTGACGGCAGGTGTCGGAATGATGACTTGACCACACATTACCCACTTACGTAACCGTATAGGCCTTGACATTTCTATTTTTATTTATTACCGGCGATCTGGGTCATCTAGAATTAAAGAATTAGACCTACCGTATTTCTTTTCGAAAATAAAGCTTCAGTTAAATTCGATATACACGTTCTGAAATTCTTCTTTCTCGAATCTGCGTATCAAATACGATGCCTGTCATTACCTAATTCTCATTACGTCGTAACTCTGAAATAAATATGGGAGTTCTATAACGTTTCCAAAGTATACGAAATATCGTTTTTGGAGAAATTAAATAGGTAAGCCTAGTAAGGTAGTAGATAAGGCCGACTAATTCGAGGCGACCAAAATTTGTTAGAGACGCCAGAACTTAGTAATGTTTCTTTAATTACCTCATCAACTTTTTAAGCTACGTTATATTTCTTGCACTATAATACTCATTACAAATGAACAGACATGTACAGAATTTAAACAGTCAATTATAGTTATCGAATAGGAGAAACAAAGAAGTCTTTTATACAAATATTAAAAGACTGAGAACGATGATACAATAACTATATATTTTACATAAATAGAGCCATTGAATAGCCTAAAAAGCGCTTTCTTTTTAACCTACTCCAAAAAAGGAGGTTCTCAGTTTGACTTGTATCTGTGTATGTATGTCTGTGCGCGATTATCTCGTATTTGGCTGAACCGATTTTGATGCAGTTTGCAGCATAGATCATGATTTTCTTTAATAAGTCGCTTTTGAGATAAGTATTGTTTATCACTTTTTTAAGTTTGAAGTCGGTTCTATTTCTATATTAAATTCCATATCTAATCATGTTCATAAAATGTTATAATTATAAAAAAATAAGTGGAGCTTTAATTACTTCTTTCAGTGTAGTGGCTAAATATCAAATTATTTAAAGATATTATTATGCGTTGTTTTTCTAAATATATTGATCATTTCAATTATAGATTGATCAGAAAAACAAAAATATTGCAGGAAGTGTTTCGTGTATCATGTCTTATCTATTTGTTCTTTTGTAAAAAGTTCTTCCGACTGTTCTTTGGTGAAAGGTTTCTCATTGTAAAAATGCTAGAGACACTGACCACGAAACACTGCATTTATAACCAGACAACAAAAAGCTTTATCAAAGTTGTCTGGCGACTTTCTTTTTCGTTGTCAACATCGGTTACATAATTTTCATGAGCTGTAACTATTTAATTTTAATATTCCTTCTTATTTCCTTCTAAAAAGTGTTTTACGTCATGTAAAAAAAAATATTTTCACTATCATTCAAGAGTTAAACAACTCTTGTCCCTTTCTTTATAGTCTTTATAATTACTAATTACAGTACTACTTTCTCGTATATCAAAGAGTTCAATGTTTGTCAAAGAAAACTTTGCCAAATCGAATGTGAGTATAATAAAGTATGACGTTTCTTCCTACAGAATGTGACAGCAGCGACTCGGGCCACCTGTACGAGTCGTTGGAACCTGCGCCGGCGCAACCAGCACGAACAGCGCCTCTGCCGCCGCTTCCCATCCATGACGATATCGATTCCTTCGACAGTGATTCTGATTTCGAGGAGCTTGACAAGGTACTTAAACTATACATAATTACACCACACTTTGTCATCCTATCAATATTCTATCCTATTAATATACCTATATAAAATACGATCAATAAATAGGTAATCTTGTCACTCGTGAGCACCCACCCACAAAGTGTTTAATTGAACATCGATTCGTTTAGAAACGATGAGTGATTATTATTCTTATCTCACACAGAAAGAGATAAGTAGGCCCAAAGGCCTACCTAATGAATAACGTATGGAGCATGAACTATTAAGTACCTACCGCGGAATCTGTGGGTGTAAACGTGTACAAAAATAGACCGATAGCAAAGTGAGCCTTTCAAAGCAAGCTTTGAACTCCTTGATTTTCTCATAAAAGGTCTGCCTTTCTGATAATCTTTAATAACTCTTCCTATAATCGGCCTCTGTGGATATCTCTTAATCCCTGCTATCTCTTACCCATCACTCCATCAAGTAATAAACAGTGTAGCTTTGTTGTTCGTCCACATATAAAATTTATCAAGTATGGTATTCGGCTTTAAATTTGAATCAAAATCACATCTATTTATTTTTGTAGCGACTATTAACGCAAGTATAGTAGATTAAAATAAATAAAATCTTTCTTACTTTCAGAGTGCGCAAGCGCCACCGCTGCCCGCATCGCGTCTGCCAACGCCACCTAGCGGCGGGCAATACACACTCACAAAAATCGCTAGCGCCGCGCAGAAGAAGATGCGCCAGATCAAACGGAATCTCACCAAACGATACAGTGGTAAATATCGCACCAAATAAAAATGTCTATGACCGTAGCTCTGTCTCTTCACGTAAAAAAAAGTTTTATTCTATTTTCAGTTCCCAATATTATATTTAATTAAACAAAACTGAAAAAAGAAAAACAAAGATATTCCGATACCCGGAATCGAACCCGAGTCTCCTGGGTAAGAGCCAGGTGTCCTATCCACTAAAACATATCGGATGTTAAGAACAAAATTTTCAACTAGCTATTGATTTAAGTATATTATTAGGTTGGAATAAAAAGAAGTAAAATTCATTATAATCATCGTATTCCAAGTTAAACTCTATTATATTTCTTATAACGAATCATCGACATCAGTTTTTCTTAGCTCCGTGACAATTCCCTTATGTACACTAAGCATAGGTTACCATAAAATGTTAAATTTCCAAAAAAATAAGCGTGTCTCATATTGATAATAATTTAATAGAGACATAGAACTAACTGAAACCATCATTAAAAATATCACGCAATATATTCGATAATAGTAAGATTAGTTACATTATTTAATTATATTTTTTTTATAAAAATTTATTAAATTTTTTTTTTAAAAATATTCTTATTATTAGTAAGGCTAATTCGTTTTTTTTAATTATAAATAAATAATATGTATGATGGTTTATTTTACTCTAATCCCGATATTTTTTCTCGACAGTTGCTATGGACGGCAAGCCCTTCAGCAAATCTCAATCGAACGGCATCTACGATACGCCCAAAGTGAAAACTAAATCTCCCATATACGCAAACTATGAACCACCGGAGATTCAGCATCCGTACAGCAATATAAACTTCGACACACGTACTAATAAGACTGATAAACCCGATCCGAAAGCCAACGGGTCTAAAGATGAGTTGAAGACTGCTATCGGGGAAAAGAGGTTCAGCAACGGAGATGTTCCGCCCCCGTTACCAGATAAATTGCCGGGACTTGATGCTCCCGGTACACCGACAGAGAGCAAGAAAGACAGTGGTACTCTGTCGAGAAAGGCTTACTTCTCGTTCAAGTCGAGGTTCAGGAGAGCGACGTCTATGGCGGTGGATATCAATTCGGAAGTCCCAAGCGCACTGAAAATCACTAATTCTACGTTCTATTTGACCGATTCGATGGACGGCGATTCGGGTTTTAGCAACTGGTGGGTACCATTTTTTGTTGTAATTCTTATATCCTTTCCAATGGTGCGAACGTCAAACGTTCATTTAAATTAACTTGTGATTTGACCACTGAATCCTATGCAATATAAAAAAACATTGAATTTAAACTGACATTGGCTTTTTTATATTGACGTTATGAGATATATTATAAGACATACAATTTATTATAATGGCAAGTGAATTGTGAAGATTCAAAAGAGTTTTATTGGTACTTTTTTTTTTTATTGATGGCACCACAGATGTTTATCTTAATATAAACATCTGCTCATATAAATAAAATATAATTCGCTTGACTCACCCACAAAGATATTGTGATGATGATTGATGTTTATATTAAGATACGGTCCCATCGTGATCGAACTAGAATAAGTGACCTGTAGAATGTTATGATGCGCTCAATTGAACTTGTGTTTATGTGCATCAGCTCATATCTAGCGAGATGGAACGTCTCGGTTTCATTGGTTTTGATAGCTCATATATGCCGCTCATTAAAAAAAAAACATTGAATAGTACATACGAGTATGATCGTATGTACTATTCAATGATTTTTTTTTATGATTGAAAATGGTGATATTTATTTAAAGTACACACAACTGTGGATAGAAAAATATGAATCTTTTTGTTTAAGCAAGTGAAGGGAGCTCTAATTTAAACTATTTAGCAAGTATTATTAAGTCATCAGCAAAACATTATAAAAGGCGAAAGTGATAATTTCAACACGATTAAAGGTTTAAATTTAAAATAAGCCGGTTGAACTTAGATAAGATTAAGCTCTGAATCCTAAGTTTATGTTCACGTCAGCCGTATATTTGTTGGTTTAAAGAATATAAAATTATAACACCAGCGCCATCTATTGACAATGAAAACGACTGAAACAGTAACGTTCCATCCGTGTACCGTGTGTGACACTGTGCCGTGTTCGACAGCAGCGACAGCGGGCAGGCGGGCAGCACGGAGACTCTGTCGGGCAGCGCTCGGCGGCGGGACGGTACGCGGCTGCGCCCCGCCTGGGCAGAGTCCACGCCCTGCCTCGCCCCTGCACCCGTCCCTGCACCCGCCCCCCTGCAGCGACCCCGCGCGCCGCCCCCGCCGCCTCCCACCACTCCTGCGCCCTCGCAGACCGACCTTAGCGCTGTCAACGAAGGTAACGTGCAGGCGTCAACTGGACATACAAAACACACTTGATGACCTAACGTAACATCCCTACACTGACACTCGCAAAGTATTTATTTAATAATATGTGATCATATTATTTATCTAATAATGTAAGAGGATGAATATACACAACCAACATATTCATCATCAACCTCATCATCGTCAGCCCTTTTCGTCCCTACTGCAGGGCTCAGGCCTTCCATATGGATGGTTAAGGAGGACGGGCCATGACCCTCCACGCTGGCTCAATGTGAATTGGAGGGTAGTAACGACTGCAAATGCAGCCGGCACCGACGGATTTACGTGCCGTCCAAAGGACGAAGTAGCTCGAGATAATATTTATATACCCATCCCGTGACCGACCTTTGCGAAAGTTGCTTAACGACAACGATTACGGGCCGCGGTGCTTATCCTCTACGTCACCGAGATACAACATACTCAAGTTTTTAAAACTGACATTCGCATACACCACCAATCTAACGAAAACAGTATTTATTTAATAATATGGTGGATTAGATACATACACAACACAGTCAATGACGTAAAAACTTCGGTTTTATGCTATAATATAGTGAGTTGAATATAAATAATAATTACATAACCACACTGGCACTACTAGGACTCCAACGATGATAGTATTTGTCTAATACGTAATGCGTTGGACAATGACATTAAAATACTACATAAAACTCGCAAACACTAAAGCTAACTGATAGTTTTTATTTAATATATAGTGCGTAAAGAGGTTATCTTAAATAGGGAATGGTTAATTATTATATTATAGTCAAATATCGAAACTCTGACGCTCCTAGACTTGACATAAAGTCTACATTTAACTAAAGATTTTTTCTTGCAAAGACTAAACGTACTTCATGTACTTTCGAATTTTTTTCTTTTTGTATAGTTTTGTTTTGAACAGAACGATTTTACTATCAATATATTTATGAGTAATGATGTATTGAACAGACGTCATTTTCTAAATAGGGAATGAGGACAAAATTTGGAAAACGAAAGTATCGCGTCTAAGTATCGTTAAAAAAAAATTCAACCACAACTCCTTCTTAAATCATCAACCACAATATTTATGAGCAATTTTTTACACTCAATGAGTGATGTTCCTCACTTACTGAGTGTGTTATCTGACACATTTAGTGAAATCGCGCTGAGCCCGCATGATGCGTAAGGCCAGTTAAATGGGGAAGCTCTGTCTGTGTCCTAAAGACCTGTATCCCAAATGACGGAATATTCTCTATATATAATCAAATTGTAAGCTAAAAAAAGAAAATATTATGTGTAAATTTTCTTACATTTTCACTCAATAGGAATACAGTGAGTAGCTCGGTGGCGTAGTGGATAAGCGCCGCGGCCCGCGATCGTTATCGTTAAGCAACTTTCGCAAGGGTCGGTCACGGGATGGGTGACCAAAAATTATTATCTCGAGCTGCTCCGTGCTTCGGAAGGCACGTTAAGCCGTTGGTCCCGGCTGCGTTTGTAGTCGTTAATACCCTCCAATCCGCACTGGGCCAGCGTGGAGGGTCATGGCCCATCCTCCTTAACCATCCATAAGGAAGGCCTGAGCCCCTGCAGTGGGGACGTAAAAAGGCTGGTGATGATGAGGAATACAGTAAAAACTTAAATATTTTTGATTTATAAATATTTGATTTCAACGCATACTCGGATTGTAAGTGTATGTAATATTGATTATTGATAGATCAATTTAACATATATTGAAAGATAGATACTCGTAGATCAATTTAATAACAATACAAATAATTGTTATATATGTTTCGTTTTCATAAAAAAAAATTGCATTTCGTTTGTAAGTGTAAAACGTATCTTTAACCTTTACAATAATTATTTCAGTTGACGTCTGTCCGTATTGTGTCACGTAATATATAAAATTATTAATTAAAATGTAATTGAAATCGGGCCTTATTGAAGACAGCGCTAAACAGAGGTCAGTCAAACGACGCGACCGCTTGGGAAAAAACAACTGTTCTGTTATACTGTTTCTAACTTGAAATATGTACCGAACTTCTTGAAAAAGTATTTTTGAATGCCATCCATTAAGTAAAACGGTTGTACGAGGGGTCTACCATGTCTCGATTTCTTGTGATAAGGGGAGAGGGAGTTTCACGGATACTGCATATTTAAGAATAGGATTGTATCCTACAATTGAAAATACAGATTCCTGTTATATGTTCGGAAAATATGAACCATTTTAACTCCTAAATTTTTAACAAAACTGGAAAAATTTTAAGGAAAATAGAGGAAGATAGATGCATAAATGGCTTAAAATTAGTTACTTAAAACACAAAAATTTTAAACATAAACGCTCAAATAACAAAGATATTACAAAGATTGCCCAAACACCTATACATTTTTTGCTACCGAAGCAAGACGTGACGTTACATTAATGAATAAAATTTGTAGAGATCCTTTTCGGTCAACTAGCAGCAGTTACACAAATATAGTACCATATCTCTAAATTATTTCTCGAATATTAATGGGCTATTTATTTATTAAATTAAAAAAGAAACTAGCCTATTGTTATATCGGTTTTAATGTGATGTGCTTTTTTTGGGGGTATTCGATAGTTTCAGTAACGAATTCTAGATTTTGAGTAATAGGCAAATAGTAGTCAAATTTTATTTCTAGTGATATTTCATTTCGTACTACCCTTAACTTAGTTTTCTTACATCATAGTCGGATTCCATTTATCCAAGACATTTATGAATTTTCAACATCCCTAGTTTCAATGGGTAGGTCACTGCTATTTAACTAACTCCTCTCGTGAAAGTGGGTCCGCATGAGAGAGCTCATATAATCTGGCTGACCCGCCTACCGACGCGAGGTATGCAGTAAAGGAAAAAAAAAGAAAATAATTCTTTAGAGTCCTACGTAAATTTATTCTTATATATGAGAGAAATGGTGTCTGAACCTACCAAAAATCGTCTTATGTAAATGAATAGCGCCAAGAAGTTAATTAATCTATATACATAAGTTCAATTCGTAATTAATAATTAAAATTAACTTTCAACAAAATCTTTGTTAGCCTTAAAGTTCTCCACTTTATTTGACTTTCAATAAAATACATTCTGAAAATATGAGCCCGTTTGCATTGAAGGCAAAGGGTACAACTTTTACGTTATACGAGGGTCAAACTGAAAGTTCTTAGAACTGGCCACTTATAAACAATATAGTAAAAAAATAATTCTAAAATTTGAAAATATAACTCTTTGCCAATATTACTGAGTATATATTTCATTCATTTGTCATTTGTTTTACGATTTGGCGGCAAATTGAAAATTGTCTGTGTCACGTCATCATGAATTTAACACGAGAAAATTTTCGTGCAATGATTTTTTATGACTTTCGATGTCATTTAAGTCAACAAGAAAGTTATGATAGACTACGATTGGCCTTTCACGATGAAGCCCCATCTCGTGCGACTGTTTACAACTGGTTTAATGAGTTTAAACGTGGTCGCACTAATCTCACTGATGATTTACGTGAGGGACGGCCTTCTACGGCGACGACTGAAGATAACATCTGTGTTGTGCGGCGTATGATAGAGACTGACAAAAGAGTGACCTATCAACAGATTCGGACAAGCTTAGGCATCGGTATGAGTCAAGTGCACAAAATCCTCCACGAACATTTAGCGGTCAGGAAGCTTTGCGCCCGGTGGATACCTCATAATTTGACTGAGGCTCAAAAACTCCATCGTGTGGATTGGTGTCGTAAAATGATTGAAAGATTTAACGGAGGTGACTCAAATGCTGTGTTCGACATACTAACAGGTGACGAAAGCTGGATTTACTGTTATGATCCTAAAACCAAAAGACAATCTGCTCAGTGGGTGTTTCCTTTCGAGGAGTTGCCAACTAAAGTGAAGAGAGATCGAAGTGCGGGAAAAAAAATGGTGGCCTCGTTCTTTGGAAGGATAGGTCATTTTGCAACAATTGTGTTAGAGGATCAAAAAACAGTTTCTGCAGAATGGTACACTACCAATTGTTTGCCACTTGTCTTGGAAAAAGTTCGAGAGAAACGACCTCGCAGTAGGATCCTCCTTCACCACGACAACGCCTCGTCGCACACCGCCAAGCGAACGATCGACTATTTGGCGACATCAAACGTTGAATTACTGGGTCACCCGCCGTATAGCCCCGACCTCGCGCCTTGTGATTTTTATTTATTTCCAAAAATTAAAGAAAAACTTAAAGGAAAGCGGTTTATGAATGCTGAAGAAGCGGTGGCTGCGTATCGCGATGCCATTGAAGAGACCCCTAAGGACGAGTGGGCAAAGTGCTTTTCCCAGTGGTTCCATCGCATGCAGCGGTGTATTGACGTGAATGGACAATATTTTGAAAAGATATAATAAAACTAATAACTGGCTAATGTAATCAGTTTTTGATTTTCTAAGAACTTTCAGTTTGACCCTCGTATGAATACAATATCGGTTTGTCTTACGCAAAAACTCTTGTTGTGACACTTTTTATTCCTTTTAACTTTATCCTTGATTGACGTCGCCAGACGACCGAACGGGATTTTCGTGTGCACAATCAAATTACTCATTTATATTACCACAGCGGGTATCCCAAAGAAATAACATATATATTCTGATTGTTAATTAATGGTAATAAAATAAATGTTACCGATTATTAATTGTCTCGAACTCTACCGAACTAGAATAGGTTTCTTGTAATGTTTACTTCCACCTTATATTCTAAGTACGTTAGATAAATACAAAATATCTATTAAATATTTACCAAGTTTTTCACATGAGAAGTGTTTTGAAGTAACAGTTGTTTCGACCAAGCGGCATAATGGTTTTGGGTACCTTCATGATTGTATACACCTATGAATGTATATAGTTTGCACTGTCTTTGTTCTGTTGTCTTCATTTTTCAATTAAATTATGTCATTTAACACTATCCGGTTGTGGTATCAATTCTTATATGTTGCATTTTATAGAATCAAGGCTTAAAAAATCACCTTTGTTAGACGCACACAATAACGGAGAGCGATTTCATGCCTGTAGCACACTGACGCGAAAGCGAACCTGAAGCTAAACAGTGAATTCACACAGATGTCTCTAAAATAACCAATAATAGTCCATAATAATAAACAGCTACAAGTATTATTGTCGTCAAAACACTAATAAGCGTGGGAATGGTTGTTCTCACACGGCGAGAGGATTGAAAGCGTAACGTAATCGGTTCGTATCGGCACATTAATTCTAATCACTATCTGAATTAAATTTACAACAACAATATCAAAACTTAATTTGTATTATAGTATTATGATTTGAAACTAGCATGGATTTAGTCATTCCGGTGTCCTATGAAGACAGGCTCACTAAGTTAGTGAACACAAAGTGAATTCTGTATTTATGGATTAGCTTTAATTTCGTTTGCGGTGTGCTACAGGCATTAGTACACAGTTTAATGTGTAAGGCCGTTTGTTTGTCAGTGCGAGGCTGCCTCAGTCACGCTGAACACGTCCGGTGATGTTACTTATGTATCGCGCTCTTTATAATTTGTTTCCTTAAAGTGTTATGTGACGATACCTTTATGCGTCGTGAGTTTCATGTCTTCTTTTTATATTGTGTTAATTCTGCATGGATTTATATTGTCTTCTTTCATAAAATCGGAATAACTACAGTGATGTATTTTCCTTTTGTTGCCACAATAACTTCATATCATTCGTTTTATGTTTGTATACGATCATTTTATATTATTTGAAATTGAATTCATTCACATATACGTGTTCATTAATTGTCCACTGTCAAATCTTTACACAGTTCACTTAATTGATAAAGTTTACCTATTCACTTTATATATGACGTCACTGCACGAGCATGCTGTGCTACCAATCACAAAACTTTTCGTTATTAGAACGCAGCAACTTTATAAAGATATTATGCATTAAAAGACAATTATATGATATAGATTCCTTGTCTGATACCAAGATGCATTTTATGATTTTTTTTTTCAACAAACGAAAAGCAGGCGAAGTAATCAAGTACTCTAGTGTTACGAAAGAGTATGTTCTCTGTGATCTCTCTTACATTGTTCTAACGTGTATTTTGGCGACAAGCTCCTTTCTTATGCGAACGTTTAAAAACAATTACAATCCCAATCAATTCTTATTTGCGGGTCCAATACAATAATAATGTTCTTTTACGATCATTTATTAATAAATATACATTTACATACCTTAATGACCTTATATGAGAGCAGTTCACATTTTGTACTGAAAAAAGTGTATAAAATAAATAAATTTTCATTTCATTTTCATTTCATTTCACATATTTATATAAAACTGTAGGTAACCAGAAAAAGTCTTAAACGTGGGAAATGTTTATTTCGGACTAAATTCTCTGCATCCGAATTATACACTAACCATCTTATTATACTAACGAGAACTAAAGTTAGTACTTGTTTTAAACCATTAGCCACCTCAATCATATTGACATAATTATGAGAAAAATTAGATAGACATTTTGACTTATTTTAACAGGATAATGGATAAGTTAGTCCTCGTTTTATAATAAATGGTAATGGTTTTAGATGAGGAATTTTATAATGTTGCTGCGTTGATGATTTGCAATATCGAGTATACTACATTATTGTATAATTCCACAGAACTGAAGCGCCTATTGCCGACTCTGTCGCGCAAGGAGAAGAGCCCGCGCACGCGCACCTCGTGGTACGCGGAGTGTGGCGCCGATACCATATCTGTAGCCACCTCTAATACATCCTGGTAAGTGCTTTAACAGTAATCCTCCTCTTCTGCTTATTAATATTCCAACTACTGGGGCACAAATGTACCCTCTGGATAAAGGCGAATAGGGAGAACGGGCCTAGTGAGATTGGTGGGTGTTAACAACTGCAGATGTAGTCGCGATTAACGGCTTGACGTGATTTGCGAAGCACGAAGCGTAGAACATGTCTTAAACCGAATGCACTAATCGCAGCACCGAAAACCTATCTAAATATATATATAACGCAAAGGTGACTGACTGACATAGCGGTCTATCAACGCCCAGCCCCAATTACTGGACGGATATGGGCTGAAATTTGGCATCCAGGTAGATGTTATGACATAGGCATCCGCTAAGAAAGGATTTCGATCAATTCTACCCTCAAGGGGTAATAATAGGGGATGAAAGTTTGTATGAAACTTTGTCAATTTTAAACCGATCGGGCTCAAACTTTGTATGCATAAAGCTACTACCACGTTAGACATCGCCAAAAAAGGATTTTGATCAATTCTGCCCCCAAAGGGATAAAATAGGGTATGAAACTTTGTCCATTTTAAACCAATCGGACTGAGACTTTACATGCATGAACCTAAGAAAGGATTTTGATAAATTCCACTCCTAAGGGGATAAAATAGGGGACGAAACTTTATATCAGGTATTTTACACGATATAATGAATAAATATTCGTTAGAAATGCTGCTCAAAGTAACTTTACGACGCGGACGAAGTCGCGGGCAAAAGCTAGTACATATATATATATATATACCATAGAATACCTCACCACGTGAAACCATCTTAGACGTTTTGCTATTTCTTTTTATTTAGCTTTTGCTATATTTTATGTGTATTTGCATAAAACAAAAAGGTTATGAGCATGAATGTGGAACGGTGTGTAAGAAAAGGAAGAAAATAAATTACGCCGACCCCAGATAAAAGAAATAAGAATAAAGGCAAGCACATATCGATGAAGAAAGAACTCATAGGCTGAATGTTCTAGGATTTGTTAATTTGAATGTAGTAGTAGACTTCTAGTACAGTAATAAGACTATTGTCTGTTGCTACTGTTGTTGATATGAATGCAATTGTATGAAACTGATCAGAGGGAGCATTATTATTAACATTTGTTCAATTAAATAAAGTAAACGTTTGGCGATATGACAACTTAAGTATATATATGCATAAAATATTGAAGCATACTCGTCTCGTTCTACAAGTACAAGATGGAATATAAGGAAAAACATTACACTCGACTCGGCATCCTTGCATAATACTAGTTTAAGTTATTAAAAACTAAGCTTTGTCGAAAAAAATTGTTACCTATAATATTGTTATTCCGTGACAATATCTATCATAATATTATAAAGAGGATAGATTTGATTATTTTTTTTTGCATCGAACAGGCTCTGAAACACCGATTTCCAAAATTCTTTTGCTTACCGGAAGTTATAGCATACGCAAGTGGTGTATGCTATAATTTACTCGGGCGAAAACGCGTGTAAACAGATAGCATGTTTATAAAATAACTAGTCCTGAATGATTCATCATCGACGTACGTAAACTATTGAAATCGGTGATCCATGATCCCATGATCTTTAGGCCGTGTTCAAACCAAACTGACAGTAAGCCGCCGAAAGTGAGCGAACGTTACGCAGTTTATTGTATTTCCATACAAATTCAGTTTTCCGTTCACATATAACCGACAATACGTTATTACGCTATGCGTAGACGCTGACATTCGGCGGCTGATTAATATAGCACGTCACTACGCTCCGCGGACGCTGATTGGCTACGTAGCTAAACGTCAGCGTATTGGATCCAGCTCGGCCGGCGAACTCCAGTCAAGAATTGCACAGAACAGTACCACAGAATACGTACCAAAGTATATAAAAAAGTGTCTTTTTTATATACTTTGGTACGTATTAATGACAATAATTCGTCAAAAGATTTTACAGACATGCGATAATGTTTTTTGAATTTATCAGGGTAACATCTGTATTCCAAATAAAAACGATGAAACTGACCAAGATAACATCTCTTCAAATTTAAAGGATGTACCCAAATTCTCTTATTCCTTTCTTCATCTTCCTCAAGAGCTTCGTGAATGGCCAATATCTTAACGAACATTATTTAGTTAGCACCCCAGTCAGCAGTCTAGAAACACGTACCGAGATATACTGCTTAAATTTCGAATCACTGAGCTCTTTTATGTGAAAAATAGCCGGCCGCTCAGCGTATGCATGCGGTGTGAACGTATACAAGCCGACTGGTTTGTTCACACCATTGACGTATTGTAAGCTATAAGCGTATTGTCAGCATACTGTGAACGAAAATGTCGTTTATTTTCACGTTTACACTGGGGCTCATAGTAAGCCTGCTCACATTCGGCGGCTTACAGTCAGTTTGGTTTGAACACGGCCTTAGTCAGTAGGATTATTTTGTGGAGTCTTGTACTGTTGTTGCGTTTAAGGAAAGATACTCATTGAGGAAAGATTATAGTAAAATCATATCCTAGTAGGATTGAAATTTGGGGTTGTAAGTTGTTATGAAAGCCCGTCAATTTTGAAGTATGAAACAATGCACTTTATTTTTAGGCTACTAATAAAAAAAGTAAATACTGTTGTAGCGTTTAAGGAAATTTTACCATTCCGGCATTTTTGAAGTGTTTTACATACTTTATCATATCACGACTTAGATGATCGCTAAGAGATTATATTAGGGGTTGAATAGCGGTTTAAAAATATAATTCACTGGAGCAAAGCTGGTACGCAATATAGATGAACTACAAATTTATCTAACAAAGCCTCATCACATTATGAAACAAGTAATCAAGGCCAGGCACACCCGTAAGCGATACGCCATAATATACCATTTCCCGTCAACACAGAACATAATGTGGATACTATCTCTAATTAGAAACCAAATGGAACAAAATTTTAGTTCAGATCAAATGAGGTTTATTATTTTACACATGTAACTAAATCAGACTTCCAAAAATACTGGTCAATTAGTAGGTACTCGAATTCGCGTATTGAGAGTAATATACAAATATCAAATTAAAAAGCCCCAGATATCTAACGGGAGATTAACAGCAAGGTTATATGATAAAAATTACTAAATAAAAGTCTTTTATCTTTCAACTCTTATTTCGTTTTTTAACGTAATTTAAGTATTAAGCACTTCATTCATAGTTTAAATCAGAGGTGTCGAAGCTTTCTACATCTACCTTGCCATTTATTTTATTCTGAATAAATCCACTGAAGTATGAACTTTGGTTTCATTTAATTAAATTTGTTATGCAACTCGAACAATATAGTTTCGGAACTGTTCGCTTCGCAAGTTTCTGTTAAAATAAAAAACCTACTTACGAACTTTACTCAAATATGAAACTTGACATACAACAGTTCGAATTTCCCGAAGAACTCATTATAAAGCAATAAGATGCTCCAACGCCCGTGACTCGTGTGCATTGCGGTCGCAATCCCGCGCATCCAGCCACCCAGACGTTTAGTCAGCGAAGTGGCTGCGCAAACGCATGACGTTACCGCCATACCGCGAGTGTACCAGTGAGTCATTAGCCAGTTTCTTGACGATCGACCGTTAGCTTTGCCACAATATATAAGCGTAAGCGATTTTAAAATCTTTTGCCTGAACGTTCACATTTAATAATTTTAACATTACTGTAGTATTAAATGAACTAAACACCAACGAAATATAATATATTATGTCAGTATTCTCTATATTGTTCTAAATACTGTTACAATTGTTGAATTAATCCTTTGTGACTCACACTACTTTTGTGGTTAAAGTAGTTATTTTCAAATATTATCCACTATTATAATCAGATAAGGCGTGTCACGTACACGAACTAGGTACAGAGTGCATATAAAACTGAAACAAAAACGAAAACGCAAGGTCAGTGAATAAACCGACGACAGACACAGACAATTGTGAAATACGCGGTGTAAACGTCAAAAGTTGCTTTTAATCAATTAATCGCAAACCATTACGATAATTATAAAATTACTCTTGTCAGGCCATGGTTACATTACAAAATGACTCATATATTTTTCAACTTTTACAATAAAAAAATAATTGTTTACCAGAAAAATATTACGATAAAACTTTTCAATATCCTTGTGGTTTAAATTTAAGGTTACTTCGTATTGTTTTTAATTCACTTTTAGTCCCAATTGAAGTATTTTAGACACGTTTTTTGTTTTCTCGTTATTATAAAAAGTATAGTTAAGACTTATTTATTGTTATTTTAGTTGTTTAATTTATAAAGTTTCTTAATATGTCAATCGCACACCACCAAGTAAGCATAATCAATCAATATTTACATAATTCCTCAAAACATATTTATTAAAGTAATAGTCATAACTTTAAACAATTAATTAGATAATAGTATCGTTCTAATAATTTACTGTTTAATTCATAGTTATCAATTCGGTCGTTATTGTCGATACACTTATTGCTTGTGACACACACAATATCAATACAGGTATTTTACCATTTGGCGCGAGTACACGTTATTAGTAGGACGTTCATACAATACCATATTTTAGAATTATAAAATATAATAGTGTCCTATCGATATAATTATCGAGTACATGCCTATACGATACTATTTTATGGAAAATTCATTCAGTGAATAGTGGTGTTTTATGATTTGTGTGGAAATGTGTTAGTGGCTGTAATTTGCACGGTACCGTTGAAAGCTCATTATTTCAATCGCCGCCAAGAAACATTCAGGGATTATCTCAACAATCGTGACAAGGTAATTGCGTCTTTTAGTGCATCCATATAGGCGTTATCTTTAATCTTATGTGCAACTCACAGATATAAGCATAAATAAGAGTTTCATAACTATTATTTTGCTGCTATCTCTGAAGATATGTCAAAATTATTATTAACGTAAGAATGTTCGAATTAGACTGATAAATATTAAATATATGTATGTCCTTAAATCTATTGATTAGACAATGACCTACTAGCCTAGAAAGAAATAATTACTACCTATCTATGCCCCATCATTCCTTGAAAGTGAATTTACGAGTTTTACGTTTAATAATTATCATGTAAAATACACTTTTATTAAATTAATTTTACCATACGTTTATCAACCTTAGAGAAGCTTTAGAGATTCAGACATATACCTATGTGTACTAAACGCTCAATTTCATCAAAACATGTTGAATCGTTCACGTGAAAAGGTAATAAAAATATATAAAATTATCACATTTGTATAATTTGTGAAACGCGTCAAACACACAAGGGTACTTTAATAAAAGAATTTATTGACTTTTGATTGGCAATTTATCGCAACAAATTCAACGTGGGTAGTACGGATAGGGACAAACTGTTGACCTTTAGCAAAGTCACGGTAAATCCAAAGTAGACCGCCCATTAAATAAAGAGTACTTACAGACTACGTTTTTTGTATTATAATAAATATTGTTAGTTTTAATGACTCACTTCATAGGATTATAACGACAATTACAAATACATTAACTGTTATCATTTTAACTAATTCTCGTGCAGTTTTAGAAACCGCACTCGTTTTATTTACATTTGTTCGTAGAGTGACTAATCGAAATATTATAACATTAAAATGAAGGCAATATCAAACAAGGTTTAATCAAATGATTGCAAATTGAATATGGTACACTATGTTAAATATTAAATAACTGTGGCTATATAAAACTGCTGTTATACGACAGATGAGGTTTTTTAAGCTTTTATTACATATAGCTAACTCCACGTAGATAATTCCATCTGTATACTAATATGTGTATAATTAGTTATAATTACATATGAACTGCCTAAAGTGCAAGTTTTAAAAATTATTGAATGTCATTCTGTCTCAGTCAAATGGATTCACGAAATTTCTAGTTGTCTCTAAATGTCCAAAACTAGGCGCTTATCAGAAGCATCTCGTTGAAAATTAGGTACTCGTTGGTAATGAATATTGTTACAAATAAATAAAACGTTAGCAGCAATGAACCTCACCCCTTCTGTATAAGTTCTAATTATAGATGGAGGCTCTAATGTTATAATGGGTGTACATCTTTCCCCCAGGTACGCGGAAGCCGGCCTCTCACCTGCAGGGCACGTATCATCGTCGTCGGGCGCATCGTCAGGGTCGCACCCAGCGTCTCCGTTGCCTCGATCACTATTCACACACGAACCACTCTATCAGTTTTACAACGCTGCCAAAGTTGAGGTAAGCACACAAACAAAAAGCGAAAAGAATGTGGAGTGACATCTTCTGTACATAGAAGATATTAGACCAAGTCTCTTTCCACTGTCTGTAGGCTGGCATCTCTTAAACTACACAATGCGGTGGCAAAGCTATTATCTAAATAAAAATTAATCGCCGAAATGATGCACATGACTTTGAAATTACAACACCAAATTAGATAATTCTATTTTGTTGTTATTTTATTATCGGAACAAAGTTTGTGTTTTGAATAAATGATAATTACAAAATATTACAGAAAACCGTATTTTATACAAGTAAACCGTGCGATTCTGGGCCGGGAAGCTAGTTTTAAATATACATAGTCGATTGTCTCTTACTAACCTCTAAGGTTTATATTATTCAACTTTAAAAGGTGCATTTTTTTTTTCAAAGCACGAATTTCAATATTTTATTCGTTACTGAGAATTATAAATATATTGTAAATACGTTACCTAATTTAATAAAAACAAGTACTTTATATGTGTACGCACAATGTCTGCTATTATTTAAATATTAGTATTCAAATTAATTAACAATACATTTCTTTTTTCATGTTATATTAATGATATTAAACTTTAAGAAAATTAATTGTGCTCAGTTTGAAAAGTTACCACCAAATAAAACATCAAAATTATGGAGCTCAATTTGAACTATTCAATACACATTCACATTTGGTTTGGTGCACTCCACATTCCCTTCTATTTGCAAGGACAATGGTGGCGACATTGCACCACTTTTATAGTTCTTTATAAAAGGATTTAAGTTCAGCTTATCGGTTCTTTCCTTCTCTACAGGAGACTTTACATGCGTCACATAAAAAAATATATATATTTTATTAGTGCGAATGGGAATCACCACATTCATTCAGTATAAAATTAATCATCGCATTACTTGTGGGTCGATTCAAAGAACTCACCTAGATAATTTAAATATGTTTTTATTACTTTAATTATCCGGATATAAATATTAGAAAAACTTTTTCTAGTGTGAAATTTCTTTTGACGACCTTATCTTGGACGTTCGTTGTTACAGATTTCCATAATACAAGTGCCCAAAGCTACTTTATTTGGGGTCTGAACAATGTACTGTCCTTCTCCACTTGATTATAAACTTTAATTTACTGTGGGTAGAGTTTGAAATTACCGGTAGAAATTTGACATATTGTGGTAATCTGGCGTGCAGCCGTGTGTACCAAACAAAACTTAAAACACACTTCTTAAACTACTTGAGCACTGAGTATGATTAAGAAATGGAGGCACATCATATCTATGTCAGATGTATAATGTACAATTTATTATTATTCAATATGATATTGGTTGGTTCTAACTCCCCTACTGTTGATATATACACACATTTGTGACTATGTAAGTGAATAAAAAAGCAAGAATTGCTCTTTATTCATGTGATACGTCACAGAATATTTATTCCCTAAGTTGCATCCTATAAGAGGCCTCAGCGTTAAAATTTTTTTATTTACTTTGCAATACCGCCTTTGGGTTACAAAATTACAATGTGTATTAAATTTGAACTTAATCGGTCCAGTAGTTTGTGAAAAAAACAGCTGTGACACACAACCGAAAATAGCAACTACAAGGGTTTCTTTTTTACCTTTTGAGGTGTAGATCCTAAAATCAGTCCCCATCACTATTTCAACTACATTTTGTTTATATTTTCTGGTGGTGGTAAGCTCTAGAATATGTACATATGTACAAAACATCCCGATCTTAGGCGTATTTACTATATAACTGATACTTAATTAGTACATTCGAATAATATGAAGTGATTTCAATTCATTATATTAACAACCAGCTCATTTCCTTCATAATTTCAGAGACTTCGCCCGCGTAAATTATTGTCTAGCTCACCCACGATACCCCGATATAAGTGAAAGAATTTTTAAAATCAGGCCAGTAGTTTCAGAGCCTATATGGTGCAGAAAAAAAAAAAACAATCATATATTTCCTCTTCATTATTTCTTTTCTATTAAATCAAATAACGTCAAAATTCGTCGCCCACCTCTGGAATGACACAGAGTAAGGAAGTAAACAGTACTGTGCTAATCTAATAGTTGCTCGGTGGATAATTGGGTGTTTACGCCGCATCGCTAATTGGTTATAATTGGTCTGACCTTCAGCGACCCTCTCCTAATTATTGTTTATTTAAACTGTTATCAATATATGTGTTTCTAAAATATTACGACCTATCTAACGTTGGCTACATGTCCAATTAAATAATTATTATCAGTACATAGTGTATATTAAAGTCGCACTAAGTATGAAATGCCTAATTAGGCTTTTAACAAACACTGCAATCTTCTTTTTATTTGATAAGAAATTTCTTTAAGAAGATTTGCCTTCCAGGAGACAAAGGGCGGGATTTCTTCGCACTTCAATTACAACTATTGACAGTTTTTTTTTTTTACTTTATTCAAATTCTTCTCTATTGGTTATTACCAGTGGTCGGAATAACTTAGAGTTAGTCATGTTCTTACACTGATTTCATACAGTGAAAGAATAAAGTGGATATGCTTCAAATCTCGAGATTAATTTTAAAGAGCAGAAAAAAACCCGGATTTTTTAAATAAAAAGTTATTTACTTTTACACAATTTAAACTACTGCACGCACGACGTTGCCAAACTTACATCAATGAAAGAAAGAAATAAAAAAAGAAGAAATAAAGAAATCCCGGGAAGGTCCCCATTCATAACAACATTTCGATGCAAGTACATAAATAACTCTACCTAATTCCGACCTCTGGTTATTACTTATACTCAGTCATAGATACAAGTGTTAGTTTTGTCATAATTTACTTAGTCATGTAATTTATGCATTTATTTTGCATTTTTTTTATATAAACTTTCATTATATTTTTAACACATCTTCATGGGTTCACTTACTTACAAAACCTGGTTGACAAATACGTATTACAAATATTTTTTTCCTTCAAAGATGCTCTCTAGCCGGTTTGTGCAACAATAGCTGATTGTTTCCCGGCACGCTCAGTTACGCTGTCAACGCAACTACTGCGTAGCGAATGCACAACAATCTCCTTTATTACTGTAATTATGGGAGGTTTCGTTGTTATGTCTCGAAAGAAACATAAACGCATATTTTAACGCAGCTACGAAATAAGAATTTGCTATTTTCATTTCGTCGTATAATAGACTCTGTAAATTGTAGGTTTTGCGCAATGTTATTAGTTAAAACTATAATAAGAAAAATGTAATATTAGAAAATCTTTACTTACTTATAAATTTGAGTAATTAAAATACGAAACAGATCATTCACTCTTGAAAAATATAAAAATATATTATTTTTTTCTAAAGATACATAAACCATCAAGTAAAACATGTCGTGATGCATTGACGAGAAAATTTTTACATTTTCGGTTCCGTTTGCATCAGTGTTACTGATAAAACGTGCCAAGCTCATACCGATAGTGCTATAACATAAATTGCTATAGCTGGCCTATACGCTCCTTCCAATCAAATATGAGCTCAGATTTCATGATAACATGACAATGGTATCGAAGATTTTTGCTAAACGATTATTGTTTTTGTATGTAGTCTGTATGCCGGGAGACAGGCGACTCTGACTCTGACACGTACGAGAGCAGCGCGGGCGCAGAGTCTTGCCCGCCCGAGCCCCCCACCGCCCGCCCCTCCGCCATGACACTAGTAGCTCCCCGTGGACCTGCACGCACACTCTGGTGCGAGGTGCCCGAGGTGGTGGCCTCCGCTGTACTCAGTAAGTAAACAGATAGTATTAAGAACAATTTATCCTGCAAATGTTACATTTAAAATTAAAATGTATAGATTACAACAATTGTAATTAAAACATTCACAACTCAAGAGATGTTAATAACTTTATTGTACCTATTATCAATTCGGTCACCGTTGACAGGTGTTCCTATTGTTAATAATAATAAATCAAAATCAAAAAGCGTTTATTGACCCAAAACAAATATATGGAATAACAAAATGAAATTGTCTTTCATTATATAGATAGAGGATAAGTGCCGCGGCCCGCGATTGTTGTTGTTAAGCAACTTTCGCAAGGGTCGGTCACGGGATGGGTGACCAAAAAATTATTATCATGAGCTACTTCGTGCTTCGGAAGGCACGTTAAGCCATTGGTCCCGGCTGCATTTGCATCATTTGGGTCATGGCCCATCCTCCTTTATCATCCACAAGGAAGCTCAGGCCACTGCAATGAGGACGTAAAAAGGCTGATGATGATGATGATGATGATTGTCTTTGGAAAACTGTGATATCGCTGCATTGCTGATATACTGGCAAAGCCTGTGTGCGTGTATATGTTTCATAAGGAATAGAATTCCTAGGAATTCCCGATGATATCGAATTTACACGCATGACAGCACATCATGTTACCACAAAATGACGCATCTCCATCATCGATTTTGCCCTCATCTGTCAATTAATTTTGCTCAAAGTCAATTAGAGTAAATTAAAAATAACCTATGTGAGTTACATAAAATTTATCGGTATATATACAGTCCGATATACTATATCAACAATAAATTTACTTTATAGGTTTACTACCTCCATCGCCTTTCATGACAAACGTAAACATTAACTAATGAAATCACGTTCATAGGTTCACTTGCGCCGGCACAGAAGCGTCTTCAAGAAGCAAAGTTCGAGTTGCTCACATCAGAAGCGTCTTATCTCAACTCACTAAACGTTCTGGAGACACACTTTGTGGCGCATCCCGCCTTCCGCGACCCCCTCGTGCTGCCTAGGGAGGATTGGGAAACACTGTTTTCCACAATCTTACCAGGTATGTATACCTAGTAAATAATTCTATTCTTTAATTGCTAGCCTTACTTAAAGGTGCGGTGATTTTTATTTGATGATGTAATTAAGTCATAAAATAGATAACTCGTTTTGTGTACCGAGACTTAACAATTTATTTACTTTGAGTGCATACTTACACATTTACTGCTAAAAAACTCGATACATGTGGAAATATAAAACTTTATTAAAATTAGGTATTATTAAAACATGATACCATATTGCTACAAAGTATTGACTTCGTTAGTAACGACAATATCACACCGAATAAAGCATTGAATAATTTAATGAAAGATGATGCAATTTTTAAACATGGCCAAGAGTAGCTGCCACGGATGCAAAGCAGGGACATGTTTTATCGCACTATATAATTGTCCTTTTGTCCCCCAGTACGCAAATGCTCTCAACTACTGATGAACGAGTTGGAGAAGTGCTGGCAGGAGAATATACTGCTGCAAGGCATCTGCGACATAGTTCGGAATCACGCGGAGGAACACTTCGACGTTTACGTTAAATACTGCGAGAACCAAGCGCTCATGGTTAAAGCGCTGCAGCGGCTGAGGGAGCGGCCGGCCTTCGTCACCGCGCTCAAGAGGTGAGATTATATACCATACTACTTATTCGTCAGCTGTTTCGCCTGCGTTTTGCTATTTTATGTGTTCTTGAAATAAAGTAAACTTAGATATTGAAGAAGTTATTTATTAATAAATCAATACACGTGCAACGAGAAAACTCTTATCATAGAAAAAAAATTTTATACAATACAGTGTGACCAGTACCATGACAAATAAATAATCCATTGTCTACTATTAACACCCCCCTTCAATGTATTATTTATTTAAATTAATACAAATTAATTTTTTTTGAAAATTTAAGGATCATATTTTTAGTCAACGGTTTAGTGAACATGTCTGCCACTTGTTCTTCTGTTTTAATATACTCTAAACAAATTTTACCAGTTTCTATTAGTTCTTTTAAAAAATGAAACCTTATGTCTATATGTTTCAAACGTTTTACACAATTTGTATTAGCAATCATTATAGCTGCCTGATTATCACAATAGATTTTTACTGGTTTATTATTAACATTTTCCTTAAAATCAAGTAACAAGTTCCTAAGCCAACATGCTTCACTGGCAGTTATGCTTGCTGCTATGTACTCAGATTCAGTAGAGGAAAGACTGACTGAGCACTGTTTCTTAGAGCACCAAGATATTAAACAGTTTGCATATAAGAAACAAAAGCCTGAAGTTGATTTCCTGTCTATGAGGTCTCCACCCCAATCAGCATCACAATAGCCAATCAACTGATCATCATTACATTTATATACTAGTTTGTAATCTATACTATATTTTACATATCTGAGAACCCGTTTCAAAGCCATTAATAATTCATTATTAGCATAGTTTTGATAACGGCTGAGTTTAGATATAACAACACATAAATCAGGTCTTGTGCCTGAAACAGCATACATCAAACAACCTATCATTTTACGACATAAATTTTCCAAATTTTTATCTTTAACATCTGACACACTGTTTTTATTTAATATTTTGACATTAAAATTTTGGTCCATAGGAGTTGTTAATGGTTTACAATCATACATTTTAAATTTCTTTAAGACATTTTCTAAATATGATTTCTGACTCAATTCTGTTACACCTTTTGTTAAATTTTGATTAACATGTATTCCAAGAAATTCTGACACTAAACCAAGATCTTTCATTTCAAATTCCTTATTTAAGTTTAACTTTAATTCTTTAACTTCTATCTCATTTGTACCACAAATTAATAGATCATCTACATACAATAATAAATACATTTTATTTTCACCATTGTTTTTAAAGTAAAGACATGAATCACATTGTGATCTCAAAAACCCTTGTTTTGTAATAATACAGTGAAATTTTTCATTCCAATACTTTGGGGATTTTTTTAGACCATATAGTGACTTATTTAATTTGACAATATTTTTATTGTCATTGTATGCCCCTTTTGGTAAACTAATATAAACTTCCTCATGAATTTCCCCATATAAAAAGGCCCCTGTAACATCCATCTGATAGATTGGGACATTTAATTTAGTTGCTATGACAGTAAAAGCCCTAAAGGTTGACAATTTTGCAACAGGTGCATATATATCACACAAATCTATTGAATCTTGTTGTTCAAAACCCCTAGCCACAAGCCTTGCTTTATATTGAATTTTATTACCAATTTTCTTTAATTTGAAAACCCATTTACTACTAATCACATTACTATTAATTACATCTTCACAAACATCCCATGTGTTATTATTTCTTAAAGTTTCAATTTCTTTATTTATAGCCATGGTCCACATACCTGCATCATCCCTTATCATAGCCTCTTCGTAGGTCTTAGGCTCCTCATCTAACAAATTAACTTGATTGCACTTGTAAAAGGATGTTTGCTTTCTTACACGTTGATGACGATGATTTTGTAATGAAGTTTCAGGTGAATATAGTGTTAAATCATCACTTACTTGGGATGAAGTGTGATCATCAGATTCCAATCCATCTTCTTGGCATGGTAAATACTCACTGTCATCCAATGTATTCTGAATCTGTGATTGCTCTTGATTATTTTGTAAGTGTTCATCAGAGCTGGTGTCATTCTTACTTTCCTCTTTTATAGTTTCTATTTCTTCCGGTATTATCTTATCTATGTCCTGTATCACAATTTCTTTGTTTTCTTGTTCGTTTTTCATATTCATAAAAATCACATCTCGTTTAATTTCAACCTTGTTTTCCTGGGGAAAATATATCCTGTATCCTTTGACATTTTCACTATATCCTACCATTATTCCTTTTTTACCTTTTGGATCCCACTTCTTCCTTTTCTCTTCAGGAATGTAAGCTATTACAGGTGATCCAAACACTTTCAAAGTTTGGATGTCAAAGACTTTATTAGTCCATAAAGTATAAGGAGTTTTCTTCTCCACCAAACTTTTGCCAGTTCTGTTTAAAACATAAGCAGCAGTGTTCACTGCTTCTGCCCACAGTGTTTTAGGCAAGTTCATCGAATAAAGCATAGTTCTGGCCGCTTCAACAAGTGTTCGGTTCTCTCTTTCTGCTTTTCCGTTTTGTTGAGGTGTGTAAGGTACAGTAAGATGATGTATAATACCTTTATCATGGAATATCTTTTCAACATCTTTGTTCACGAATTCCAAGCCGTTGTCGCTTCTAAAATATTTTATTTTGTTGCCAGTTTCATTTTCTGCTTTATTTATAAAGTTTTCTATGCAATGTTTCACTTCATGTTTTCCTTTGATAAAGTATACTTGTCTATACTTCGAATAATCATCTTTAAATATCACAAAATATCTCGAGCCTCCCACTGAGTACTCCTCCATTGGGCCACAAACATCTGCATGAATTAACTCGCATGGTTTCGTAGACTTATTTTTACTGTCTGGAAATGGTTGACGATGGATTTTTCCCGTCAAACAGCTCTCACAACGTTCAATATCATTGGTGTCGATCACTTCAATATTGTTGTTTTTCAAAATATCTTTTACGTAAACCATATTTTGATGAGCAAGTCTTTGGTGCCATTCAATCAAGCTGACTTTGTTATTTGGTACACTTTGTTTGGTTTCCGCGACATTCGCTTTATTTTCTTTAAACAATAAATTAAGATAATATAGATTTCCTATGCGTTCTGCAATTGCACACAGTTTCTTGTTCTTGAAAAATTTACATAGGTCATGTTCTGTCACTATGACATAACCTTTGGCGGTAACACGTTTGACAGATAATAAGTTTGTTTTTAATGTCGGAACGTATAGCACATTGTCTATGGTAGTGTTAACCCAACACTTTCCGTCAAACACTTGTGCTGCCATCTGTCCACTTCCGAGAGCACTAATCTGCGTTCCATCGCCCAACACGACAAATTTATTTTTCAAACTGGTGAACGATGTAAATAGATTTCGATCACAACACATATGGTCACTTGCACCCGAGTCTACAAGCCATCTAGACTGTTCATAGGTCTCAAAACAATCAGATAGTCCTGATGCAATGAATGCATTGCTTTCTTTGTTCTTTCTAAAACGGCACTGAGATTTTGTGTGTCCTTGTTTACCACAATAAAAACATTTGTTATCGTTCGCACCATTCGCATTGTTACGTTTTTCACGATTGTTTATTTTATTAAATTTACATTCACTTTGGTAATGTCCGTACTTTTTACACTTATAACACTGAATGTCTCTCTTCATAGTCTTTTTCACGAAAAATGCTGATGATGATGACCTTGATGATGACCCGCCCTTTTCTTTTAATCTCTCTTCTTCTACTAGAAGTCTAGCACACAAGTTTTCGAAAGTTTGTTTGTCATCTGGTGCCGATTCCCACGCTGATATAAAGTGTTTGTAGTCATCCGGTAGTGACATCATAACTTTTGTAATAACAAATTTGTCCGAAATAATTTCACCTAATTGTTTCAACTCATTATACATTTCTTGCACCTTAGATAGGAAAACTGACATTTCCGCGTTTTCTTCATATTTCATTTGAAAAAATCTCTGTTGCTTAATGTGGATGCTTGTCTCGCTTTTCTGTTCGTAGATACTTAAGAGTTTACGCCACATTTCAGCCGATGTAGTACACGAGAGAATATGCAGCATCACATTTTCTGACATCCTCGTCACAAGAATAGTTTGTGCCTTCACATCTTGTTTTTCCCAATTTGCTAGTTCAACCTCATCACCAGTAGGCTTCTTACAATCAGTGACCACGTTGTACAGATTTTGGTTTTTCAATAAAATTGTGGTCTGGAACTTCCAAATGTTCCAGTTCTGACCACCTTCCAACTTAATAACTGTTCCCTGTGTATTGTCGCTCATCTTTTCTTCCTGCTACTTCCTTCCTTGTTTCTTACAAGTATTACAACTCGCCGGCCGGTGAATTTACTTAACCTCAAAATAGCGCAACGCACGCCAACGATATTTATTACAGTACTTGAACTTCACTTGCTTCAATATCAAGTTATGTGCCTGGGCCCATAACCTGTTCTTGAAATAAAGTAAACTTAGATATTGAAGAAGTTATTTATTAATAAATCAATACACGTGCAACGAGAAAACTCTTATCATAGAGAAAAAAATTTTATACAATACAGTGTGACCAGTACCATGACAAATAAATAATCCATTGTCTACTATTAACATTATGTATTATCTTCACCATCTAAGGGGTTGAATTTTCAAATTTTCAAAAATCTTTTCTTAGTGCTCACATCCTGAAAGGAACCCCAGTACTGTGCATTGTGCCTTTTATATATGTTTATAGAAGATACACGAAAATTAGTCTAAAAATGATTTTTAGGTTCTTTACTTTCGCGAAAATGGAATTAATGCTATTTTTTTTCATATATCTTTTTTAACTTTATTGTATGCCTATGTCGGGAACCGTATGTTTTATTCTTTCACGCTCTTTTGTAAAGGGGCTAGTTTTATTGAAGGATAATCCGCCTGCACGAAGGCGTAGTAAGGATACTGAAGCATGTGTTGTTTATCAGACTGGAGAGTCACCGGGCGTGCCAGAGCCTGTCGCTGCACTCGTTCCTGATGCTGCCCATGCAGCGCGTCACGCGCCTGCCGCTGCTCATGGACGCCGTGCTGCGCCACCTGCCGCCCCACGACCACGAGTACTCCGCCTGCGCGCGCGCACTCGCCACCCTCAACCTGGTACGCGTCACTCGTATATCACTAGCGTACACCTGCCGTCCCACCACCACCAGTACTCAGCCTGGTACCCGTCACTCGTATATCACTAACGTACTCCTGCCGCCCCAACACCACCAGTTCTTAGTCTGAGCACTTAGTGTTTAATTGTGAGCGCGTCAAAATTTTTATATGCAATCCGTTACAACGCCCCTAGCGTTAAGTACCAAGATCTACAAATCTCCATACAGATTCTTAGGTAACGCGCTCACTAGTGAACGCGTTAGCGTAAAACTTACACTTACCACTCTGGTTCCCGTCACTCACATACTCGCCTGGTACCTATTACTCTGTCACATGAAAGCGATTGTAAAAGATTTTTATCCAGTTTTCGATAGATAAGCAAGATTTTGTTGTATAACAAATTAACTCCCACCAATCCTCCGAATTCCAGCACTTATAACAATATTATATATACCTTGTTTTTTTTATATTTTATATAGTTTAACAGCTGTTTCATTGTTTTATTATTTGTTACAGTTCGTATCACAGTGCAATGAAGGCGCTAGGAACACTGAACGCGTGGAGGAAATGTTCCGGCTGTCCCAAGTGATAGAGTTCCCGCCTAGTGTACGGAACGCGCCGTTACTGGGACCGGCCTGTTCAAGGAGAGACAAAAAGTATGTACACAAACTTATATATCGGAGTTCTTCGCATTCCATTATATATAAACACTAGTGGCCGCCAGCGACTTTTTGATAAACTTACGTTTTTTTACATAAAGCAGTATTTTTATTGGAAACCGTATATTACGTTTTTTATATCAAAGTCCGCACGATAACATAAAGCCTCAGCCACAGTAAAGCGTGTTGAAATTTAGCTATTATTTTATATATTTATTCTATCTTATTGCCTAGATTAAAACGACTTATCAAACTATTTAAATAAATTTTGTTAAAATGTTTGTTTTGATATCAGACCGGTTCGCTGGCTAGTGCGGTCCGGTGAGATGACACAACTGGTGTGGAAGACGGACGAGTTGAAACTGACCTTCGGCCGGAAGTACCACAAGGTACCACTGCATCTGTTCCTGTTCAATGATCTCCTAGTCATCACCAAGAAGAAGAGGTATAATATTTCATCATTATTATATAAAGGATAACACCGTGTTATTAGAATAAGCAATTTATTACTACGTATTTTTTTTTGTTTCAAGTAAAAAAGACAAAACGTTTTATAACTATACAACAAAGCTTATACATTGCTTATTAGTAATGCCTCGGCGGCGTAGTGGATAAGCTCCGTGACCTGCGATCGTTGTTGTTAAGTGATTTTCGTAAGGATCGATCACGGGATGGGTGGCCAAAAAAATGATTAACCCGAGCTACAACGTTCGGAAGACATGTTAAGCCATTGATCCCGGCCGCATTTGCAGTCGTTAACACCCTCCAATCCGCATTGGGCCAGTGTGGAAGTTCATGGCCCATCCTCTATAACTATCCATAAAGAAGGCCTGAGCCCCTGCAGTGAGAACGTAAAGGGCTGATGATGATGATGATGATGAATATCCTTCTATCTGCATTGAGTCAGCGTGGAGGGTCATATCTAACCTCCTTAACCGTCCGTAAAGATGGCCAGTAGGCCATTTCTGCAAATGTTTACGTACAAATCGCAGCTCATTATAATCTCAACTACTTGCATTTTTCCTTTAGTTAGTTAGTTCCTTTACTTAGTTGAAAAAAATTACGGCTACGATGGAACAAACATGCTTCAGATTCTGTAAAGAAAAGAAACAAAAGAAAAATATAAACGTTAGGGGGTGGGGTGGGGGGTACAAGTTAATTTATTAATTAAATTCTTCGTGCTCAAGTGTACATAAGCGCACTTAATGCCTTAGTCATTCTCAACCAGTTTCATTGTCACCAAGTTTCTGCCCCGATTCAAATAATCGCAGAGCCGCATCCGCAGCGGGGCGCGAAAGGGATGATGATACTAATACATCACACTTAATGAATATGTATGTGCCGCCAGCGAGTCGTGTTACCTGGCGGTGGACCACTGCCCGCGCTCGCTGCTGGAGGTGTGCGCGGGGGACGCGGCCGCCGCGCGCCACGCGCTGCTCATCACGCTGCTCGAGAACCACGAGGGGCGCACGGTGGAGATGGTAACGCTGCCACCTGATATATCGTACAACGATCTCACGGGCGCCGCCAGATGGCGCGGGGGAGAGGGGGAGGAGTAGGGGGAGGGGGAGGAAAGTTGTTTGCGGAGAACTAGATTTCCGCCGGCGGCTATACATAGAAAAACCTTCCTTTTTAATCACCCTATCTATTAAAAAAAGACCGCATCAAAATCCGTTGCGTAGTTTTAAAATAAATGCATCGATGAGCTAAGCATGAATTGTAGCTAAAGTCTAGTAAGTATGCCATAAGCTTGATGAGCTAAGAGCACATGAAGCTTTTTACTCGTAGTACGAGCCTTAGATCTGCGGCAATTGTAATGATAATACTCAGAGTCCAAATTGTTAAAGTTACACGAGTTGTTTACTGTCGAATAAATAAAATTTGTAAATAAGTTTTGGCATTTATTAGAAAAATAGAATAAAACTAATTTGGAGGTTTCGAATGTACACCACTCCCCTTCTCCCGCTTGAACTAAGTTTATTCGAGTTACGACGTACGGGAATAATCGATCAAGTAAATCAAGTAAAAAACTTAGGATTTATTACGATAGGCAACTTTTTAGAATCTCTATAGGGGGAGCTACCCCTCATACCCCCCCTTGACGACGCCCTTTAACAAACTAACGTTATACCTGCACACTCTTATTTCTCTTCATTTTAAATCTTAATGGTTTGAGGGTAGAAATCAAAATTAACTGACGTACAGCACTTCATTATGTTTTTGAATATCGTGATCAATGCCGGCTCCAGCCCAATGCCTTAAATTTCGCACTGATTGCGACGAATCGGCGCTTGTAGCCTGAAGGGGTCACCCGAATTGTAGGCTAATATATTATTATTTGTGTGCAGTTAATGTCGTGTGGGAGCGAGACGGACGTATCGCGGTGGCGGGAGGCGCTGGTGCCGCCCGCGGGGGAGGAGGGGGAGGCGGTGTACGCGGGCTGGGACTGCCCCCAGGTGGCCGCCGTGTACGCGTACTGCCCCGCCCAGCCGGACGAGTTGCCGCTAGCCGAGGGGGACATCGTCAACGTCACCAGGAAGACCAGTGAGGGTATGTATGATTGGGACTGTCTCCAGGTGGCCGTCATAATTCACGAACACATATTGCTACAATTTGTCGCTCGCTCAATAATACTAAGAATAGTATCCAGATCTAGTAGATGATATTTGTGACTTAAATTTATATTTTTAGCTTTAACAAGTTATCTGAATACAAACCAGTTTTCTTTTAATGCTACAAAAGTCTTATTTTAAAACAGAAAAAATGAGCAGTGCCGTCCATTGACAGTCAAAAGTTACAATTAATGGCAAAGTTATAATTAAAATTAATTTAGCTATATTGTTAACTTAATTTTCAGTGATTTTGTGCGTTTACACGTATTAAGTATCTTAAAATAAATTCACAAATTAAAAACTAAATGATGTCACAAAAAATTAAGTTAATTTAGTTAACTACTTGTCTACATAATATATGTAAACCAGCCTTAATAAAACCAATATATTCCACCATGAGTATTGATTGTTATGTATTCGCAGGTTGGTATTACGGCGAGCGCACGCGCGACGGCGAGAGCGGCTGGTTCCCGGGCGCGTACACGGCGGAGATAGCGTCCGCCCACGTGCGCGCGCGCAACCTGAGACAGAGGTATCGCCTGCTCGCTCTCTCCGGCACATACCTCGGGCAGAAGAGGAAACCGCTCACGTGAACTGACGCCACCCCGCACACGCCTGGAACGTACTGAGACACGACTAGTCTTGTCACCCCGACCTGATTTATACGAATAACAGGAACCGTCAACACGTTTAGACCGTTAACTCTTCTGTGGCTGCTCGTTTCAGACAGGAATTTCGAATTACTTCTATTTAATGATGATCTAAATAGGAAGTAACGAAACCGAGTATCTTAACCGCTATCGTCTGTTGATTTCAAGCAAGACAACAATCGTTTCTCTCTTCTGTGACTATCTACAAGTTTTCTGAATATATCAGTCTTTTCTTATTTGTAACGTCGTTCGGTTTATTGGTACTTGAGATATCATCCGAAAATGAGATTAGAAACCCAGCACATTGAAAACTGAAGATGCGTCGCAGACCGTCAGAACTGACAAATATACGATGACAGACAACTTTGAACCCATTTTTATTGTTGGGATTTCGCCATCTTTCATACATCCCATATTCATTTTACATGTAGAAATTAATTTATTCACTTGACATTGGCAGAATTGTGCGAAATGCGCAGATAAGCCATTGATAAAAGAAGAAGAAGACGGATGAACCATCGCGAACTAACGCACACTTCCATGAGACGAATCTTCCGTCAGATTTGCACCGACCTCTAACGTGATTTCTCCCGAATCTGATGGTATTGAAATTAAAGAAGATACGAACCTTGAGGCGATGTACCGGAAGAAGTATATATAACGTAGTATATGCTTCCTCCTACAGCATTCTAGAAACCAAAAAGACAGCCTCGAAAACGAATTAAGATAGGTACATTCCATATCAACTGAGTATTCATTTAGTATCATCACATTGACTTTTCAAATTCGGTAGTTGGTAAGAATTTTAGTCGCATTAGAAATAAATTTAGTAACTTGCACTTCAGAGTAACTATATAGCACTTGTTGATATTTACATCACACGGTTGTCCGTCCAAGACACTGCCTTAATTTAGGATAAATTATTGCATATTGAAGTATTTTCGGACCAATTCTTTTTTTTTGTTTTATTAAATGGTGCACCGACATCTTTGTTACACAAACTTATAGGGTGCTTTAGCGGTTAATATGTATTTAAGTCTATATCTATCGAATTACGCGCTCTTAAGAGTCGTTATAATTGATTATTGTTTATATGAAATGTACAGTTACGCATGAGATTCACCGAATAATTTTTGTACAGAGTATTTCGAAATATGAATTTTCTGATTAGTTGTTAAGTTGTAGATTATATCACTATATTTGTGTAGTTATTTACCTACTTCATTCTATTCGCTGGCTGCAATTTGAAATTAACTAGTCATAAAGGCGATGCCAGCTGTAATATTAATTAGTTCGATGACATCACAATTAAAATTTTAATAACATTCCACATGTAAAGTTAGTTTCATTTTCAACAGACTACTCCATATTTCATCAATTACATAAGACATTTTTTGTATGGACATAAACCCATACATTTGTGGAATGAAACGATTAATTTGTTTTAGTTTAGTAAACACTGTCTATACAAATTGGTAAATATTGAAACAAAATGTAATAATTCATCATCAATGTATGTACTTACTTAATAAATTATTGTTATATAATACTTAATAAAATATTGTTTGTATATAGGATTTAACTGCATATTATAGTCGACAAGACTTATTTATAGTTATGTAATTAATAATATACAATACATATGAATAAATATACAATAAATCTATTTCATAAAGTTTTTTTACATTACCTAAAAAAGTTAACCTGAAGATAACCCGCCAGATAAACACCTGACTCATTTTAAGACAAAAAAGACAATGAAATATTTATAAAATTGTTTATTTATGTACTTTCAATTATTATTATCGCACATTTAAGTACACTGAGTAATTAAATCTTAGAAATAATAAATTCTGAATATAAAAACAACACAAAAGAAAATAAAAATAATGTTAACACATAAATGTACTTATAAAATAGATCAGATCCTGATTATTTCTGGATATAGAAAATAATAAATTAGAGTATTTACAATTGTGATTGTCAAAGGCATTCTTAATCCAAAAACTAGTATAAAACTATAAACCAATACAAACATTTCATTAAATGGTTCAACAGTATAAATGCGAAGGTCCATAACTATCTTGCTAATTTGAGACATTTCTTTAATTTGACTACATATGTTCACACCCAGAAATTTATTATTATCAACTGTGTTATATTTCAACTACTACGAAGGAAGGGTTTTTGAACATTATAAGGTACTGCTACTGGTCACCATTTTATTCTTCTTCCAAATAGTGGCCACAATTCTTATCAGATTTCTTTTTAAGAAAGAAGATGGCAAACCATTTGGATAATTGTGCTAAATTCTCATTCATTTAAGTATCATAAAAAATAAATAGCATGTCAAAACAGGCCAACAATTGTGCATGAAAATATTAATTAAAATGTAAAAATGTCAAAAATTAATTGTACTTTTTCTATTATTGAAGTTTTAAAATAGAGATCAGAAAAGGAAAGAGATATATAACAAGTACCATGGAATGAGTTCAGTCAAAAGATCTCTATGAAATAACAAGTAGTTGATCAATCTTACAGCCATTCCCAATAAACTATGCACAATAAGCAATTTTTTACATAAAGATATAACGCATTTATTCTAAGTAATCACACCTATTTCTTAATGGATAGGTTACGAGGAATGGTAATTAAATTTTATTAAATAATTAGATTCTCGTCCTGGATGAGTTATCTTTCACTTCAAAAAGTTTCCGTACAAAATAAACTTGAAGAGTGGCTGTTGCAGCTATTGCTAGTATTTGGATAAAGGACCACCTGAAAAAAATTAAAGACATTAATTTTGACATGGCTGCAGCGATATCCGTAGACATAATTCCATTCACCAGTCTGGGATGAAGTGTTCTCTCTTAAATGACTAAACAGTTACAGAGATATTAAAATAACGGTACTTTTTGATATTTACTATATAAACAGGGATAGCTATGAAGCCCCAGTACAGATATTTACACTGCAGTATGAGAAAGACACGTATATCTCGAGAACTACATACATTGGGTAGACAACTCAGTTTTGATCATAAATTACGAGCTGAATAAGTCAAGAAATAATTTCAAAGTCCAAGAAAGTGGATTGCTATCATAGATACACCAAACTAAATTTACTTATAAATAAATTGATACTTTATTCTGTGTAAGATATAATGATTTAAGGAAATGTTATTCTAGCAGATAATCATCCAGTTGCATCCTGGGCAGCCTAAAGACACTACTGGACACTTGCAATGACATCAAGAAATTACAATCCTTCTTGGATGAACTGGGTTGGCAGGACTAAAGCCTCCACTGTTTGCACGCAAAACAGGCACTAAGTGTCGAGTTGCGGAGAACACCCGTCGTCAAGAAGAAGAAGAAGAAGAAGAATCATCCAGTTGCACAAACATCCATTACAATAGGGATGATGAATGGGTAATAAAAAAAGCAATTCTATTTAGTCCGTCAGTAAAATAATAGAAAAATACTAAATATGTATTTTTTTTACTTCAATTTAACAAGAAATAGCTTAGATAACAGGCATTAAAGTTGAGGAGTGGGGGCTCGCTACGTCACAGTTGAGTAGAAAACGTACCATAACGTGACGTCATGCGAAATTTCAATTCCATGTATCGCCGTTATTTTTAGATTACGAAAAAAATACGTGTTTAATATTTTTTAACACTCTACCTGACTGACAAACAAACAAAAATTATTCGTCATCCCTATTGTCATACAAATTCATTAGAGCTTAAAGGTGTCACTAAACCTTAATGGACATTTGTGAAATTGTCCGAAAAAGTAGAGAAACATTAATAAACAGAAAATACCTGAGAACGTAGGTGTTGTTGTCCATCAACAAGTTATAATCTCGTGACTCTCTTGCACGAGAATGATATTGATATTGGAGTATATCATTGATATTACGCTCCACAAATTGAATGGAATGCTAAAAAAAGAAAAAAAATACATAAATATTTTACTCCCTGAAGTTGTAATATTTACATTATGTACATTCAAAATCAAAGATATATATACACCATAAGTTGCCACAAAATGTAATCATCCAAATTATCATAGATATGGAAACATACAAAATACAAAAATAAGTATACAATAACTTGAACATTACTTGGTAAATGGACAAGTGCAATAATATGTATCCATAGGACCTCATTAACTTTGAGACAAGCACATAATCATAAATATTTACCCACATGATAATCAAAACTAGTTATAAACAGCCAAAAGGATAAGTTAGGTTGATCACGCTTGCCCAGTACAGATGGGTTTCATTCATTAAGAATACCTGTACTTCAATACTAACAATCTGCATAAGGACCTACATGCGGGCCCAGTCAGGAATGCTGGGTGGTTTGATTTCATCCATTAAAAATATCTGTGGTATAACACCACCAATCTGCATTGGGACCTAGACTTGTTAAGAATGTTGGGTAAATTGATTTTATTCATTAAGAGTATATGTGCTTTAGTGCCACCAATCTGCATTAGGACCTATATGTGGTCCCAGTACGGAATGCTGAGTGGATTAGATTAATTTAGTTTTAGCACCTACACATGGACAGGATGCGCACTACAAAAGAAATTCAAATTTTGTTGCATGACTTATGACATCAAATGGAAGAGACAAAACATCATTGATAGATAATCCTAATTATGGTGATTGACAAAACATAAATAGAGACTTGTATACTTAATTACGTACCCTAAAACGAACATAAATTTTCAAATGCTTTATGTATTAATGCCCATGGACTACATATTTATGTTCCAATATGGTATACATATTTTGTTGCATTTACAATACAATTTTATGGATCTTTATAGTAATACTTATATAGTGTCAAAGCACTTGTATCTATATCTTTGATCTTAAATGTACAAAAAAAAAGAAAACAAATATAAACTATCAAACTTACAGTAAAGTTCTTTATATTCATGTCTAGCTCTTCTACTTCTTTAGCATATTTTTCCCACATGTCGTATCTTATAACGGAAAGGTAAAGGTTGACCAGCTTGCCCGCGAATCGGGAAAACTGGTTATCAATACACACAGCATAGTACCCCCCTGAGGATGACTGGTCTGCATATTCTGCACTCTGCCGCCATTCGTACGGGTGCACAATCTGGCCGTTGGGATGTCGCACCGCAAACCCGCACATTCCATCACCACCTTTTAATACCTACAAAATAGAAAGTTCAACAGACTTTACTAACTTTCTAAACTTAATCTCAAGGTCGTAATACACATCATTCGTACAATGTAAGATACTACTGGTATGGAAAATTAAAATTCAAGTAAACAATAATAGAAATAGTTAGAATAATTTAATAATTACCTGATAACTTGCGTAAAATGTAGCTCCCGGTTGGACATATTGATGGTAACAATCTTCTTTGCCGGCATCTATGTGAACTTTGTAGTCCATAGTAACGGCGGGTAGGTTTTCGTACCATGGTGCTGCTGAAGTTGAAAAAACATCACCAACCAGTGATAAAAGTGTAAATAAAAACGTTATCACTGTAAACATATGCCACGTCTGCCGGGACATTTTTCAATCAAATAATGACGTGAGAACGAGACACATAGACAGATAGATTTCTTATCTTAGAACAGGAAATATTTAACATACAGCCACTAAGGAAATCAAGTTAATTCATTGCATATTTTAAATAAACTAAAACGATGATCTTTCTCCACATATTTCTTTATGTATTACCATAAAGTAATGTACGAAACAGTTAAAAACCAAGTAGTTTTTGGGTTAATAATCATTAAAAGGGTGAGTATATAAAATGTATAGTTGAAAGACAATGGCTGCATAAAGACCAAATCTGGTGCTTTTGCCATTTCCATTTGAAAAAATCTACTGTCAAGTGTTATTTATTGTCCATTTCCTTTAAGGAAAAAATCTACCAAAAAAAAATTATTGTCCATTGTCATCATAGAGAAATATAATATTACCAAAAGGAAATTGTCATCCCTCCTGTCAATATCATATGGAAAAATAACCTCTTTTCATTATCATTTTACATGGAGAAGTTAATAATCACTTGAGTATATTTTTATTGAAAAATAAAAGAAGGAGAACGTCTTTTCTATAATCGTTAATATTTTTATATTAATAAATTCTTGCCAAAGGCGTTCGAAAGTTACTAATCTTATTAGAATAATGAAAGCCAGGTATTTGACGTTCTTTTCATATATAGGAACTCCTTTTAGGTTAGTATTGTGATACAAGTTCACCGGTTTACAGCCGACAAAAATTTTAATAAAACTAAAAAACAGGTCTTCAGAAAAAATTTGGCTCAAAGAAGGACGTAATCATGCTGACACAGAAAGTGTACAAGGAATGATAGAACTTGGTCTGTTAAAACTACGATCACTGAATTATCCTAACGTATTTTTATCAAGCCGGTAAGAAATTAGTTTTGTAGTATATAAAATATTTAAAATCAATGATTTTATATTTTATACCGTAGCTCGTGGCGTAGTGGATAAGCGCCGCGGCCCGCGATCATTGTCGTTAAGCAACTTTCGCAAGGGTCGGTCACGGGATGGGTGACCAAAAAATTATTATCTCGAGCTACTCCGTACTTCAGAAGGCACTTTAAGCCGTTAGCCCTGGCTGCATTGGGCCAGCGTGGAGGGTCATGGCCCATCCTCCTTAACCATCCATAAGGAAGGCCTGAGCTCCTGCAGTGGGGACGTAAAAGTGCTGTTGATGATGAGTTTATATAGGTACCTAAATAATTAAGGATAAAGTATTTTTTACAGTACAGATGGTGGAGTGCATGCATTATGTTCAACAGCTCATTTTGATTTGGAGAGATACGGTTCTAAGATCTATGAACCCCAGTATGTTTGTTATAAATTGAATAGGTTCTTCAATAAGACTGACACAAGCATTTATATTAAAAAATGCCTTCAAGTTCCTGACAATTTTAATGCCAGGCGAAAGGCTCTCTCTAGAACTTATCTGTACAGGTAAAAAGACACAGTGGTAGAACTTAATTTACTATGATTTGACACAATATTTTTAGTGAAAAGTTATTAAATTATAAAATTTATGCCTGAGTACCCTAATAAATAGATATTTTTATTCCCATACTTGTAATAAAAAAAAAAAATAAAAACCACACATCAAAGTCATTGTCATCATATGAGTTGTGTTCAACCAATTTTAATGTTCAGTACAGTGTTGTGATTGCAGGATTGATCAAATACAATAACAAAAATTCATGTTCTAGATTTGCTGTTGTAAAAAAAGGTATAGATTTACCAGAGGCTACAGAAATCGAGTCACGCATACCTGTTGAAGAGTGGAGAAGATGTTACTTCCAAAGGTAAAAAAATGACATTTAAGATAACACTGAAATTACAAAATTATGGATAAATATAAAACTTATAAAATAAATAAATTTATTTTTATTTAAATTTATTTAGAAATGTATTGACACATTAGGACACCTTTAATGGAAAATGGATAAAATATTTTAATATCATGCAAGTTTATTTATTGTTCAAGAAATCTTACAAGGTTAAAAAGTCATTCAGTTGGAGGGTTAGGCCCTTAATTGAATTTAGTTTCAATCAATCTGGATCCATTAGCAGATCTCTATTTTATAGTTTACTAATATAGCATTTTCTTATGTTATTTATATATAATGCTAAAATTTATATCAAATACTCAGGCCTATTATCCCGTGGAGCTGTGAAAAAACAAACTTCTAAGCCAAGGCAATCAAAAGATACAGCTGTTTTGCAAATTTTCGAAACTCACAAGGGAATCAAAACCTACAGGGTACTTCCCGTGAACTTGGAAATTTGAAATTTGCTACGAAGGAACATGTTATAGCACAGATAAAGAAAAGAAATCAAAAACCGTAAATTTTTAGATAGATATTTTTGTACAGAACCCTCGGTCCGCGAGTCTGACTCGCACTTGACCGGTTTTTCTACTTTAATTTTAACGATAATATTAACAAATTCTAAAGAACGGGTTAACACGTTTTACACACATAGTTACATTTTTTCACCTACAATTCCTGTGTACCATGAAGAAGAAACTGATTGTGTAAACGCACTTTAATGGTTCAAATAATGCTTCATGTTACCAGATTGCAGAACTTTAATGTGGAAATATTCAAAGAAGGCGCGAAGTACTTTGTCGGGTACCATGACTTCACGACATTCAAGAAGTTTGATAAACTAAAAGATCACAAGCATAACCGGCGCCTACTGTACTCAATCACAGTGCGCCCGGGGGCCCCTATTGTGACGTCATACACACGGGAGCGAGACAACAGTATCTTCGATTATTGGGAAGTAGAGATCAAAGGGAGAGCTTTTGTTCATAACCAGGTATATTCAGAAGAACTTTTATATATTTCATTTTTTACAATAATGTTCATGTAAAAAAATTAAATATATAATGTATATACAACAGCATCATTTTGTTTTTGTCATTATCATCATTTCATCAGTTTTTTAATGTTCCTAATGTTGGTGCACAAGCCTTCTTGGATGGAATTGAATGAAATTCACAATGGATGGAATGAAAACTATCCAGAACGCGCCCTTGTGAAATTACTGCTAGCTGCTACAGCTATTGCGGAGCTCCTCTCTTTTATTTGCCTTAATAATTAATTATAAATAAAATTCTTTCTTTACTTTGTAGATCCGCCGCATTTTAGGAACATTGATGGCCGTCAGTATTGGCAAGCTGCCACTGGAGGAGATCAAGTTGATGCTACAAGTGCCCTCCAAGCACTCCTGGTACAGCAACATCCAAAGCTTCCCCCCCGACGGCCTCTACCTATGCGACATCGAATACGACCCCGCCGATCTTATTTACCAACCCAACCAAGACGAACAGAAAGACTTAGAAAGTGACGGTGATAGTGAATCGACATGAGTTTTCTCAGTGAACTACAGAAACGTAAAAGTGAACTGAAAGAGACAGAAACAGTTGTAACTAAAGTGGATGGACGGCGGTTCGTGGAGAGAAACGCGGAAACCCTTGATACACTCGACCCTTGCTATGGCTTTGTCGTCGACACGAAACCTGACAATACCCCTGTCCTTGTTGTAGACAATTTGTATATAGGCTCTCAGGACTGTGCTGCAAGTGAAGTGCTGCAGTTGTATAATATTCAAAGAGTTCTAAGCCTAGGTGTAGGAGTAGATGTTAATATCTGTAGCAAGTATGTCCAATGTTTTGATCTTCCAGAAACTGATATAAAGCCAATTCTCGGAGCTAGTTTACCATTTATCCACGAGGCTATTGAAAATAATGAGAATATTCTGATCCACTGCAATGCTGGTGTATCACGGACGTCTATGGTTGCCATAGCTTATTTAATTAAATACAGAAACATGACATACGAAGACGCGTACGCTTTAATCAAACTAAAAAGACCGGCGATAAATCCAAATGCAGGATTCCGAAAACAATTAATGGCTATGTCAACATTCAAAGATTAAATTACATAGATACTAACATAAATAAAAATATGATTTGAAAATCACCTACGCCAGTCAGTTGTAACAATTTAGTTTAATTATAGTAGTAAGTATTTAATATTTTCATATTTCAAGTAAATAATAAACGATTTTGTTTATAACTGGAACATTTTTATTCAGTAATAAATAATACAATATAATTAAGTACATGAGCCAAAAAAATTGTGTATAATTAAAGCGGCTTCGACGTTGACACCGTTCCCGGAGTATTTAATCACATACATTAATTAGGTACAATATGTATTATTCATTTTGTAGCACCAAATTTAGGACTTAAAATTTATATACTTAAACTTAATCAACATGAATAATTTTATTAAATTATCTGTACCTTACCTTAGAGGACAAGTAAATGATTTCAAATATAAAATGTGTATAGAAATTAATCAATACATTATTATGGGAATTGTGGAAGTAAATACAATGACAAGGCTAAAGAAAATATGTTGTCGAATACTCAATAATAATGTCACTTTCATCAGACACAAAAAAATTGTACCAAGTGATTATTAATCTTAATGTCATGACAGTATCGTATAATATTTGTTTGATAATGCAAAAATTATATCGCAATAAAAACAATAACAATAAATACATAATAAAAAGGTTCATCACATTTAAGCTTCTACATACCTATTGAAAACAATCTAAATTCTCAATTAAAATTTTAAAAGGTTAATCCAAAATACAATCTGCTTTCTTTAACCGAGCAACTAGAATCCACGAAAATCGCATAAAGCACCTCAACCTCGTGAAACAAAGTGGTTTATTTTTTTGTAAAAATAAGTGTCATTGGACGGCTTCGACAAACTCAAACAATTGGTACACGAAACACACAAACAATTGTTTTCTTCAACAACTAAACAAGAACAAAATTATAAGGTAATAATAATATGAATTAAATGACTAGGGTAGCCATCCGTCCCAAGTTACTACGGATATTTAGGAGATTTTTTAATCTGGAAGAACATTTGATATGCCTTCGTAACTACAATTGCTTTACTCTCCTTAACATTGTATGGACTAAAAATACACTTACAGTTCAATATTGTATTGGATATCAAGTGTATTTGATTTAAAACAATATATTAAGTTTCACCAGATACGTTAAATTCAGACTTAATTCAATATGAAATCATCAGCTGACCTCTATTGATGATGCAACAATGAGCGTCACGTAGATATGCCCAAATTATACGAGCGTATAGTCTCGAGATACATGTCCCTGTACATAGATGGCGACCCTACTCATAGCGTTATTTCCAAACACAATTACCCTCGACCGGCTGATAAGGGAAATGCAAAAAATAAATACGATATAAAACGGTGGCGCATTTTCATTACAGATAAGTATCATATACTAAACCAATGAACACTCGATATTTGGTGATGACAGAATCAGGATTGTACACTAGTTATAAATCTAAGGGCATTTACAGGCACAACAGCGCTTATTCTAAGAATTCTACGTCTTCGTGTTGCAGTATTCTCGTTTGATTGTGTAGATTCAGTTATATTCTTTAAAAAAATGCAATGATTTATTATATAAGATAATACTTTCTGTTAAGGTAGCGTAAATGCGCGCACTTTAAGCCTCGCATCAGGGCTGTCCGGCCACTATGACCTGTAGAGCGATTCCGTAAAAATCCGAACCCGAATTCAAATTCACTTAGATGCCCGAATTTCTATTTCTATTGATTCCATTCTTTGTATAAAAATACAATACAAGATTGATTAATTCATAAGTGTCTCAGATATTCTATCGCTATGATACTTATGCTACGAAAAGTTAATACAAATTCAAGGTTAAGCGGATGTCGCTTTCGTGAATTCGAGTTCGGATTTTTACGTAATCACTCTCTGATCAAAGCGTGTCTGGACTACTTGATTTAACCCACCACGTAGTACCCTCACTAGGGGAGAAAGTTTCGAAATCCTTCAAAGAGGGCTCGGAACAGACCCCACAATAATACAACACGGTTCGCTAAGTAAGCATAGGTACGTACTCAAGGGCGGTTGGGAAATGTGAGTGTATTTTATGAAATTAATGATTGCATACCGGTCCACTTCACCATTTATGGCATCATATAGTACATCTGCCCTAATGGTGTAGGTCCGCATGCGATGTGCGAGAAATTTCTGAAGTTAATTTTCATTGGAGCAACTAGGAAGCATAACGTTGCTTATATATATTTTAGCAAATAATAAACGCAAGTGCGTATTCGTAATTTAGCGGAGGCTTTGACGTTCAGACAACACGAAAAAGTAGAAACGAAATAATTTATACACTTATTATGATACACATATTAAAAGTACATAATATGTTTAAATACATACTACTTAATATATTATTTCTTGAGCTGTAAGTACTATTTATTGTATCTTATTTATTAAGCAAACATTGAGCGCAATTCTGATGTATACTTTATTAATTTAGTTGATTTATAATGTTACTATAAGGTCGAAAATCGAAGGCATTCTTTATACTTTGTTTTCAAGTTTGCAACAGAGTTTAAGCCCACTGCTAATAGATACGCTTACGCTAAAAATATTTTTTAAGTCACCGAAAACTATTCTAATGTCATTCATAACGTTTTCTAAGTCAATAAAATAGTTTGAGACCATTAGTAACAATTGTATTTTTTTTATATAACCAAGACTACTGTCAAACAGGTTCGGAATGTTAATATTGCATCACAAACATGCCCGCCGCTTACACATTGCAAGTAACACGTTAAAAAGCTAAAATGACCAGCCGTCAGTCTTGAATAATAATGATTAAATCTCAAATTAGACGTCAATTTTATTATACTTAGTAGAATTATAACAGAGTTATTGTATGATGTATTTAATAATTTCAGAAACCATTATTATCGATCTGCCCCAATTATAACAGCTACTTTCCAATGTCAAATAAAATTCAAAACATAACAAATATTATATAAAAACTTTATATATAAATTAATATTGTATTCACGATATTGTACTTTAACACTTTCTATTAATACTTATTTAATCATAAATTAAGGCACTTTCTTACTTAAAAATCTATAAACAAGATATAAATACATAAAAATGGACGAAATATTAAAATGTAAGTCACTCGAAATTGGTTTTTAACTAATATATTTCATTGTAAAAAAAAATCATTATAAAAACAATCATAACATTTTATATCAATAATCTAGAATTCAGATTATTAAATAATAATTTGTTTAAGAAATCTACTGTTTGTATCAATATAGCTTATAATAAGCACAATATTCCGATCGGATTTTAGCAATAAATATACAAAAGTTGCACTAATACTCGACTTCGAAGATTTCCAATACAAATCAATTGAGTGGGTAGCAATTAAAAATTAATTTTGAAAAGAATCGAGATGTTCGAGTTGTAGAGCAGACGCAAGACAGTAAGTAGGATTATATCTTTTGACTCATGATGCATGATTACTTGCTTATGATAGTAATTTCACCATTTAACTTATAATTGTACAACACAACATATCAACAATGAGCATTTATGTTAAGTAAATTTTAAAATTTAATCACAATAACCAAATAATCTTATAAATAAATGTTACTATCAAATAATATAATATACACAATATTAACATGAAAATTGTGCATATTGGAGTGATTGTGTATAATTATTTCATATATGGGATTTGATCCACCTGTGTATTTATTAATTAATTGACATATCTTACATATGAAATGCAATAGATTTTTCAAGTCTTTAAGCCTCAGTCATCGTGTTTGCACAATTTACAACCGGTTTCTGAATTGTGAAAAGTACAAAATCTCAACTTATTATTCTGCATACCTTAAGTTTTTTCTTTTTAAATTTTTTTTATCAATATTCTTTATCGACTGAGTATTAAAAAAACTAAAATCAGAAACTAAAACTTGTTTATGCGACGCTTGAGGCGTTCTTAATTTTAAATTCCCAATTCATAAACCGGATGTTATTTTCGCATTATATAGTGTTGTCGCGTCGTTGACGAGATCGATATAAAGGCAGTGTTTACATAATTCACATTCAACAAACATTCAGATTTGTTAACATTAAATTGGAGTTTATTATTATTTGTAACTGAAGATAATATATGTCGATTAATATTCAAAACAATATAATTAAATCGGAATATTAATTAATATTTAAAAAATGTCGTTCTAACCCCGTGTCGGAAATAATGAATTTTCTCAAATCCACTCAAACCAAAATATAGAAAAGTTCTATTCCTCTCAGCCAAGAATAAAATCTTGAAACTTAGATATACTTTACCATTATAGGCAAGACGTAAAAGCCTTATAAATCAGTATTTAATTCAGTTTTGTTTCTTATAAAACTGGCCGTAGAAAATAAAATGGAGAACAAATTATTTGGAACACAATTACTTCTCATATCTCATATTGACATAAAATTAGAACAAATCTTTGAATTAATTGAAGCATTAGTAATTTATAGTTTTTTTTTTATTTTTATTAATTTCAGACGGTGGATCCGATACAGGCTCCATTCGTGTTTTTAGACTGAGATGTAAATGTATTTCAATGACACCCACTTAAACAGCAGGCCGATTCTGTAAAAATCCGAACCCGAATTCGAATTCACTCATATGTCCGAATACTCGTCATTTAGTGAAGAAATTCTACTGTTTCCATTATTTGTATGAAAATACAAAATAAAATTGATTGATTATACGTGTCTCCGATATTCTATTTCTATGTCTTTTCAAAACTCACTTCACTTATGCCACGAAACGTTATTACCAATTCAAGATTGAGCGGATGCCGCTTTCTGAAGTGAATTCGGGTTCCGGTTTGGATTTTTACAGAATCGTAGGGCTGGTCACAGATTGATTTATTAAAATTAATTTGAAAACTTATTAATTGTCCAAGTAAAAAAAATGAAGTATGTACTATAATATTATGGGTATGTTCCGATATACACTGAGAGCACTGCGCAGTGGTCTTACTGCTGAAAAATCCGTTCCGTTATGGACTGCCAGTATACTGCTACAGTACCCTAGGGAAATTCATGACGTCATAAATTGCCGCCATATTTGTACTGTGAGCACTGGAGATTTCGAGGTAAGGTGCTCGCAGTGCTTTTGATCACGTGATCAGTCGAAACAGAATCAGAAAATGATAAGTTTCTAAATAAACAAAAAAAAATACGTTTATTATAAGATGGATAAATAATTTTTTTATACAATTTTCCAATTTTATAATATTTTCTTTTGAAAAGAGGGAATCTTTATATTTATATTCACCTTGCATTAACAAATTTGAAAATGGCGCCAAAAAATAGGATTAACAGTATACTGGACTGCGTTCCGTTTTAAAAAGTCACCAGTATAACTAGCTATAAAGGAACGGGCTTCCAGTATACTAAATTGACGTCATACTGTTCAGTGGTCGCAGCGTATATCGGAACATACCCTATGTGTGTTTAAAATGAGTAATAATATTTTGTTTAAAACAGACTTTAGCACATCAATTTGGCAATATTTTATTTTATTATTATAATATTTATCTTTTGTATAATTTGATTGTCTTAATATGTGTAACCCAAGTTTCACCATGCCTGAGCCATTATAAGCTCATTCAATCACATTACAACTGGGGGCTAATCTCATAAGCTAATGGAAGATGACGATTATAAGTTTGAGATTTATTACAGCTGTTACTTGGTCATGACCAGGGCATTGGTAATATTTTTATATTCAAATATCTATTCGCAGCTTGCGTACATAAATTGTTCGGTATAATATGTTTTTTTTAGTTCGAGCAAGGAAATCTAACACTTAGCGGATCGTAGCGTAGGCAAGCATTAAGAGAAATTAGAAAAATTATGTAACAAGTTGTCACAAAAATGTAGTGTTTTAATTCTTCGTGGATTCGATGATAATTGAATATTCAAATCAGAATAATATTGCATGCCTAGGCATGACCAAGTGACAATTGTCATAATAAGTTTTTCTGATTAGCTACCAATATTCTCTAGCCATCTACTGAGTATTTTTGCTAAATGAAGACCAGACTTGCACACGAAAGATAGGTAAACTGGATGACAACAAAAAGAAAAGTAGCACTAACACCTCGTAAGAGGCAAATATAATTGTCAATCAGAGACTACCTACGCTGATGCCAAATCTCAATGCTGTGCCTTGATCGCTCGATTATGTAGTACATTTATGCTATTTGAGCGAGTTTTTTTTTTCTATGAACTCTTTTTGGTTGATGTGATTATGGTTTTTCTTTTCACCTACGAAAATCAATTTATTTTTTACAAACTTTTCACCAGCGGCTTCGCCCGCGTTCAATCAAAATCCGTTCAGGAGTTTCTGCCTGAAGAAGTAACAAACTCTCGCCTTTATAATACTAAAATATTATAGACAATGTAAACATAATCTCGATTAACGACATCATCTACATTTATTGTTCGATTTACCCTGACGATGCTGATACATATTCATAATAATTTAAAATTAAGTACAAATAATTTTGTATCAAGTAGGCAGATAACTACTGTATCGAGTAACTTTTTGCTTATTTACAAAAAAAAAACCATACAAAAATCACAACAGCGGAAGTTTCTTTAACTGCGCTTGATTCCATACGCATATCTCCACTGTTTTTTGAGCAAATAAGAACTGTTTTCTACGCCGTTCGTTAACCCTAAAATCCTTTGAGCGTGAGCCCTCTGGCGGGCAAACTGTGAGCTTTAGCGGGCGCGTCTCTCGCCTGCGAGTGTGCCACGGCTATACTGAGGCACTGCACCCACTCCTCCGCGTTCTTGCCGTCCTTCGGCTTCAGTATGAGCGTTTGGTCGCCGGTGAATATCTCGAACGCTTTGGGTATGTTGCGGGCGCCGCGGGACACTTTCACTGAGCGGATCTGATTGATGTCTATGCTCTCGCCGCCGCTCTACGGGGACACAATGTCAGGAACATTCACGTCTAGTGTTTTTAGTCTTCATGCTAATGGCTGGTTTACACGTAAATAACTAGATAAGAAGTAAGTAGATTTTTACTTAATTTTAAGTAATGAAGTACGTGTAAACACACAAATAAGTAGCAAGTAAAAATTTTGTTAACTTGCTACTTATTACTTATTTGTGTGATTACTTTAATTATATGTACTTAATTACTTAAAATTTTGTTATTAAACTACTTATTACATATACACTTCCTTATGCGTAAACCAGCTATAAGACTGATGAAATTTCAAGTTTATAGTTTGTTTGATAGTAAACTTTGATTTATTTGAAAGATTTAAAAGTTCAGTGAGAAAAATGCGCAGCAATTATAGACCAATTTCATATATAATGTAGCTCAGAAAATATGGTAACGGGATACAGATTATTTCAAAAACTGATCTCTCCCTTTCAAGACAATCTTTAACTTTCTAATGGAATTAGATATAAACATTTATATAGCTACAGCGTTGACATCTACTGTCGTTCTTATTACAAAGAATACAAGAGTCAACTGTAACGGTCCAAACGTAGACTTCTGAAAAAAAAAAACCTAATCAAACCATTCATCAATATAAATAACCGGCAAATACTCACGGATCCCTTGCAGGACAGATGCGCGCCAGAGAGCGTGAAGTACCTGGTCCTCCAGCGGCGGAACAGTCGCCAGCGGCCCTTCTTCTCCTTGAGCTGCCCCTCGATGACGGGCTGCCCGTCCGCCGCCAGGAACCCCAGCGCCCGCTCCGGGTGCGTGCACAGGAAGCAGCCCCACGTGGCGGCCGCCGGGCCCTCCGCGCCCCCCTCCGATACCAAGAACACGTCGAAGAAACCCGCCGCCCTTAACTCGTTAGCCACCATCTCCTGCTCCTGTGCGAAGGCAATTTTCGACTTGACACTTTGCAATGCCGTTTTTTCATGCACCCGTAGTAGGGTATTCTACTCTGGTTGAAACAGTATGAACTTGTGTATAATTTAATCTATGAACTTTTGAAAAGATATTTCGGTAATGATAAATAAAATTTAAATTTAAACTAAACGCAGGCCGCCATATATATATATTCAGTTAATAATGCATCTGTCAAACAGCTATTTCGATACGTACACAAAAAAAAAACAGACAAGAACAGTACCATCTAACGAAATGGCTACAATAAAAATAATATATGAAAAGTTTAAACATTTGTAAAAATCTTTCTTTCAGCTGTTTGGGTAAATTACCTGAACATGGATGAAAATACGCGCTGTAGTAGAAAAGTAGCAAGTCCTCGAAAAATTCGTCAGTCCCGGGTTCGAATCCCATCCCAGAGTGCAACATATTTAATTAAGAATAAATATGAAAGTAAACCTTGAGCCCGGGGAAGGCGCTGGTGACGAGCGTGAGGAAGGTCTTGTTCTCGCACTTGAGTATGTCCCAGCAGTGCTTGAGGCTGGCCACGGTGGGGTCGCGCGAGGACAGCGCGCGCTCGTGGCGCGCCTGCAGCGCCAGGAACATGAGGTGGATCCACACGCGGGGCGCGCGCGTGCGCACGCTGAACAGCGCGCGCGCGTACAGGCAGTGCGCGCCGCGCCGCCCGCACGCGAACGACAGCCGCGCCTGCTTCTTGGAGCGCCGCTCTGGGGGCGGACGGTTTCACATGCTATATAATCACTAATGCACTCGACATACGCCCCCTACAGACAGTTGTGTACGACACTCGGTACCGTTAACAAATATATTAAAAGCCAACATCAAAAAAAAAACACACACACACACGCACGCACGCACGCACGCACGCACACACATGTAACAGGTATTCATGAATACCTACTAGGATGGTTTCAACCACGATTGTAATCATATGAAATCGTATATGAAAGAATTTTTTTTTTCATTTTTTTTTAAATAAAGACTGCCAGGCGAAAAGACAAAATGTTCACATGTCAGGAAAAAATGGTGATACAGTGTAAGAACAAAATTTAATATAAACACAGCAAACCAAATTACCTTCGATGGTGCACTTTGCCGGCGGGGGCAGCCGCAACGACACGTTATCCATGTACGCCTTGATCTTGTCCAAGTGCTTCTCGCAGAAATGTTGCACCGTATCCCTCATAGGGTACGGCTCGAACACGCTGATGCGGTGGTTCGCGTTCCCGGCCGCGTTGATCACCGTGACACTGGTATTGTTGGCGCGGCGTGACGTCACCGTGACGGGCCCAGACACGCACACGGGAGCCCCCGAAGCGGCCCCGGTGCCCCCCGCCGCCGCCGCCGCCCCCGCGGGGCCTCCGCCCGCCCCCGCGCCCGCGCACACCACGGCCGCGCCCCCGCCGCCACTCACGGAGACCGATGACGCGACCGGCGCTAGACCGTCCGACGATTTCCCCGTGAGCGGATTCACCGATATCGATTGCGTCTGGAGCGGTGGACTCGATATTATCGTCGGACCCGATGTCTGGTGATCACGAAACACAAAACGTTGAGAGTAATTTCCCTACTTTAAAGTTACGGATCGCGTAATTACGATATTCTATTTTAACTTTTGTGGTTAGATTCTTCTAAACTGCTCTTATCCGTAAGCTACACTTTCACACAGCCTGTCTTTATAAGTATTAGTTTATGTCATATTAGTTTTTTAATAAACTTAAGACAAGGTAAGCTAATAAGTAGCATATCAATAATACAAAACTATTGAATACCTATCGGAATACATTAAAGTAACGCTCACATTGATATTGCCGCCCACCACGATGCTGTGCGGCGCGCGCGCAGGCCGCGGCGGTGACACACTGCTCACCGTCACTCCTGCGCCGGTTAACTTCACGCCTACACACACGAAATGTAGTTTATAAGTAAACAATATATGAGGTATAATATTATTATATGCCAGCACTTTGTGAGATAAATGAGTTAAGTATATTGACAAACTTTTACTATGGGATTTACTGTTAATTACTTTTATTATTTTTTCGTAAATTCAGTGTTAATACTCAATACTCAATAAGTTGAAAATTGGTCAATATACTTAACTCATTCACTCCGTGAAATCTTCTTATATAATAATACACCTTATATTTAGTATTTTTTGGTTTATAATAAATATTTTTAAGTATATTTTATTTTCCAAAGTTTATTATTAAACCAATTCTATATATGCAATTTGTAATAATTTTAGACTGTAAAAAAATATACAGAAACATACGCCGTTGGTTCGGACATGTAGAAAGAATAAAAAACTGATAAACAACGCGCAACACACACATTTCACGATCAAATTAACCGTGTACTTTTAGAAGGTGATGAAGTCATAAAAACCGGCGAGTATGTATGAAGAGTAATGAAAGTGAATGAGACGAAAGATGTATGTAAGTAACGACCGAACATTGTGACATTTGGTTCTCTCTGCCTACCCCACCAGGGATACGGCGTGAAGATATAGATAGATAGAAAAAAATATACAATCAAATTCTGTAATGTTTAAAACATATCATTTTAATGTCAACTTATCAATATTAAGTTTCACTTGCCATTGCTGGGGTGAGCACTAATATTTTGCTGCGAGTTAATTTGTTGTGAGTTAATCTGTTGCGAAGAAGACAAACGCGTCATGCTTTTGTGAAGTCCTCCCACCGAACCACCTAAACAAAAAAAAATACAGATTATTAATTATACAGTTAATACGCACAAAGCAAACATTGCAGAAGTTAACATAGACTTATTTCTTATAAACAACTTAGTATTACATCTGTTAGAGATCTTTCTCAGAATAAACTTCCCAAAGTTCGAAACATATCGCGGGCTTCATGCAAAAGGGGAATATAAAAATGAGTTATTCTTTTATAACATCTTTTCTAATTTTATCAGTTAACAAAAACTATTTAATAATATATTAATGAAATACTTTTTGACATTCATGTATTATTTTCATGTCTCTTGAAAAGTCAGTCCGCCTGAATATTGATAAAAATACGCTCATTAGTAGGGAAAAGTAACCAGTGTATGAAAAATTCGTCTGTCTTGTTAGATCCTGGGTAGAGCAGTCGCCCAGATTGCGAAAGGTCGAGGGTTTCCAGTCCCATTTCAAAGTACCTGGGGCTGATGGATTTTTTAACCAATATTTTCCAAATTAGCATTGTGAATGCAAAATTGATTAAATATAATGTTTTATTTAACTATTATCCTGTATAAATTGTCTTACCCTAAAGGGTCATCATCATATGTTCATGAACAATTATATTACTATAACATCTATTTTTCACATATATTTGCCAATAAATCATGAATATCTAAATATACATAATTCAAAGATGACTGAACGGATCAGGCTGAAATTTGGCATGCAGATAGATGTTATGAGGTAGGCATCCGCTAAGAAAGGATTTTGATAAATTCCACTATAAAAATAGGGATAAAAGTTAAAATAGGGGATAAAAGTTAGTATAACTCTTCTTAGGTTTTCGTCTGACCTAACTGAAATAAAATATTACTATGGAGCTACTACGATGAAGACGTCTGCTTAAATAGGATTTTGATAAATTCAAACCCCATGGGGATAAAATAAGGAATGATGGGGGATGTAAATGTATTAGATATAATGAATAAATATTCGTTAGAAATACTGCTCAAAGTAACTTTACCACGCGAACGACGTCGCGGGCAAAAGCTAGTTAAGAGAAATAAATGATTCAATCAACATAGTTACCTGCCAGGTTAAGTCGAGTGATACTGCGATGAGGCGCTGCGTGCAATCTGCCGGTGCTGCGGGAATCACCGAGCTTAGCGCGCCGAGTGTACCCCGCCCCCGCCCCGACTCCCGCGCTGGCCCCGCCCCCTGCACTGGCCCCGCCCCCCGCGCTGGCCCCGCTACCACCGAGTTTTACAATTGTTACCCCACCCGAAGTGCGGTTCACCTCCCCAGCAGACACTTCTGATTTCGGCCTGCTGCTGTCAAAAGAAGAACTATGTGAAATTTAATGTGTTTTTAACTCAAGCAAGATTTTAGTTCCAAAAATGTAGAAAAACATCTTTTAGCCTTTTGTCGTCTGTTTTAAGCTATTTATCATTATGGTTTCCTTTCGTATATAACTTTGGTTTGAGCCCCTGTAGTGAGGATGTATAAGGGCTGCTGATGACGGACTTTATTTTTACCACAGCCACATATCATCGTAGTATTATCATCAGTTATTAATTTGTACTACTGTTGCACAAGCCTTCTTTATGGATATACACAAACAGGAAGAAGGAACCATACCTTGTGGATTAAGTAATGATTTGTCTGTTTACGACCCAGATTCAGACGAGAGCGACCTTTAACGACCGCACCTTTTAAATCCTCATCTCAATCTCATTGTAGTACATAAAACTAATATTAAAAATGATAGGCATGTCTATTTGATATTCATGTAGTAAAGAATTCTTTAATATCATTTTTTATACGGATCTCTCAACTATCTGTAGAGAGAAATACGGAAATATTGCAGCAAAAAAGTAGTTCTACTTCGACCACTCGAGCGAGTCAGTTAGATTGTTTTGTTGAATAGTTAGATTTGGTTACCCGGCGTTGGTGGCGGCTCTTACGGCGGCCAGTACTCGGTCAGTGAACAGTGCGGGGTACGCGCTGCAGAGGGAGGTGGCCTCGCGCAGCAGCGACGCCTGCACGCTGCGCTCCGCACCAGGCAGCTGCTCCAGCACGAAACTCAACGCGTCCGCAGCGCGATCCTACGTTAACCACGTTATATATAAATCAGTGATTCTATAATGTTAAGAGCTAATCGGATTCGCGCACCTATGCAGATATAACAATTTAAAAAAAAACCATAGATCTCTAAAATGTTTTCTTAGTTATTGTGACAATGTGTCTCTTTTATTTTATAAATTTTGTTAGGAAGTTTTTATTCAATACTGGAGAGTTAATAACACCCGATCTTCTCCACGGCTAAGTCTCGAATAGGGGTAGGAAATTAAAAATGAACTATTCAAAAAGTCAAACCCATGTTACCAAATTTAATAAAGAGAATTTTCACTTCGATTAAGCGGTAATAAAATATAATAATAAGTAATTTCTACTTTTCAAACGAATCATTTATGATTTGAAATACTCATACAAAATTCTCCGCAACTTTGGTGTTCTTGATTTTAGACTAGACAATCAAATGCTAGTTTCCGAAGTATTAGTTGGTAACTGGTGTGTAATGTGTGCGTGCGTGTGTGTGTGCGTGCGTGTGTGTGTGCGTGCGCGTGTACTTGCACGTGTACGTGCGCGTGTACGTGCGCGTCATGAATCCGCACCCGATCGGTGTACCCGAGGTGCGTGAGCGCGGCGGCAGCGAGCGCGAGTGCGCGGGGCGCGGCGTGCGGGGGGCGGCCCGCGCGCTCTATGGCCGCCGCGTGTGACGTCACCAGCGATGCGCGACGCCGACTCACGCACACTATCACCTGCACCGACCAAATAAAACACTACTTTCTAATATTGGAACATAACCATACTCAACCGATTCAAAGATTTCCACTGAACAAATATTATCGCAGACAATTCCATTGAAACTGTAATCAATTAGCAATTTAAATGTATTTATTTAAAAGGTTAAACAAGAAAGGTATATTTATCAAATATTATTTGTGAAAATAAAAATACATATTGACCATGCATAACTAGAGTTGTATACTCTACTTAGGCAGTTAAAGCAATAACTTAGCCACATTCATGTCAAACGATTCTTGGACAACAACATGATTTATAAAAAAAACAATCTTTGGAAAAAATCAGTTGACTGTGTCTACTTAGACACCAGCAATATACATATAATTATATCCTCTATAAAATATCTAATCCCAGTACACACCTGTAATATATCAAGGCACATACAGCCTGGATCACCGGGTGGTGCGCTGCTGGGACACAAATACGACAGAAGCTGCGGTACGCACGCCCGCAGGGCTTCGGGCCGCCGTGCCGCCACCTGTTCGAGTAAGGCGAACAGCGCGCTCTTCTCCACTGGCTCCGCGTGAGGCAGGAGTGACACCAGTGCCGTAGTGTGCGCCTCCAGAGGTTCAGGACATACCTCATATAAGTTTGTCAAGATACGGCACAAAGGGTAATTACCTATAACCAAAAATTTAAGCCTCAGATCTGCTATTTGTCATAACCAATGTAAAAAAAAATGATATATATCAATGCTGGTAAATAAACTCATAGTAACCTGCAAGACCATAAACAATCTTCAGAGCAGAATAACCTCTTTGTTAAACTCTTATGTACTAATTATATTGTATTGTAAAAGCAATTGTACACTGATAGTAAAAAAATATAGGGTACCATTTTTTTACCATATTATTCACCATATATTGGTTGTATATTTTTCAGTCAATTACCAACCTGACATTATTGAGTCCATAATAGTCTGTACATGTGGCTTCAACAGTGCTGCATGGTGGACAGCAGCAAGAGAAAGATACCGTGCCATATGCCTTGAAATCTCACGATTCCCTTTGTGCAAGAACTGAACTGCCACTGGCAGAAAGAGCTCCATTACATTTTTGTTACTGTAATGCTCTTTTTCAGCCTGCACTGGAAATGATACCTGTAAACATTAAGACTTTATTAAGTATAATATTTTTACCACTTATTCAATCAATTATTATATTGTTGTCATTAGTCATTTCAATAATTGAAAATGCATATAATCAAATGTATGAAGACACATGGATATTGTGCATTTGCAGTAGATAATGATAAGCGTTTATTAAAAACAACAAATACATATCAATAAATTGAAATAATATGACTAGGATCTTCCTGCACATACCCAAAGAAAAATTAAATATGTAGTTCTTCTTACATTTTTTCAGTGAAAACTTCATAAAAAAAATATGATTAAATGTATTCACAGACTAATATAATAATATGCTGAATGTTTAAATTTATTGATACTGACCAATACTATACATGCTATGATATCAGATGCAATCTTAGCATGTGGAGGATCATCATCTCTCAAATGACCCAGTGGCATCAGATTGTGATGTAAACAGGACTCCAGCAAAGCCACTAGTGCGCTACAATATTTTTCTAGGGTGCCTGTCTCTTTTATACATGATGTTACTCTTGTCACACAAATTTCTATCAATGCTTGATCACGGTCATTACGACAATAATCTGGTCTAGAAGATATTTCTGTTATTTGTTTCAACTGTAAATAAATAATTCCACTTAGAATACGCTCATTAAGTAAAGGTTTATAACCTTTATTAAAAACAAGTTACATACCACTTCATTCAGATCATCTACTATGTCGGTGTCTGGGATAGCAAAAATATCCCCAGCCCTTGTTAGATCTCTTTCGTTCAGAACGTGTTTTAGTAATTCATGCATCTTCACCACTAATATATACTAGTAGTTTACAGTTTTACACATTCCTATTCGTAGACATTCCTATCTTACACATCAACACTGCATCGACATCACTAATATAAACATTATATATTCTGAAGCGCTGAATTACAAATAACGGTGCATGTTTTATAGCGCTTTCTAATGCAAATTTACGACTAAAGTTCTACTTCTAATATTTGGAAAAAGAAGAAAAATAAAAACGAATGACCGATGATCAACCATAACACAGACCATAAACATTTTTTTTGTTTCATTTTCCCTTTCCTAGAGGGGAGGGGAAGGCAAAGGGTGCTTAGCCCATACAGCCGCAGACCATAAACAAACACCACATAAAACTTATTATTCTTCTCTCATCTTCTCTGTTCTCTTTGACAAAAACTTAAAACATCATTGCTTTCGAGTAGAGATACGAGTAAATACAAAATACTTTTCTTTCGATACCGAGTATTTTGGTATCAATACTTTACAATAAGCGAAAAACGAGTAATAATAATAATTCTTTATTTGCTATAAATAGGGTAGATTACAATGAAGTGGATAGTTGCTTCAATAACGTACTTACACCTATTTAGCCATATTATTTCACAAGCATGCAAATGTCAGTTCAACTAGATTTCAAAGCAATGTCCCTTTTAAATAATAATAAATATTAATTAAGATTTATTCATTTAATTATTTCATTTAATTAAACTCTGCATCTACTACAACTAAGCTATTCCTTGTGATTTAAAAAATCTTCCACTGTATAGAAGGTTATGGCTCAAGAGCCATCGATGTAACAATGTTTTGAATTGCTATATATTGCTAAAATATACTTGATGTGAAACTCAAAACTGTACTGATTACATTAACACATTACATGGAAAAAACTGGCAAATACTCATTGACAAATCAATATACAATATTCATAATAAAAGAAAGTGGACGAAATAAGTAGTCTAGTGCAGACTCACCCCTACTGGCAGCACCCGTTGACGAACTTGACGCATGAGCCAGATATGACTTCGCTCAACTATATTTGGATACAATTGGTAATTCAAAATTGTTTGGTTGAATGAATGTTTTTAAATCGTGTAATGGTCTCCTACGTGAAGTTGGCAGTATTGTGGTGACGCAAAGTGCCATTAAAGTTAAGAAGAAGAAGGGAACGTAACGACCCGACGCACACGACACCACCGCTGAGATTTTTAAGATAGCGTGACTACTCTAGGTAGTTATGAAAATAATATATTTCAATAAAACTGATTTCTAGAGTAGGCTGAGTAGAAAATCTATTATTGACAATATTATTGTATACTCAAAAAAAGCACATACCCCACCGTACGATTTAACATAACACCTTACTCGACGTCCACCATCGACATGCAAGTTCAGTAGCGATAGTATAATAACTGTACGTGTCTTGTGATTTTGAATTTTAAAGTTATAACCTTTTAAAGCAATTCGTTTCGAACGTACGTTTCTTGTTGATTTTTGAATTTTTATTAAGATAATTTAATTATGACTATAAGATTTAATAACTGCCCTTCGATTCTATAAAAATCCATACCCGATATCAAATTCATTCAGGCATCCGAATGAGGAAGTATTTTAAAAAAATAATTTGTTTTCGAAATCAAACTAGATGTCGCAACGGTACTGTGATGAATTCACGTTCCTGCAGGTCTTCGGATTTATTACTTGTAGGAAGTATGCCTCGTTTTAACCAAAAAATAACACTTTAGATGTTCATCTACGAAGACATTTTATTGAATTGAAAAACAATAACATGTGACATTGTCAATAAAATTTGAATATTATTATTTATTTATTATTAACTGAAATGAGGTTTGATTTATAACAGGTACGTTCTTGATTTTACAATGACAACCCTTCGGGTTTTCTTTCATGTTTAAAAGTGAATTCGTTTTCAAAACTCAATAAACAACTTATATTCTATTTGTACTTTTTCGTATTTGTATTGATATCCTAAATTTCGAACTTTTTAAATTTCAGTTTTTAATATGTAAGTTAAAAGGAAAGGAAATGGCTGTCTTTAGTCCATTCGTTTCCTGCAAAAATCAACTTTTGCTAGAGTCGCCATCAAGAGGAGGTGCTTTTTTAGTGCTTTGGTTTTTTTTTAATTACAAAATAAATAAGTAAGTGAAGTGAGTTTCGGAATAACATAGGAAGAGAATATCTGAGACACGTATATCCAATCAATTATATTTTGTATTTTTATATAAAAATTGAAGTCAATAGAATTTCTACACTAAGCGACGTGAATTTAGACACATGTGAATTCGAATCCGGGTCTGGAATTTACACAATCGCAGGGCTTATCTTAGTTTTAAAAAAACTTAAATTCGAAAGGACAACTTATTTGCATTTTGTACAAACGTCATTCTAACCAGAAGTGATGTTATTTTGTACGAGTACCTATTATATTTGATAGATATCGGGTAAGTATATAGATAACAAACGTATTTTTTATTATAATTATAGTTTTTTATAACTTTGTTGCTGATTAATAAACCCTATTCATTCATTCACCACTCATAATATAAAAACATCATTGAAATTTGATGTAGTTTTGTTGCTGTAAATTCAACTAACAACTAATAGCAACAAAACCAACTTACCTTTTTGTAATTGTTTTTAGAACTTTTGTTAAATATTATATTTAAAAATTCCTGGTCCAGCTATGGCATAAGTATGTTTTTTATAAAAACAATTACACGATGGTATACCGTAGCTAATTGCTACTTTTAAAAATTCTATAGATTTCCGTAACTTTTAAAAACTTTCTCTATGTTCACTTCCATTAGGTAAGTTTCTATTTTCCTTTATATAAATAAAAAGGAAGTTATTCTAAGATTCGTTATTATTACTCGAGTTGAGTTTGCGTAACTCGAACTAATTTAATTTTAACTCCATATTAATTCGAATTATCAGATCCATAACAACACTGACAATTCTATTCTCTTTGGTCTTACGTCATGAATTAACATTTAAATCCTACAATTTGTGCTGCCATCTAGTGAAATGAAATTTTGTGTTTATTTTTTATTTTTTTTAATATTTCCTCATTGGGCGATTTCTTTGTTTTCTCGTAGTTTGTGAATGACAGTTGTTTGTTTACTACTTAATTGAAGTTAGAAAAAATGGATACCCATATTATCCCTAAACTGTACCTATAAATTTTATTTTGGCATACCTAGGCATATGTGTAGGTATTTATTTATAGAACGAACAAGAGAGCTGTCGCGAAGACTTGTTCACCAACACATTATGCTAATGTGTTTTGGCACTGAACCTTAAAAGAAGATATATTTCTACTCTAAATTGGATCCCTTCGGCTGTAATTATAGGCACAAACCATTTAGCGGTGACAATAAACTTCAGTTTGACTCGAGTGAGTGTATACGTAGTATCGTATCTTTTTCTTAGTCTGTGGTAAAATCTCTTTCTTTGTCTGTGGAAAGTAATGGTGTGCGAAATCGATTACCATTAATCGAATAATTGATTTTTCAAATAATCATTTGCTATCGGTTATTATTTCATAATCGACTATTAACCATCGATTATTTCTTTAAACATTAGCATAGGAATAGTTTAAAATGTTAGTATAGTACCTACTCACTTTACTTCGATGGATCAGCAACCGATAGCGTATCGCGAGTGTGAATATTATTAGTAAATATTCTAATACTGGAATACTCCCACTGACAATTAGGTAACTTTACTCTTTGGTCGGGGAACTCCCGATGAATGAATGAATGGATCTTACAGTTTTATTTAAAAAAAATACAAATTAACCGTTTCTTACTAAATGCACATGTAAGTATACACGGTACATACCTTTACCAAAATAATATCTTTTACAGTTTTTGTCTGTCAGTTTGTTCCGGCTAAACTCTGAAACGGTTAGACCAAATTTGACGGGACTTTCACTGGCAGATAGCTTATGTAATAAGGAGTTACTAAGGCTACTTTCTACGCAGACGAAATCGAGGTTACAGCTAGTTTAATTCTAAAAATTTTACATGCACAATGCTGTTATAGTAAACATTGTCGTAAAATTGTTTTTTAACTATTATTCAATATATTGGATGGCTTTAAAATATGGTGGATTAAATCTGAAATCATCAATAAACCTTTGGGGTAAAAATATTTAATAGTCGTTGACACGAATTGATTACACTAGTTTACAAAATTTAACTTTTTATTTATACCCCGAAACAAATGTATGTAAATATGTTAATCTACCTTCCTTAAACCTAAAAGTGTTAGCAGAAATATTTTATCACGTCTTAATTTTTTCCTGCAGTCAAATGTTTTTTTTTAACTACCCGACATGGTGACGATATTTTATTGTTTATTTGTTCGCTTCAAACGACAGTTATCTTGCTTCGGATTGATTTAAAATATCTTGTAGAAAGTGCAAACAAAGTCCTGATCGTTTTTGTTGTGTTTGTGGACAGTTAATATTTTCAAAAAAGAGAAGACCTATTGTAGATTCGTTAAAAAATGCATATCTTCATTATTTTGGATTTCCTGTTGCAAATCAAGATAAAAAGTGAGTGCCTCACGTGTCTTGCGAAAGCTGTAGAATCATCTTACTCCAGTGGTCATCGGGAGAAAAAGTTTACCTTCTATTTGGTTCACCAATGCTATGGAGAGAACCTAGTAATCATGAAAATGATTGTTACTTTTGTGTTACGAAGACATTGGGATATAATAAAAAAAAATAAGGCAAGTATTATATATGCTGAAGTTCCTTCAGTTTCTAAGCCGATTTTACATTCGAAAGATTTACCACATCCAGTTTGTCCCGGTAATTCGAGTGCAAATATATTAGATGACAATATCAGTGATGTTGAATTCAAGTCGATTTCTAGTGATTCTGATGAATTTTCACCTCAAGAAAGCACTCCACATTTAATTAACCAAGCCGAATTAAATGATCTTATAAGAGATTTACAGTTATCAAGATCTAAAGCAGAGCTTCTTGGCACCCGCTTTCAACAATGGAATTTGTTACTACCAGACACAAAAGTTATGTTTTTCAGAAACAGAAGCAAAGCTTACTCAGAATTTTTCAAAAGAGAAGGTGTATATTTTTATTGTACTGATATCCCGGGACTTTTTTAAGCAATGAATCAATACTATGATAAAACAGAGTGGCGCCTATTCATAGACTCTTCGAAATATAGTCTAAAAGCTGTTTTATTACATAACAGAAATAAGAAACCGTCTATACCAATAGGACACGTGAAAATTACGAAGAAATTGTTAACAATTTATTGAAAAAATTTCAGGATATGGGAGTAAACATGTCATTAAAGATTCATTTTCTACACTCTCATCTGAATTTTTTCCCTGAAAACTTAGGAAGTATGAGTGACGAACAGGGTAAACGTTTCCACCAAGTTTTAATCATTTTCGAAGAACGACATCAAGGATTTTGGGATGAAAATATGTTAGGGGATTACTGTTGGTCCATCATAAGAAAAACTGATTAAAATAACTATAAAAAGAAAGCAAAATTTAGTAATTTTTAATTTATTTTTGTATTAATTCTAAAAAAATGTATTTCTCTTTAATTTAATAAATATTTTTTAAACCAGACGTGACCGAATTTTTTTATTATTTTTTCTGGATAATTCTACCTAAATACAAAATAAAATAACAACTTTCAGCTGGGGTATGAAAACCGTGTAAATCAGTGTTATTATCGATTACGAGTGTATAATAATCGAATCGGCACATCATTAGTGGAGGGTATGGATAAAAGTTTTCAGGTTAAGATGCTGATTAATTATTTTATCCACTCAAACGTAATCATCCCATAAAGATTGTGTTACTAATTTATTATTATTTATCATAAGTTATAATGCCCGTTTTATGTAGAACAGGCTGCGGTAAAAAAGCTGTACTGAAGGTAAAAAAAAAAACCTAACATAGCAACTTCATGTTAACAGTTTCAAGTATTTTCTTCTAATTCGCATTACATTTCAGCGGCCCAAAACAGGAGATGCTCTTTGTAAAGAATGTTTTTACCATGCCTTTGAAGCAGAAATACATTATACCATTACAAAGGGAAGACTTTTTAACAATGGTGATTCTGTTGCAATCGCTGCATCTGGTGGAAAGGACTCTACTGTCCTGGCTCACGTCATGAAAACACTAAACCAACGATATAAATATGGTTTAAATCTAATGCTCCTATCAATTGATGAAGGTATCACAGGCTACAGAGATGATAGTTTAGAAACAGTTAAGCAAAATCGTGATGATTATGAAATGCCTTTAAAAATTCTTTCATATAAAGACCTGTATGGGTGGACGATGGATGAAATTGTTGCACAAATAGGAAGGAAGAACAACTGTACATTTTGTGGTGTGTTTAGGAGGCAAGCTTTGGATAGAGGTGCGGCAATGTTGAATGTGAAATGTATAGCGACTGGTCACAATGCTGATGACATAGCAGAGACAGTCTTGATGAATGTATTAAGAGGTGATATTGCGAGGTTAAAGAGATGCACATCAATATCAACAGTAAGCTAATATTGCATCTTGTTAAGAAACATTTCAATTTATGTAAACACTTATTTTAGTCAATTGTTAATATCTTTTTTTCAGGGTAGTGAGGGTACAATACCAAGAGTAAAACCACTTAAATACACATATGAAAAAGAAATAGTAATGTATGCACATTATAAGAAGTTAGTGTACTTTTCTACAGAGTGTGTATTTGCTCCCAATGCCTACAGGGGTCATGCCAGGGCTTTGTTGAAAGATATGGAAAAAATCAGACCTTCTTGTATTATGGACATAATTTATTCAGGTTAATACCAAATTCAGTTACAATAAATGCTTACTATAATGTTAGTATCAAATCATAATATATAATGAAGATATAAAATATTGCCTTTTATGCCCATAACATCATTTATATAATATAGTTACTTCAACTATTATTTTCACAAAAAATAACAACCAGTGTTTTTTTTTTCCCAAGGGTCAATATACATAGTTTAATTTAAATTGGTTGTTGTTCAGATGTAATAGACAGAACTACTTTCATATTCATAATATTACTAAGTATTTAATCACATTTTTCAGGTGAAACAATGGCAGTGAAGGAAGACATTACTTTACCAACACAGAGGATATGCATAAGATGCAAATTTGTCTCTTCCCAAGAAGTCTGTAAGGCTTGTGTACTTTTAGAAGGACTTAATAAAGGTTTGCCTAGGCTTGGCATAGGCAAAAGTTCCAAAGCAAAAAAAATGCTTGAAGAGTACAATGCAAAACAGGGACACACTACTATTAAAGAAACCATGCAATATTTAGATAACAATTACACAAATATTGGAAATATTGAAAATTGTTTATCTAATGATAAATTATGTAAGTCAAGAGTATGTAAAGTTTCAAAAAACAATACACAACTGATTAATATTAGTGGCAAATGTAATAATGGACATTGTTCAGGACAATGTAAAAATAATCAATTTAGTAAAGATAAAGAAAACAAAAGCAACACTAAAATTAATATTTTACTGGAGCAGTATGAATTGAGTGAGACTTCAAATAATGTGACAGTTGGTCCAAGTCATGCTAATATTTTAAATGCTACTGACTTAGACAACCTATATCCTGATCAAGATGAAGACTCATGCTCAGGTACATGTGGAAAAATGGGATCAATGCAGATAGGATTCTGATAAATAAAAATATATTTATAGCAATATCTCTATTTCATTATATGTAACAACTAAATATGACATTAATAAACTCTATCCAATGTCAGGTGCACTTATTCAGACCAGTTTGAAAGAATTGTAGTTTAATAAAACTCTCATTTTTGTACATTAAATAAACTATCAGTGGCCCCAATCTAAGCATGTCTAAAATCATTATCTTTTAGTAAGCTTCTTCATGTAATAAAAGCAGGAGCTCTAGACTGTATTCTTTCACGGCAGATAGGACAGTTGTCAGTTATGTTGTCTGAGCAATCTTCACATAAACACACATGACCACATGGCAGCAATATTATCTGTAAATAATACATGATTATTGAATAAGTATTGGCACTTTATATTTCACTATAAATCTAAATACAAATAATTTGACATATTACTAACCTCCTTTGGATTCTCTGTGCATACTACACACAACTGCATCTCTGAAAGGTTATGTTCTCGAGCATGAGCGCGCCTTTCTTTCCTGCCAATCGCAAGCTGTTTCTTAACATTATCTTCCAAGACACGCCGACGGCGCCGCTTCATGTACTTGTATGCTATTCGACATGCCGCCACTGCAGCCACTGATCCGAAAACAACTAGGAGCACTCTACAATTCAACTCCACAGATTACTTAAAATGTTATCAACCATATGTTATAAAAGGGAATTATTGCTTATAATATATCAGTTATGTGCTATTTTCCAAGATAAATCACTCACATTGTACTCACAAACATTTGCAATATATGTACATTTAGTGTAAGAAATTTTATAACTATTACTAGGTATATTTATATATTAATTGAATGATTCAAAAACTATCTGTTCAGTTTTATGAGTGCTTGAAACTTTAAATAAATGTGACATTGAACACAATTAGATTTGAGTGCACAAACAACTTTATATAAAAACAGAGGAGTTTTAGTGTTGGTTTCAATTTCCTCACTTGGCTTGAATCATGTATTTCCAATTAAGAATTGTTTAAGTTGCAACTGCAAGTTATAGCATATAGCAGTACAAAAAAGCTGCCAACAACTATATTTATGTGAATGACGAAAGTTATTCTGGCTGTTTGAGACTGCCTTTACTGTTACTATGATATTATTTCAAGTATTTTCATACCTTAAGAAATCCCTGGAACTAGCTAATCTTTTTAGTAAACTGGACTTTGTTGCTGTAGTTAAATATAATGGCAAGCCATCTTTTGGAGGCTGTATTTTTAAAGCACCTGTATTGTTTCTACTCAATTCTCCTATAGCTGTAATGTAGGACCCGTCTCTAAGCATTTCTTCCATAGTTTGTAAGCCACGTTGACGAACACCAGAAAAGAATCCCCAAACATGGTCAATAACACCAGGAGACATTGGTTCAAACTTGTCAGATATCACATCCATATCTAAAAAATAATTATTAAGTAACATTTGAAATCCAGCAAATGTAACTTATTTTATAATGAAAATGCTTAACAAATCCAAAATCCCCCTTATTAAAACTTACCCAGTAATTCTGCAGCAAGAGCATCAACAACCTCAATGTTAAACTTGCCGTTATTGAGCACAAAAGGTGTGGCATTACATACTTCATGTATTGTGCGTGTCTGATCTGACCAGAATCCAGCTGAAGTCCTTGCTATAACATGTTCTTTTATTGTCAATCTAAAAACAAATAGGATAGCCAAGTTTAAGTTTGGAAACCAATAAACTGGTAATTGGTGGTATCTATAAATTAAGTGAAATATAGTGGCTAATGTTTTGACTACTTTCTTGGCAAATATAGTATGTATTAGTAGGTATATAAATAAATTTTCAGGCAATTCACCTTTGAATAACTCCTGTGACAGTATTGTTGTAGTTGCTGGTAATAGGGTTCCCCAAAGGCTTCACGAGACCTCTTATCACTACATACGGTATAGTACCGTTAGGATATTTATTTATTTCTTTATTTAAACTCTTGTCTATATCTAACACCGGAGCTGTCTAAAATTTATCATAAATATAAGTTATACATACACCATCAAGTGATAATTTAAAAAATAATAATAACTTACCTGTAAAGCATTCAAAATATGTTTACATTTACTAAGTTGTTTCACACAGAAACCAAGGATGAGGGAGTCAATTCCCAATATCACTGTTTCTCCTATTATCTCCGACAAGAAATCCATAGTTAATTTTAAATAATTCAGCCTATTTCAGCTCATTAAATAACCACATTAAAATGTAGTTCATTAAATGTCCTAATTCATTTTTGTCGGTTATTTTCCTAAAAATATAACGAATTTCAGACAAATTTCAGATTTTCACAGTCGCAAAATTTTGATTAGGCTTGACTCAGACAAAAATAATCGATATATCGACATATCGATATATTTTGATCCAAATTATTACGTCTAAGGCGTTAATAGACATTTCATTTTTACTTTTTTCCAATACGTTATTAACGAAGCAAAAATGAATGATGTGGGTATGCGTCTTTCTTTCGTAAATCATTAAAAACCACTCTCTTTCATCGGCGTTCAGCCATTCATGACTTTCATATTGGAAATTAACGTTTGATGAGTGTATAAATAATGGTAATTTGTTTCTCTGTTCATGTACTTTGAAGGACTGTCATAAACATAAATTTTCCTAAATTAATTGAATTGATAATCTTTCCGAAAATGTTGATATATCGATATACTTTTTCACTTGCCCATCCCCAGTATTGATATATGCTTTTTTAATTAATGGCTTGTCTAGGCAACGTCAAGTAAATAAATTAATTTTTCAATGCAATTGCATAAAACCAACATAAAACGCTATTTTTTTAATCTATTGTAAACACCGAAAGTGAGTCTTTAAGCACGTGTTAAATAAAAATGTACTGAAAGGCTTTACTGCACATGTGTTTTCTTTTTTTTGGCCGAGCACCAGACATTTTAAAAAAATTGATGATAATATGTCAAACTTTAGAGGCAAAAGTATTCCAAGAAGCCTAGAACGAATATTTTCAAATAAAAATGTATGACACAAAAACATGTTCAAATATCACGTTTAATTTTAACAAATAATTTTTACCTTTAATACATATTTAGTTTTATTAATTATTTTAATTATTAACCTATTATATATTTGTTTTATTTCCTCGCAAAAAGCATTGAAAAATGTTGTAAGAAACTTGAGCGTAAAAGGTTTTTCTCCCAGGTTATTCACCCAAATAATCATTCGTAAAACCTTACTTTCTGCACTCGTATCTTAAATAACTATTTACATGTAAAATGAAAATCAAATGAATAAAAGATGGCGATAAATCAGTCATATTCATAAACGTCAATATCAAACAGCATTATTAATTTTTGCTAAAACAAAAAATAGTCGTTCACAAAATCAAACTAGATTTGGCTGCTTGCCTTAAAATTAAAATAATATTAAAGCCGTTTTTCTACCTTTCAAAAATATCAAGTTGAGAATAATAAAGAAGACAAGATAAAAGAATAGGCTTTGCTTCATAAAATAACCTACTCAAGATTTGGCAGTATGGCTAAGTTCCTTCACGTGTACCAATATACAAAACTAATTATTACTACTACTCAAACTAGATGTCGCTACGTACTTTGAGTAGACACGATAGACGAAAAGGCCACATGAGTCTCGAAAGGGGTTGAGAGGGTTCGACAAAAATCACGACATATCGCAAGGGGAGACGGGGATGTAGTAATATATCATGTTTATTTATTTTTTCCTCACACGCGCGATTACTAAACAACAAAAAAATACTAAAAATACACAAATACGGTTAAGGGGTTGTCAGTCTAAAACCTTTAAAAATGCTGAAAAAACATCACGTGATTAATGGAAGGCCTCAAAAGAAAACAAGCTGACCCTATACAATACATAAATACTGGTTTTGCACTCACAGGACATTATATTTAAGTTACATTTAATTCAGCTTTGTTGCTTGCTGTGAATAAAATAAATAGTAATAATAATTTTAAAAAAATCTTTATAACGCAATTGTGTACAATAAGATACACTGAAAAGGTTAAATTTCGAAGCGCAACTCATGTCCACTAACCACAATGTTAAAGTATCACGCAATCTGGAAATCCACCAATATCCTTTGGCGCCTGACCCAAGCAAAATATGACTGAGATGGATACCCATTGCACTACATTTTACACCTTATATTATTGAAATAAGACTCATTATCATAGTTGAAACTATTATACTAAATATATAGCTGGAGCTTACTGTACCGCAACAAAACTAAAACCACAGTAAATTTCATAATCAGGGAAGCAGTAACAACAAATAATGAACTAAAACGATTATTGATTTGATAACATATATTTCGACTCCAGTTTTGTTAGCATAGCAAATTTTTTATTGTCAAGGAATGATCTAGAACAAATTTGACAATATTAAATAGAGTGGTATAAAACAACGATACAAACAATATCATACATTACACACTTCATATTAGAAGACTATTCCTTCTTTCATACTTCAAAGAAACTCATTAAAATGTTTTTAATGTGAAGGGTAAATAGTATAATATCCCTTGAACTATATAACATGAAATATCTGTAATACTTCAGTGTGACACAGATAAGAGTGCAGGTGAACACTAATTTCTTCTTCTACGGACCCTGGATATTCTCCAAGCGTTCGGTTCCTCGTATTTGTTGTACAAAGGTTCGAGCCGTTGGTTCTTCTTGAACTTGGAGAGTTTGGTGGGGTCAGAGAACTTGAAGAATGCCGGTGCAAACTCTACCAACCACTTGGGGTCGATGGTCGTCACCTCGCGCATATACTCCTTCGTGGTTTGCACCAGTTCATGGTAGATCACCCTGGAAACAGAACAAGAAGATAGATTTCTGGTCCTTTGCCGGCTACAGATAAGTGAAGTCATCATTGGATTGTAAATACCTTATACAAATAAACATATTATTATATAATTTTCTAATACCTAGATAAAGTGCTTAAAGGTAAGTCATTCTTAAAAGTAGTAAGCACTATTTAACTTCAGATGCTAGTAATAATGTCAAAATCCTCTGTAAAAAAGTACAAAAAATAACACTCGGCTTAAAAGTGATAAGATATAATGTTATTGATATATAACTGTGTATCCTTAATACAAAATGCTTAAAAAAATCACTTGGTCTCTGGCACCCTGAGAGGGGATTCGGTCTCACGAACTTTCGCAATCCGGGCGACTAAAAGATAAGTTAAAAATGTTGAAAAAACATCACGTGATTAATGGACATACCCTAATATATCGCATTATAAGCTGAAACAGTTGTTTTACCATTCGGGTTGCCTATTGAAGAGAGCGCTAGAGGGATGTATGTAGACGACCTGGCTGTCGACGAGAGTGCGATACCCCTCTTGAGGGTCTTTCTTGGCCGCATTCCTGAAGAATCCCGAGCAGATCGTCTTTTGAATGCGCACCGTATTTTTACCCGCTGACACCACATCTAGTTTATGCCTAGGAATGAAAAGGTTATATTTTTAACTACATATTCTTAAAATGTTAGTAGCTATCAGTAAGCACATTCAAGAAAGACAGTATTTGGCTAACTTAAAAAAAGGAAATGGTCCGAACAAACCTACATCAAAATAAATAAGCATTTTTTTTTTATAAATTTAGACCTTTTAAATTACACTTCAAATTTCTATAAAATACATCCGGCTCGAAGGACCAGATTATGTGGTAATGAACGAATGCTTAAATCTATATTTCATAATGACAATGTAATTGTTCACATCACAAATCCAACAACTACGATACTATAAAAGAATATTATTTAGTTTGCCACATGAAGGGGCTCACCTATCCATAATCCCAAGCAGCTGTTTCCTGACATCTTGTGCTCTTTTCAACGTCCTAATCTGCACGAAATTTTCGTAGCACCAAGCGTTGGAGAACTTATTATTCCGCCAGCTATTGTAGACCGCGAGCAAAGTGAGGTGATCGCCCTCTGGCTGGTTGAACTTGGCCTTTTTCTGATCGGCGAGAGCTTGCTTGTCTTTAGGACGGTAGAAAACATTCTGGACGCTGAGCATGGACACTATGGTCAATATCTCGTCGGAGCATTGGAGGGCGACCGACATTATGAGAATTTTGGAAAGATTCGGCTCCAGAGGGAACTCCGCCATCTGCAAGAGATTCAGAACGTTAAAGGCACGCTATTTTTCTGATTCCTCGTATAAAATTAAATGGTCTCAACGGTCTCTGCGCTGGGACTACTCTCTCCCCATTGAGAGGAATCCCCCAATGCAGATCGAGACCGGGCCCTCCTTGCAGGATATCAGACTCATTCATCCGAGGGAGGTGAAATACAACGGGTTTGACCAGGTAGTCTAGTACCAGGTAATCTGGGCGGGGTGGCTGGAGAGCCCAGAATACGGGTATAGACAGTAAATGATAATAAATGGGACATGAACTATTTTTATTAATCAAATATATATGTATTTAACATACCAGTACCGATTATCACACTACCATGCTTATTTTATTTTTAATATTATTTAAATTAATTATGAAAAAAAAACACTTATTTTGCGTGACTACAGCGCGTGACGTCACAGTCTTCTAAGGAAGATATAAAATTTGTCATTGACCTCAACATACATAGAACTGTGCATAGAGCGATGTTTGTCGTTGTTATTGTTAGTTTCAGAGGGCTGTGACGTCACACCGACGCCATGACATAGGCTAGCGTTTTAGCGGGAAATTGTAAAGTGTACCCTGCGGCCGAGCCTGGTGAGCAGCCCCTCGGAGTCGAGCGCGGAGAGCGAGTGCAGCTGCTCCAGCGCCATGATGAGCGACTCCACCGGCGGCGCGTCCATGAAGTCGAAGTGCAGCAGGTCGTTGATGCCCATCGTCTTCAGCTGCAACACCTGCCCAAGGATTATTATTCTATTAGGTACGTCAACATCATACATATTTAACCTAAACAATACAATATTTAAACAATGAAGAAGTATATTTAAAAAAAAATTAGTTCCCGAAATGAAACTAGATGTCGCTACGGTACGTTCTTGATATCTCCATGACAACCCTACATGTTTACAAGTAAATTAGTTTTCAAAATTCAATAAAAACTTATATTGTACTTTTTCGTATTTGTATTGATATCTAAGTTACGAACTTTTCAAATTTCAGTTTTTTTATATGTTAGTTAAAAGGAACGGAAATGACTGTCTTTGGTCCATATGTTTCCGGCAAAAATCAAATTTTGCTAGAGTCGCCATCTAGTGGAGGTGCTTTTTTAGTGCTTTCGTTTTTTTTAATACTTCCTCATTACAATTACTGAGACATATTACAATTACAGACATACAAAACATTCCCTTATTTATACTTACAATTGCGCATACAAATTCTAAACACTAAATCAATATTAATAAATTAAATTAATAAAATCAAAATTAGTTAAAATTAATCAAATTAAATTAGTCAAATCAACGTTACGTCTCATCTGACTCATAGTCTTTTTACAGATAAATTTTATTCCACTGATCGATTTGCAAATTCACTGTATATGTTGTATAACGTGACATTGACTATACTACTCGTACGAATTAACATGATGATTGCCTTCAGACGTAGTATTCTCTTTCCACGAAAACGAAATTTCATCTATCTGACCCTGTCTCTGATGCACAGATTATTTTCACGGATGTGATTTTAACAAAATTATAAAAATGATTAAAATTTTTCCAATTTACGTAAGTAAATAGAATAGGCCCTTTGGTGTCATGTTTTTTTATTTATTTTAATACCGCTTTCCCCCACTTAGTGGCAGGCCCTTAGTCTACTACTACTCTAGTTCTATTAAGTATGCCTCTCATACTTTCATACCTAATACGACACTTCCATTCATCCTGTTCCTGTCTTTTTTATGTAATATTATACTGAGATTATTCTACTTTTATTTGTTATTATTTACATTTCAGTTACGTTTTTAGTCACATTGTTACTTGTCCATTTTCTACTTATCTTATATTCTAATTATTCTATTATATTTTATGCTACTTTATTTTTCTTTATTTATATACTGTTTTATTTTTATTTTATTTAGTTCCATTTTATAATTCTAGTTTATGCTTTCCTTTTTTAGGAGATCTTTATATAATAATAATAATGTACTATTACTATTTTTATACATGACATTTTATGTTTTATGTTGGTGTCATGTTAATACCTACGAGTTATATATTAACCGGTATATATATACTAACCGTGGTGGCGAGGTTGGTCCGTTGTATCTCGGGCACGGGCGTGGGCAGCATCTCGTCGCGGTAGGCGCGCTCCGTGTACAGACGGTAACATTTGCCCGGACCGGTCCGGCCCGCGCGACCCGCCCTCTGCTTTGCCGCTGCCTGATACAAAAAACATTGTCGTGTTCACACATTAATCTATCAATTTCTTTGCCACACAAATTAATTAACCAAGATATTCTGTAACCCAGTAGTCAAACTTCTTAGCTTACGTGAAATTTTAGATCAAAATACTTACCTCAGTTTCGAACTTTCATAGTTATATTCAAATTCAATTGGATCCTACAATATACAACCTGATTATTAAATCCAAAATGCGATTAAACTATTACAGTTACTATTATTAAATACTTTGTAAATAAAAAGAAACTTTCAATTTAGTATTTTCTAATGTGCTGCGCAGGCGCAAACACTTAGAGATCTATCCAAAAGGCTAACCTGTGAAATCGGAGTGACCACCAAAGAGTCCATGCCGGTCTTCGAGTTGTACACCTTCTGCTTCACAAAACCGGGATCCACGACGTAGTAAATACCGTCGATAGTGAGCGACGTCTCCGCTATGTTAGTGGCTATAACCACCTTGCGGGAACCAGGCGGCGCCGGCTCGAAGATACGAGTCTGCATCTCCGAAGGCAGCGCGGAATACACCGGCAGTATTATCAACTCCGGCACATCCGGACCGAGGGACTTCATACGTTCATATAAGATCTCGCAAGCCGTATCGATTTCTTCCTGACCGGTCAAGAACAGAAGTATATCTCCAGGCGGCTCCCTCAAATGTATCTGCATCACGGTTATCAACGACGCGTCCAAGTAATCGGTCTCCGGTTCTTTGGTGTATAGAACTTCGACTGGGAAAGTTCTCCCCGGGATAGTGAAGATCGGTGCCTCGAAGAAGTACTGTGAGAATTTCACCGCATCCAAAGTGGCTGAGGTGACGATCAGTTTGAGCTCGGGCCTCTTCTGCACAGCCTGCTTCAGTAGACCGAACAGTACGTCCGTGTGTATGGTCCGCTCGTGGGCTTCGTCCAACATTATCACTGAATATGATTTCAAATCTAGATCCATCAGACACTCGCGAAGCAACATACCGTCTGTCATGTACCTGTTAGTGATGAAAGTATGTGATGAGCCAAAGACGGTGAAGTCCTACCTTCAGATTTCTGTTCCTAGTACTAAAATTAAACTCGATTTTTGCAGTGAATAACAATTTAAAATCTTAATCAAAATCGAAAATGTGAGAAGAATATCCAACAGTCTGTATGTAAAATTTCTATAGTTGATCGAGTCAGTTTATTTTGTTGAATCTCAATATTGAAATTGGACTTTAGAAAAACCATAGAATAGTCACGAAAAGATAAAAAATGCTTGAAAGAACAGATAACAGTTTCTACAGAATTATTTATCAAGTTAAGCATAAGAGAAACTAATATTCATCTTTTCGGTTAGAAACAGTAAGAAGACATATCCAAATATACAAGTTTCGCTCTGACGCAATCAGGAACGATCTACATTACAATTGTGCCGTTTCATACTCTCGATTGGGTACACTAGCGCCAGAGTATGGTAATGAACCTAATTAAGAATACGAAGCGGCACAATTACAATGTCGATCGATCGCGATTGCGTTGGAGAGTAAACTATGCTCATCTTATATGCCAATATTTACATCTCCTACCGACTGCTTTGCCTATCACTAATCAATATCGTTAACATTTATTTACTTTTTATTTATAAGGACAATCTAGATATATTTAATGCTAGTTGCAAAATGCTATTTTTTTACCGACTTCAAATAAAAGAGGTTCTCAGTTTCACCTTTATGTATGTATGTTTGTGCACGATTATCTTGCGTTTGGTTGAAGCGATTTACAATACGGTTTTTAGCATAGTATTTCTCAGACTTAGGAGAAGGTATAAGGTATATTAACCGACTAAAACGGTTTTGATATTTTCAGAATTGTATTTTTAGTGTTACCTATCATAAAAAAAAATATCAATATCAATAAAAAGCATGAAATAAAATTCAATCTTGAAAAATAATACGAAAAAACTAAAAAAAAAAAAAAGTAATACTTATCAAAAGACCGGGTGCCTATCATTTAATTAATAACCTACAGAAAACCTCCACCCGTCGCTTTTGAGATAAGTATTATTTTTCCCTTTTTCTGTATTGTTTTATAATATACAAATAGCGTGACTGACTTGATGACTGTCTCCGGACTGGTGCAGTCCTCGAAGCGTATAGTGTAGCCGACCTCCTGGCCGAGCCTGCAGCCGAACTCCTCGGCCACGCGCTTGGCCACGGACATGGCGGCCACGCGCCGCGGCTGCGTGCACGCGATCTTGCCGCGCGCCGTCAGCCCGCACTCGGCCAGGTACTGAGTTATCTGCGTCGTCTTGCCCGATCCAGTCTCGCCGATCACTATCAGGATCTGATTGTCGGCCACCGCCTGACCAAACAGTATATACGTATTAGACACTAATAAACCAAGGGAGACGGTCCTATCTGTAACGACCTCAACGGGACCTTAGAAACGGTATAAAATACATGTCGACGATGAAGATTGCGAAAAAACGCAAATATCTGAATAATTCTCATAAAATAATTATCCCACTATAATTGGTTATAAGTTTGTGTGTAAAAAAAAATACCAAATGGATTTTCATATGGTTGTCATCTATAGGTATGTAACGATGTTATTTATAAAGAAAATTAGAGAAAATTTTATTACGAAATTTTACGTAATAATAACACCCGTGCGAAACCGACAAGGGGTAATTATTATACATTCAACTAGTTGACTTATTTCGCTATATAAATTTGGGATGGACAACCCTAATCGCTTAGGAATATCAAAATAAATAACCTATTCTCAGACCTGAAAACTGTTTTGGAGGAGTACGATAAATAAAACTGTGACACGAGAATTTTATATAGGTATTATATATAATATAACTTTATTAACCAATGTAATAAATGGTAAAAAAGGCGGACTTAATATGTTTCTTACATCGTAATTCTGAAAAGAGCAGAACAACATACCTTAGTTAATTCATCCCTGAGTTTGTAAATGGGCAAGGATTGCCTCTGCTCGAGTAAAGACAGATTAGTCTTCTTGCCGAAGGAGGATTTCTTGCCTCCGATGACGTGTTTCTTCCACTCGGGCAAATCTTGCGGCGTGATGCCCGCGCCGCGCATGTTCGCCGCCAACGCTCTGCCATCAGCCTCGGGCAATGGATCGATCCAGTTCTTGTTCAATCCGGTCGGTAGACTCTCCATCTCCTGCTCCCTCTGGATCATCTTTTGCTCTCTTCTCTCTTTGGCGAGCGCGCTCTGCATCATCGCCGCCTGTGCCAGTGATCCGTCGGGATTCTTGACTATTCTCACAGGAGACAGCTCGTGTAACGCACGCCCGTGACCCTGCAAAAACGGGGGCTCGTCCTCCACCAGCTCGATCTCGATATCCGCTTCCCCGTCTTCGTCTTTCGGTAGTAAACCGGTCTCCTCGTCGAAGTCTGGCAGCTCGCTCTTGTCGATCACACCGGACGATATCATCTGTTAATCAGAAATTAAAGGTTATTATCGATATGCCAAATTAAATTTTCTAAACGCGAAAAGCCAGATTATATGATGAGAACCCTAAAAAATAAAGTGCAGCGGAGTGGTTATTAGCGTCAACAGTGTCCCGTTACCTGCTTGATCTCCCACCGCTCGGGACTGGAGATCCTGGTGACCCTCTTGCGGCTGGAGTCCTCGTCGGGGTCGAGCGCACCCTGTAGTCCTGCCAGCACGGTCGCGTTGGCGGCGGGCCGGTCCGGGTTGCGGCCTTCGCGCTCCGCCTGTACCCCAGAATCAACATTACCAATGATCGCTCTAGCAGAGTGTTATTTTGATATTTATAAAATTAAATGTTGATGGATGAATGTTGTTCACTATCCTCAAGAGACTTCAGTTCTTGATGGTACTGGGTGAGATGGAAGGACTGGTGCCTCCATTGTTACACGCAAAATAGGCCATTTGTGTCAAGCTGCGGAAACAACCCGCCGTTGAGAAGTTGTTCAATTTATATAGATATTTCAGAGAAGACCACACAAATAAAAACTCAATTTTAATATTATGATTCTGAATGAAATACGAGGCATGTCCAGAAAAAAGGTGTATTGAATTTTTCTAGGTTATAAAAATGTTTATTTGAACAAATAATTGCCTCGTTATATTCAGTTTCTGATATCTGATGGTTGTTGAGATTGTTTGTTGTAGAGATCTTGAGATTTGCGGAAACACTGCTGAAAGTTCGAAAATGCGCTCTCAGTCAATGTGCGATTGTCACAGAGCGTATTTTCGATATTTCCACAATTTCGGAAGGTCTTGCGCTCCTCTGATCATCATACACAGACGTACGACCATTTTAATCCCGCGACACCACTTGAACTCTCTTGTACGATTCGTAGCTTTATAACCATATGCAGTTTTTACATCATTAAATGCTCAATCGGCGTTTTTCCTTTCCAAACGATACAACGGATGACGCTACATGTTTTCACAAAACCTATTGTCGCGTCGACAGTTCTCAACGTACTGATGCCGAACCGATCTCGTTGCGGAAAGGAACTAGGTTACAAGGAAATATAGCCTTATGTCAAAAAAATCTCTTCAACTGTGAGAGCCTAAGTACACTTACTTTCTGGACATGCCTCATAATATACTTAAATAATAAGTGGTTGGTATAAACTTGCCTCCAAATGAGCATGTGAAGTTGGGTTGAGATCTTTTCCTGTTTCTTGACAGACATCCTTCATAGTGAGTGATACTTTTTGTCCTGTTATTGATAATACCTTAATCTGTAAACAAATGCAATTTATACATTTAAATTCAAACTACACTATAGTACTATACTACACAAATCCGAATTTTTTATTTATCCAATAATGAAATCATGTTCTTCAGGGATTGATTATTTGAAAATGCTTTTTAAAACACAACTGGTATAATCTAGTGAAAGCTATAGAATTGTTTTAAAAACAAGGGCGGTCATTTTGAATAAAATATATATTTTATTAATGATTATTATTTATTTAATGATTACTGAAAACTTTAGAAACATAAGTTAATTATTAAAAAAGTTACGCAACTTTTATTTAGTCTCAGAAACTTATTAGCACACGAGGTATATCATTAAACGCTCTATCATTTACATGTAAATATACATAAAATTAAATAAGTAATCCTTTATGTCATGTTACACAATTATTTGAACATACTCACCTTAACTTTATCTCCTCTTGATACAACATCTGAAACATTAGTGACCCGACCTTCAGAGCGCAGCTGGGATATGTGTACCAAGCCCTCCCACCTCTTTCTCACACCCTCGATTTGTACAAAACAACCAAATGGCACAATGTTAGCCACTCGCCCGTTATAAATCTGTAACATGAACATAAATCACATTTTGAAATACTTTGGAATATTATTATTTTTCTCATAATTACAGTCTTTTTGGTAGGTAATAATGGCCCTATTAAAACAAAATAAATAGTTTTTTACACTTAATTCTAAAAAAAGTTTAAATTAAAATAATGGTTTGAACCTTAATTATTTAGTCTGATATGCAGTTTACTTAATCAGCAAATTTTTTGTATTTTGTTTTAAATAAATTGTCTTTTTTTAAATTATTATTATTGTTATATTACTTAGTCACATTTCATGTTTCTCACTTTGAGGTTATATTGTAATATTTAAAAATAAGCATTATTACCTTTCCTGGTTCTGGATCATCACTCATTTCCAATTCTGGACTTCTCTTTCTAGGTTTCTTAAAAGAGTCCCCATACCTATGTTTATCCTCTCTGTTTCGAGAGTGTGATCTATCTCTTGATTTCCTACCTCGAGACCTAGATCTTCTGTACCTTTCTCTAGATCTGGATCTCTGTCTATCTCGAGATCTTGACCGATGTCTGTTCCTTGATCTAGACCGCTGTCTCTCATTGGATCTATTCCTATGTCTACTTCTCGACCTTTTTCTTCTGTCTCTACCTCTACTGTGGCTTCTTCTCTCTCTACTATGATTTCTCTTATCTCTACTTCTACTGCGTCTGCTTCTTTCTTTTGACCTTTCCCTTTTTTTATTTTTACTATCTTTTAAATTCTTGTCACCTTCATCAGATTTCTTACTGTCTATTTGGTGTCCAGGCTTTGTACTGGAATTTGAAGGTGCTAAAGCCTCGAGCTCTGCCATTGCTTTATCAACAACATCATCATTTTTTAATTTACCTTCTTCCTTGAATATGTCTTTGGAGGTTATTCTTTTGTGTTTAGTTTCACCTTTATCCTCATCACTACTATCATCGTCAGATGAAAACTGTGGTGCCTTTTCATTAGGTATTGCTAAGCCGGGAAACTTAGTAGCCAGTGTACTCTTGTTAGTGGGTCTTTCATTTGTTGTTTCGGTAGAGTTTACAGGTTTCATATGCTGTATTATGCGTAGTAAATTTGTCATAAAAGAATCTGAAAATTCTGCTCCATTTTCAATCAAAGTTTTTTTGAATCCTTCAAAGGTTGGGTTTTTATCAGCTAGATCTATTATAAATTCCGCTGTGAAAATAAAATATAAATGATGGTTTAACAAAGAAGAACTTTAAAGCCAAGTTAAAACCAATAACATTTCTAAATAACAGCAGATCCAAACATAGCAGTATTCAAGGAATAATTTATGTATGTATATAAATATTATGTATATATGCTAATGCTTATAGTTACGATTTTATGTACGGTTTTTAGTCTTTACCGCATACTACTGTTCTGTACAATTTTACTGGTTGATTGGGAGAGAATGCCTCTATGCCATTAAATCCGCCATTTGTCCTTAATTAGACAATAATGAATAAATAAATAATTTAATTTATATACTTAGTGCTTAAATGATGTGCAATAAATAAAAGAATACAATATTTCATACCTAAATCTTTGTCATTTAGACCCAAGTGATTATCTAGTTCAGTACATATTTTAGATACTAATGATAAATGCTCCAATTTAGCAACTTCATCCATATTCCCAATTTTAATTAAAACCTAACACGTAAATAAAAACACGAGAAAATACGACATGAAACTTCACAGAATAATAGCGTACTTAAAAACAAGGGGTAGTATCTATTACTCAAAAAGCTATGTCAATTATGTATTGTCTATGGTCATTGTCAATGTCAAACACACAGACCAATTGACCAAAGAAATCCTATACTATTACTCTATGACATGTCTACGACAGTTCACCATAGATTTAGTTCTTATAAGTTATAACTCATCATCATCACCAGCCCTTTTACGTTCCCATTGCAGGGGCTCAGGCCTTCCTTATGGATGGCTAAGGAGGATGAGCCATGACCCTCCACGCTGGCCCAATGCGGATTGGCGGGTATTAACGACTGCAAATTCAGCCGGGACCAACGGCTTAACGTGCCTTCCAAAGCACGGTCGATAATAATTTTTGGTCACCCATTGGTCAATATTGTTCATTTAAATTTTAAATTAAAATAACATTAGTGGAAACATTTGTATTTTAATAGGGACTGTTTCAAAATTTGAAGTTATTACATAATCACATTAAATTAGTTAATAATAAATAATTACAAAAAGATACTACTATATATTATTAAGGCTATTGATTCACTGATTTTCTACTGGTTCCCTTTGAAGTATCATGGTGGTGACTAATAATGAAAAAGTTTGTAAAAAAATAAAGAAACTACAAAAGATTATGTCACTAGATGGCAGCAACAAACTATAGGAATTAAATGTCAATTTATGACGTTAAACCAAAGAGAATAATTGTCAGTGTTGTTATGGAACCCATAAGTCGGACTAATACCGAATTGAAATTCAGTAGTAGTAGTAGAAGTTCGCCAATGGGACAGGCGAAGGAACTAAGCCATACAGCAAAATCTTGGGTGAATTGAAATTTAATTAGTTACAGTTACGCTACGTTACGCTACGTTACGCTGTATACCTGAAGCAACCCCTGAACCACACTGTTTTCTGGCTTGGCATCCATAAAAAAATGTTCACTAGATATAACTCTAAACGAATCTTTGTGTAATCGCATTACTTTTTCATTATTTCAGATCACCTTATGAATGATATTAGCAAACTAAAGTTCCCTCCTACCCACCAAGTTGGCTCATCACTAATATTGACAAAACTATAAACCAAACATCGCTATTGCGAGTGACCGACCATGTACCGATACAAATACTTATTTCACGTTATTACTTGTTTTTCGGTTCCATACTAAGTCTGTGCTCGGTTCTAAAGATACTATATTAATCCTGAGAAGTCTTTCAGTGGAACAAAATATATTATTTACTGGATTTTTGTAATGTTACAATATTAAAACTACTTATCTAAGTTATTTCTTAACTATACTAAATTAAAAATATCCCAGATCATTGTCAACAGGTAAAATGCCCAGAGTACTTGGATCGAAAGAAAAGGTTTAAGTACTTGTATTTACTTGTATCGGTTCATCCCTAAATTAAATTACTTTACTCTTTGTTTAGATTGCTGCTATTTTACATCATAAGTTATTTTACGTTCGGTTTAACATTTTACTTAAAATATCAACTTGAGCTCCGTTGTTTCGGATGTTATTTTAGGCAAGTGGTTTTATAATTTGTGATACTTATAAATCATTATTCATACTGTAAAATGGAAAATAATACAGAGCATTCTGATCAAAATAATTTCACTCCCCTGACCGTGCAAGAAGTAGACGTAGATTTTTTACCCATTGTTTATGAGATCATAAGAAGGTATTGGTTTATTTTTAGAATGTCATGTTTATCAGTGCTCAGTTCTGTTATTGTAAAATGACATTTGTTTTAGCGTGGAACGTGATTTCCACGATAACTCTGCCAAAGCTCGGGAGTCGCAAGATTGCAGTCAGAAAGTGTTAGAATTACAAAAGAAATTTGATGTCGCCCGTGCACAGGTGCGATAAGTACTGATATTAATGCTCTAAACCTCTAACCCTTTGTCAACTAGCCAATTCTGTATGATTTCAGATAAAGAGACTACCTGGTATAGATTATAACAAACAGGACCAGTTGAAGCAGTTTGAAATACTCAAGACACAGTTAAGACTGAAACGTGAACTATTGCAGAAGTATCGTAATATGTGCTCATTTGAAACATCATTCAAGTGATAAATAAAAAAAATGCCGATCCGAACTTTGCTTAGGTACTTGGCAAATAACGAGCATCTTGTCCAAAAAATAGCAGAGTCATACCCAGTGAGGAGAGCTGCACAACTAGCAGTCTCTATATTTTATAGAGGCAAAGAAAAGCTTGGAGATGTAGACCCTCAAAAAGTTAATAGATTAATATCATTTTTGAAAAAATTAAGTGAAAATATGAAAGAAGGTATAGCAGATGCTAAGAAACAGCTAAAAAAATGACAAAGCCACTATATAAGTAACTTTTTATTAGAGAATAGTTAACTAAATAAATGTGAAAATAAATAGTCATATATATAAGCAATAGTTTCATTTTTCTTTTTATAAACAATAATATTCTAAATAGAAACATGTAATAGTTAATACAATTTACATTTTTAGTCTGATGTTTGCATGAGGAAAATAGTAAAAGCAAAGAATTGAAAGTTAAATGTTCAAATAACAATTTTGCTTGATACAAGCACAACTATTTTTTTTGGATATTTTTTTTACGTATGAGTTAATTCAGAGGAGGCACAAAGTGTGCAATTAAAATACTGTTGATAATCAATCATGCTAAGACTTGCTTGTTTATAGGAAATATGATGTTAAGGTAGATGTTTTTTACGTTTTCTAACATTTTACAATAGGCATTATTTAAAGCTTGACAAAATATTTGTATCTATATGAGAGAGCTATATTGGATTTAATTTTGGTATGCATTAGTTGGTCTGAGGTATGCACTTTAGGGGTTAAGCAAAAATATTTTCTTTTTGCTAACCAAACTATAATAGTGTACAAATTATTGCTTCTCATTTATAATCTATAAATTATAGTTTTATTTCCGCTTGTATGAAACATAACATACCTTGTATGTTCATTATTACACAACATTATACTATTTTCGTCATTTCAGTATACTTAAATAGTGTTACCTAATTAAGCATGTGACTGTTATCAAGGTAAACTATTTATAGTAGATGTTGTGCTGCTCAACTACATATTGAATTTGTATTGAGTGCTTATGCTTTTTGTATTAGATATTCGAATTTTCTATATGGTGGTAGGTGGCGTTGTAAAAATAGCATCATAAGTTTGACGTTTGTGCTTGATACACAATACACATTTGATAATTTTTTGTGCCAATAGTACTAACTACAACCACTGTTATAAGGAGTCCCCACTCTTGGTAATAAACCTATAACGGATAAAAATCACTACATATATTTCAATAAATGTATATCTTATAATGAGAAAGACATTCATACATTTTGTAATCACATGGAAAATAAAACAATTTTCTTTCCAATCAAAACAAGTATATTAAATAAAATATTCAATCAATTTATAAAATAAGTTTTTATTCACCCATAAAAGATTTTTCAAACAATGAGACTTTCATATTTTTCACTATGGTGTCAGTTTTTTATGGCTTGTCATTTATAAGGACTATATAAAAATACTTTGCTTTTGTGTTAAAAAATATGTAGGGATAGATGAATGCTGGTTGCAATAATTCAAGGTAATATCAAATCGCTACTTAGCTACAAACACTCAACATTCATAAGATATGAATTCAATGAGCAATTCTAATTTTACAAACAAATGAGGTGAGATTGAATTTCAAATAATGAATATACAGTCGACAGCACTTCAGTTTACTAAAAAAGCCAAATACTTCCAAGAATTTTTACAGGAGAAGGAAGGAAATTTCGACTTTTGTAGGAATCCAATATTCTGCTGTCAGGTTACCACATGTCAAATTTGTCATGTACATGCACTTTAGTCATAACGTATTAAGATTTAAAATCAAGTGGAGAAATTTGAGTTTTATATAAACTGCTGAGCTGTCGCGGTGCGACTGTACAATCACTGATAATTCAGCTACTAAAAATATCGATTCTTTCATCGCCATTAATACTATTTTTATTCGTCCAAATCAACAGAACCTTTGTACGATCGTTACGCAGAGATCCGACGTTCACTACTATAAAAATCTAGCTCATCATATTATCGCGTATCAAACTACAATCTAATTGTACTTTATAGCCGATCGCGAGATTACCAAGAGAATTAAAAACGGCCGCAGTGCCATAAATAATATTTGAATTTTATTCCTTTCCTATAGGGGGTCTGTGATATCTTCATTGAAACCGGCGAGGAAATGCCCAGTTTCATTTTTATTAATGGTGTGACGTTTAGTTAGCTGCGACGGGATGGTGTTCTGGTGGCTTGTCGTGTCTCTTGCGCGGTCGACGCGTGCGTTTGTCGGTCTGCACCTCGAACGGGGAATCCGCCCCCGTCACGTGACTCTCCGAAGCCTGACCAATTAATGAGATTAATGTACATACAGTAATAATAATAAACTTTCACTTATAGTATGTGCCTCACATCATATTTGTTCAAAATACAAAATATTTTATTCTGCGAGTAACATAGTCATATTACATTGGATCTTAACAAATTAATTACACCAATTTTAGGCACGCAGAGTATAGAATTTTTTACAAAGAGCAATTAATTTATGTCATTAAATTATTAAATGTACATCACTATTATTTTTCATAAAAAATTATTAAATATGTAATATCATTAAACTTTTGAATAGATAAATACATTATACACTTTATGTCACAACAATATGCCTACACTTTTATCATTAATATAATCGTAGTTAACTTAAAATTCTGCAAGAAGAATATTCGTTAATAGAGTAAAAACCTTTCTCTACCACACTAACCACACTTTCAGCTTTTTTGCAAACAGAGTGAATGGCAACTCTCGTATGTATAATAAAGAATTCGTCATATTACAATTTTTGTGGCTTAACATGCTTCTACAATCAGGAATCAGTATGTTACTTAACAAGATTGTACAAATGGGTGAGGATGTTTTTTAACGAAACAACCCGCTTCTAGAATGTCATCACCATACCAGCCCTGTTACATCCCCACTGCAGGGGCTCAGGCCTTCCTTATGGATGGTTAAGGAGGATGGGCCATGACCCTCCACGCTGGCCCAATGCGGATTGAAGGGTATTAACGACTGCAAATGCATCCGGGACCAACGACTTAACGTGCCTTCCGCAGCACGAAGTAGCTGGAGAAAATAATATTTTGGTCACCCATCCCGTGACCGACCCTTGCGAAAGTTGCTTAACGACTACGATCGCAGGCCGCGGCGCTTATCCACTACGCCACCGAGCTACTCAAGAATGTATGTTAATGTTAAAAACAAACAGGTTAATGTTAATAAATTCAGTTTTTTAAATAGCGGTCGACAGCTATCACGTGGTTTAGAACCACTTATACTTAGAACGCATTTTTTTGTGCTATAAAGTTCTCGTAAGCAAGGTTAGTTTAATGAGAACATAACACAAAAAAAACCGCTTGTGGATATATTAAGTCTTCTAAGTATTAGAGGCGATAAATAAACGCTCGGCATTTGTTTCGCCCGCGCCGCAGACGATAGGTGGCCTGTCCATTACAGGATGGGTGCGGGGTCGGAGAAGCCTTTGCGTTAAAAAAAGGTATAGGTATAGCGAGTAATAGGGGGGTGGGGGGTGTTACCGCGTTGTTGTCCTGCGCGTTGGCGGCGTGGTGGGCGGGGGGGGCGCGGCGCGCCTGCGGCTTGGCGGCGTGCGGCTCCGGCCGCAGCACGTTGCCCACCGCCTTGGTGCGGCCCTCGCGGAACACCTGACGCGACAATACTTTAGTGCAGAAACTAAAAGCACGTTCGAGGTTGCCCCTGCTTATGGCCGGTTTGCATGTATATGGACGATGACCGTTAATAGAAAAATATTAGATACGTTTTTTTTTTTTTCACTTCTATTTAAAGAGAAATAGCTTAGATATCAGGCATCAAAGTTGAGGAGTTGGGTCTCGCTACGTCACAGTTTTGTAGAAAATGTACAAAAGCGCGACGTTATATGACATTTTAACTCCTCGAAATTTAATGATTACTCAAAAAAATAAATAAACGTGTTTAATATTTTTAACAATCTACCTGACGGACAAACAAAAAAAAAATGTGTCGTCATCTCATTAAGTAGATGTTTTTGCTTAATTTTAAATTATTAAATACGTCTAAACACATAAGTAATAAGTAGCAAATCAAATTTGAATTCTAATTAAGCTCATAGAATTAACAACATTTTTACTTATTACTTATTTGTGTGTTAAAACGTACTCAATCACTTGTGGCTTAAGATTAAGTTAAACATCCACTTAATTACATGTATACCAGCCATTAGTACAAGTATCGAAGTTTTAAGTTTATGACAACATTCTATCGCTGATGTTCATTAGGAATAATGTAGGATTCATTTGGTAAATGGTAGTTACGCAAACAATAAAATCTTTTCTGTTTTTAATATTAATATATACTGAGAACAGAATGTTTCACTCTATATATCTAAGTATACATATCAAAATCGATTTCGATAAAATATTTTAATAAACTACTATTATAACCATTAATAAACTACTATTATAACCAGTGGTCAGAATTAGGTAGAGTTATTCATGTACTTACACTGATTTCATGCAGCGAAAGAATAAAGTGGATATGCCTCAAATCCCGAGAATAATTTCAAAGAGCAGAAAAAAAACCAATGATTTTTTAAATAAAAAGTTATTTACTTTTACACAATTAAAACTACTGCACGCACGACGTAGCCAAACTTACATCAATGACATCGGATGTCCAAAGATGTCCAAGATTGCCCATTAGAAAACCCGGGAAAGTCCACATTAATATCAACATTTCGATGCAAGTACATAAATAACTCTACCTAATTCCGACCTCTGATTATAACACATGTGATATTTATTATTATTATTAATTTCGATTTCTTTTTTAGTATAAAAATAAAGTTAAATTTTTTTTAAAATATTAATATGCAATAGTAAATGCCACTGACCATCCTCTGCCCTCGCTTGAGATACTCCGGGTGTTTGATGAAGCGGAACCGCACCAGCGCCTTGTCCCCGGTGCGGAGGCAGTCGCGGGACATCGACAATATCGACGCGGTCTGACGGATACTGCCGCAGTGGACTATACGACAAACGATACAATATCATACCAACCTTCATGTCAACAATGAAACCGCCTTTTAAACGGACTTATGTATTTTATCTATATATGTATATTTATTTATTCTAATCAATTAATTTAGTTACTGACCAGTTTGGTATGTATAAATTCCAAGGTATTTGAAATTACTTCGATGATACGTAATTCCAGTGGATTATTATAATTTGGTCTATGCAATCTTTTCCTGATGACATTGTTTGAAAAATGCTCAAATAATTTTTATTTATGAAACTATACAAATCAGATATTTTCTCGTAGTCCTAGAAACCATGCGCGAACATATAACACGTACCCATGGCCTGGTAGCGCGAGGAGATGGTGGTGGGGTGGTGGAGTACCAGAATCTCTCCTTCAAACTGCCAGCACGCCTGCGGGTTCAGCGCCGGCGATACCATCACCATGCCTTTGCGGATCTGCGATCTCTTGATCTGTCGGTAACCAACTTATATTGACGTCACTCGAAACAAAGTAGCCGAAATTAGTGTACGTACTACAAAAACAATTATTACATTACTAGTTGTCCGCCGCGTGGTCCCTAGTTATCTGTTTTGTGGGATAAAAAGTAGTCTATATGTTATACTACTCAGCTGTAGGTGTTAATTTTAAGTACACGCCTGAGTTGGTTTACTGTATGTTTCATGTGTTGTGTTGTGCTATATGGTGTAGTGCACGCGCGCGGGCATGTGTATAATGTGGTGCGGTGCTAGTGTGCGTGCGTGTGTGTGTGTGTGTGTGTGTGAGTGCGTGCGTGCGTGCGTGCGTGTGCGTGTGTGCATACGTGTACAGAGCGGTATGACGTACCTTCTTGAGCGCGAAGCTGGCGGTCTGTCCGCCGCGCACCTCGGGCACGGGCATGCGCTTGCGGTGGATGCTCTTGACGGCGATGGGCGTGAACCGCCCCAGCGGGTCGGGCCCCAGCAGCAGCGTGTCGTTCAGCCGGATCACGCCCGCCAGCGTCGTGCCCGACACCACCGTGCCCACGCCCTGTGCGTGACAAACGGCCAGTTGACAGTTTAATAACGACTTTAAGCTCTAATTACGAGATTAATGTTCTAAATTTGGGCAACTGAGTCACCTCCTACGTAGTCTAATGTTTTATGCGCCCGCTTCGAGATGTCGCCATCTCTGAGGAGTCTGAGCGATTTGTGTGATTTTGTCTAATATTATTTTTGCATTACATGTAACTTCACGTAGCTCGGGAGCTACTAACGAGAAAATTTACGCAAGAACTTATAAAAAATCTGTAATAAATTTTCGTTATCTCTAATGTTAACCTCGGCGAACGATCTCTAATCCCTCACCGAATGTCAGTATTATTGAGCTGATAAATCTGATAATACGTACCGGCACGGAGTATGTGTCGTCGATCTGGAACTCGGCCGGTTTGTCGTCCTGCGAGGGCATACGCGTCTTCAGCAGGTTCAGGAACATCGTCAGCAGCTCCAGGTTCTCGCCCGTCACATTAGACACTTGGAATATGGGACATAGCCTATAACATAATAGCGAGATTTAATGGTACCTTGAAACTCTAAAGTTTCATTTTCATTATAAAGGTAAACTGTACTGGCAAGACGGGTTTTGAAGAAAAATTACTATATTTCTAAACATTTATACGTTTATTCTTAATAGTGCCCTAAAGTTAAGAAATGCTATATAATTTATAACGGAATCGGCTCCACTCACAGACCACCTAGTTTCAATATGAGTATACAATAGTACACTGACCTCTGCGAGACAAAGTTGGTGGCACTGACGATGACGTCGTCCTTGTTCTTGACCATGACCGGCACCTTCCTGCAGCCGGAGGACTTGAGGATGCGCAGCAGCAGCTTAAGGTTGTCCTGCAGCACGTTGGGCGGGCACATGTCGATCTTGGTCACCACCACGAACACCGGCACCGACAGCGCCAGCGCCAGGCCCAGGTGCTCTTTGGTCATGCCCACTATACCCGCGTTCGCCCCTATCTATAACGTATAAAAAAACGCAACTGAATTCTTTATTCGACATTTCAAAAGTATCTTCATCGAAATTGTGGAGAAATTTTAATTTAAAGGTATATTATTAAAGTGGTTCCTTCCAAATTTCAAAAGGATCAGTTCAGTAGTTTAATTGTATTGTAAACCTAAAAACTGATAAACTCCCACTTCATTTGCAACTAAAAAAAAGAATTTGACTTTACGATATTCTTGAACCATTGAACTACCTTACCCTACTATACCCTTTAATTAGAACATGTATTCCTAATATTGTACAATTTAAATAAAACAAATATCCCTAATAAGAATCTTTACTTCAAACAGCACTAAATAGTATTTTGATTTCTAAAATTGATTAGAAGTACCTGGTACGGAGACATAAATCAAACGCTAGTTAGTACAAACAACAAATTTATCATGGAGACCAAATAGAAGTTATAAGCGCAATGTGCTCACCATAAGCATGCCGAAGTCGGGCGCATGCCCCGTCATGCCGAACACTGTGGTCTTGAGGTACCGCTCGTGTCCAGCCAGATCTATGAATGTGATCACCTTCGAAGACTTCTCGCAGATCTTCACCCAGTCCAGCGTGCCGTGGTCAGGTTTGTTCACCACATTACCTAATAAAATAACAGACATTACAAAACAAACATAATCAACCAGATCCACTGTTTATTTTTTTGTTGCAAAATGTTGACTCCATGCATTTCATACCCTTAAAAATATAAATAAAAGAATTTCTAAAAGAATAGATTTGTTCTAAAAAAAGTTTAATTTTAATAAGACTATTTGCAGTCGTTTATGAGTCATTATCTGGTTTTTGCCTTTAAAAAACTTTCCATATACCAATTTCGAAATAATATTTTTTGGACTAAGAATATTTGAAATGCAAAGTGACATACCCATACTATCGAAGCCTAGTATATCATTTCCCACGGAACTGGTGCGGCCACTCTCCATCTCGTGCTTGTGCCGGAACAGCCTCTGCCTGGCGTACCCGCGTCCGTTGTCGAGTTCACCGTGAGTCAATACTCCTAGCAACGTGGACTTGCCCGCGTCCACATTACCCACCACTGCCACTCTGCATCCAAAATAGACCATTTTTTCCGTTAAACGGAGATATTTTATAATACAATTTTTTTTTGTAACAGAGATTTCTATTAAATGAGACAATTTATCAGTAATGGAGATGTCTCCATTGTAACGGAGAGATCAATAGTAAACATAGGCGATATACTTATTGCAGAGATACAAATACTATTAGGAAGAGCCTATAATTTAACACAAATACAATCTGTACTTACAATAGTTTCTAGATTTATTACATAACGATTAATATAAGAGAATAAAGATGTTGGTATACTCAAACAAGTTTAAGTTGAATTTGGCAAATTATACCAAAACAGTACATGTTTTACTGTCAAAGTCATCATAAAAAAAAGTGCATTCTGAGCCGTGTAACCTGATCTCCATAAAGTCAGTGTGGTCGAGCTCTGTGCGCAGTAGATACTGTCCGGTGAGACCAGTCCCGCACTCCCACCGGCGCAGCTCCACGCACGAGACGCGCTCGCCGCTCACCAGCGACTGCAGCGTCGCCACAGATGCGTTATACTCGTCCTCGGTCAGTCCCCGCCCATCTGTTTTTATGTATCAATTAATAATAATCAACCTAATGGTTGATACTAGAAAATAGCGATGGGCGATATTATTATTATTATTATGGGTCGATCCATTACGCTATCAGATATGCTATCAGATCGCAAATCGTCGTTATCTCAACTGTATATTTTTGATCAGTAGTTATTTCCACAACATTATAAAGTCAAAGCGAATTTTACTCTTATGAAAACGAGATAGAGCCTAATTTTGGGTTGGTTACTTGAACACTCCGTATTTAATTTACACTTATACTGACATCTTGTTGTTGTTTCATTCACACATGACGGATTGCATTGTTTGCAATCTATATTATTTAAACGCTATACATTATGTGTTACATTCTGTACGGTTATTAAAATTGTACTACATGACCGTCAATTTAAAGCGTCGATCGCATAAAGATGACTACGTATCACTGCGAACTATGAGATTAAATTACAATTCAGTTAAGATTAGCTCTTGATTGCAAGTATCAGTTATATGATATTGTATTATCCTCAATGATAGATATCATTGAAAATCTAGATAGATTTTACACAAAAATGCTTACAACAGCCTAGACTGAATAATTAAATCAGTTTGAGAGTTTGCTTGCAACACCATTGTAATGTTACATATATGAAAAATAAATAACCTCATACTAGAAAGAAATTACAATATTTCTTATTATCTAAATATACATAATACATGTAGGTAATGAAATGGGGAGGGAGGGAGAGGGTTCAGTATAGTTCCCTGTTGAATAGGATAACACTAGTAAGTTATCATAGTAGTTGTCTAGATGACAATTGATTAAAAAAAAACTAAGAAAGTAGAGATATAAACAGAAGATAATATTATGATGTAAATTAGTAATGCATTAATATCTAAAAATGTTGAGTAATTTTTTATGATAGATAATTATGTGTGATGTAAGCTGACAACATGATAATGGACACTGAGAAATTTTATGTCCAATCATATGCTTTATAATTGTAAAATATGGAAAATCTACACTGAATTGTTAAATCAGAAGGATTTGTTTGCTTACCAACATCCAAATTTTTATTTAGATATATCTTGTGAGATAGGTACAGGAATACAGTGTTTAGTTTCCTATACCTATTATTAAAACTGTAGTCTTTACATGGTTGCTTCTTTTTAATATATACCTTCTAGAGGTCATCAAATTTAACATTATGTTACAAATTTAAAAGTCAATATCCAGTGAATCAAATGACACAAGTTAACTTTTATAAAAATATCTCCCTAAGTATTTTATAAAATATTTAATTTATGAATAACTAGCTGCTTTTCCCCTAGTTCACCCACATAAATTATAGACTAAGTCACCTACCTACGATGTAACTCCCCAAAGGTGAAAAAAAATTAAAATCGGTCAAGTAACTTTTGGAGCCTATTCAGTGCAAACAAACAATCAAATAAATCCTTTTTATAATATTAGCATAGGTTGTATTCTTACATTTACTAAATGAATTATATTATAAATATATTGTGTATACTTTTGTAAAAAAAAAAAACTAAATTTTACTCATAAAATCAACAATATGGCATTAAAAATTACACAACATTATTGGATGCTTGTCATTCACTGTCTCACCTTCTCCTTGACCAATATCATATATTATTTCCCCATTTCCAGCTTCAAGTCTTTCCATTAGTTGTTTATGCAGCAATTCATATTCATCAGCTGTTGGGCTCACCATGATCATCTGTTGAAGATTAAATAATGGTAAAACTTATCATTCCAAGGCACTACTCAATAATTGTAACTTCATATTACAAATATTAGTCATCTTTTTAATCTGTTATCTATTTCATCAATCTATATGTCACACTGGTATATTATGAATTTAATATAGAATATAAGGCATTGCTATTATTACTATATGGGATATATACAACTAACAAAAAAGTAAACAAGATTTAAGAAGGTTTATAACATTATTACTACATATTATATAATACATGTATATATCATTTGTGCAAGTATTGTTAAGATGATGCAACATATTACCAACAGTTATTTACAAGTTGCAATTCTCTACCAAATGTATCACTATTTACCATGTTTATAAAATCTTTTAATCTTTGAACTGATTTGAAGAATAATAATTTTAATTTTAAAAATGAAAAGCCATGTAATAATTAACTGACTATGAGTAAATTGTTTCATAACTGTTTACATGTACTTATCATTTGTACAACAATTGAGATGATGCAACATAATACAAATGGTAATTTACAATTTTCAAGTCCATGAACCAATAGTCTATTTACTACCAATACGGAATCTATTCATATTTGAACAGGTTTTAAGAGCAATAATGCTGATTTAACAAATGGTAAACCATGAATTAATCATAAGCAAAAGTTATTAAAAACACATACCATCTAAGCTTCTCATGCATACCACAGGTAAAAAAAATTATAAACATTAAACAATATTTAAATGAAATAAAAAAATAAGTAACAACAGACTAAGGAATTATGACAATATAAAGAAGTATTATTATTTATAAGGGAAACATACCTTTCCTCTGATACTGGAATAATCTGTTTCACTATCTAAATAGCCTCCAGCCTCATTTAAGGGGCTATGCTTATCAGGGGAATCTAACATAGTCTCCATTTTCAAATTATTTAATATCTTGAAGAGCAGTCAGTTTATATTGCACATTATGTCATCACATTACTATATTTTGAAATCCTTTGTTCGTTGTGAACTTCTGTAAAGAAATATGCACTTCATCAGAGTAAGGATACATAAGAATCTAAAGAATGTGAAAGATTATTGAAAGACATAAGATCACTGAGTTATTGTTAAAGATGATAAATTTTCTTTATAATAAATGAATCACATCTAGAAATTCACTGAATTTAGAAGGAAAATATAAATTAAGTTATTAATAGAACCTTTTTCACTGCCAGCTGCTTTATACGGAAACTGATTTACAAAAATAAGCTAGCTAGCAAATATTTATTGGCAAAATAAAACAGATGGAACACCAATAGTATGCCAACATTTTTGACAGACACAGACAACTCTACATACAAACTACAACTCAGCAATCATAGACCAAGAATTGCATACTAAACTGGAATGTTCACCTATACCTCAAAAATATTCAAAAGAGTAAAGTGACATCTGCAGGCCTATTCGTTAACTCAGCTGACAACCTAATGCCGTAAGTAATAGAATAAAATATCAATAGTTCGCAAATTTGAAATGTCAATATCGGCGATCTCCACTGAACGCATTTTAATATTTGAACTTGTTTTGATAACCAATTATTTCGTATTCCATAAGCATTAAGGACCATGAAAATGAACTCAAATAACTGATTTGATCTACATTAAAAAATTATATTGTCTAATATATATGCAATGTTATGCTGTTTAAATAATTAAATAAGTTTCTTTTTAAATGTATTTAAAATAGGAAAATATAAGACAATAATAATCTATATAACATCAAAAACCATGTTCCTTAGTTGTTTCCAAAATGTTAGATTAGACACGTAAACCCGAAACTATACCATAATAACAATAACTAAACTAAATATAATAAGAATTTCCATAACTTGAAAATAAGAAAAACAATAATTAAAAGGTAAGCAATTATATTTGCTCGAATGTGCATACGGGAGTTAGCGTAACGTTGGTGGGGTGAGTGGGCCGCAAGTCTGCTGATTGACCAATAAGTGCAAGGTTCTTCCCTGCTGTACGTTTTTCTGCACAAACCACAGTACGCGTTCTGCGCTATCCCCACCAAATATCGAGATATATGAGTATGGATGTATATTTTAGACATTTGAGACGATTACTCACGAACACACATTGAATGAAGGTTGTGGTTTGCCCCTCTTAATGGCAATTTCAGTACTAAAAGTACTGCTCTGTTGAGACGCAAAGGATAAAGGAATTTATACATAGTATCACACAAATCAAGTTTGCATGAATGAGTTGATCCTTATCATAATGAGGAAGTATTTAAAAATATTTTTTTTTTGTTTTTGATATCATACTAGATGTCACACGCGGTGTGTGGATTTTGTTTATGATATTCATTCAAATTTTGTTTCTGACGTAATAAAAGTAAATTGAGTATCGAAAATTAATAAATATAACATCGTTTTGTGTTTCTTATAATATCTAATTTTCAAATTAATTTTAATTTATTTTAATCGTAAGTTTAAGTTATTTATTATGTTACGTGTAAAGGAACGATGTTTCATTGATACATGAACATTAGTGATGAGCCAACTTATTGGTTGCTCGTAACTTTCATCCGAATTCAGGTTTAGCTTGTATTCAGTGGCGTAGCTACCAAGGGGCTGGGCGGGGCAGTGCCCCGGGGCCCTCAAGCTCAGGGGGCCCTCGAATCTTTGACAGAAAATCTCAATCGAACTCAATTTTTGAAAATTTCTCCCATTTTGAACCTGTCAATCGACTTGTCACCTGACAATAAATATCACAGGTGACAACTCGAGTTTAATCATGGCAACTCGGTTGTGAGAAATTCCAAAGTTTTAAAAAGGGAATTCCTCTAAATTATTTGTGTCGGTTGACAGTGTTATTAATGTTTTCATCAATTTGTCGGATATCAATATCCGCACATTATTATTTATCTTATTTTATTTGATTATAGTACGTATACATAGTTACGTAAAGAAATCTATAGATTTCGGCTACACACTATATAACTCAAAATACCGTGAAAAATACAAGTCACATGCGGTAGGGGGCCGTCCATTAATTACGTGATATTTTTGTCATTTTGTAAACCGTCAAATGTGGTAACACTGGCGGCGATCAAATGGTTGCAGGGGATTCCCCTACGACGTCTTGTATCGTATCATTACGTTTCGCTTTCCTTTTTTACTTTTAACGTTGTCAGTGAACAATGAGTACCTACTTGAGTACAATCTTACATAAATAAATTGGAAAACTAATATTATGGACAAAAAAAAGAAACCCAGTGGTGCATTTAAACGCAAATAACGAAAAGAAAGAGAAGAAAGTAAACAAAAATTGCCCAAAATTTTCAAGTTTTTTAGTCAGCCTTATGCAAGTACTTCTGGAGAAAATATTTCTATTGATAATTTTTGTAAATAGCTTGCATGGCGATAGGTTAAATAACAGTAAGCTGGTGTAACGTATCTATGAATAAATAAATATATAATAATCCGTTGAATCTTTTCTATTTCGTTTTATTGCCCAATACCTACCAAGTATAACAATAATTGTAATTTATGTTGTTAGTGTTTAATAGTTTTATTACCTGCCCATGCACGAAAAAGAGCTGATGATAAAGTTGCTTAACATTTGTAAGTATTTGTATATTTAATGATTTTACTTCAAAAAACTTTACTAGTTTTGATAGTAGTGGGGCCCCATTTTTTTATTTGCCCCAGGGCCCTAGGTTACCTAACTACGCCACTGCTTGTATTTGTATTAAAACGAATGATATTAATATAAATATAAAAAAAAAATCAGTCTAGGCTGTTACATAGTACTTGTGAAAGTCGAAAACTTTGCAAATGGTTCGCAAAACTAAGGCGAGAGATCTTGTACTGACAAGAATCAGCAAGAAACTCAGCAAGGGTTGCTTTTTTAATTTCAACAATACAACTCAACTATACAGTATTTGAGGGAACGTAACGACCCAACGCATACGACACCGCCGCAAAGATCGTAAGAGAGCATTACTACTCTAGGTACTTAGTAAATACTATTTCAATAAAACTGATTTCTAGAGTAGATTGCGTAGGAATTGAATCTATTATTAACAATTTTGTTGTAAGAACCAAAAAGCACATACCCACCGTACGAATTAACTTAACACATGGCTCCACGTCCGCAAACGACATGCAAGATCAGTAGCAATAATATAATAACTGTACGTGTCTTTGTGATTTTGAAATTTAAAGTTATACCCGTACCCGACACGTGCAGTTTTTTAAAGTCTTAATTTCGAAAGCACAAGTTATATGCACGTTACACTTTGCACAAACGTCATTTTACCCAGAAGTCATGTTATTTTGTATGAATACCTAGTATATTTAGATTCATATCGGGTAACTATATAGATAATAAACGGATTTTTAATTATAGTTATCGTTTTTATGACTTTTGTTGGTGATTAATAAAGCATATTCATAATCATTCCAGTTTAGTATGCAAGTTCCTTGTCATCTTGTCATAGACACATTTTTTTCTAAACACAGGTATCTAACCTATACAGTCAGTCAGTGTGATAATCTATAAGAGATGATACAAAGGCATTTTAATATGTGATCCATTTCAATTTGGCATCAATCAACATAATCCATAATCAGTATGATCAAGATCGATAGATTTGACATCTAATGGTCCGCTATGACAAGGTGTCTTTAGAGCTGCAAAGTTCATAAAAATATCGATATATCGAGAGCGATATATATCGGTTAGTCGATATTGATGTATCACTTAACGATGCCGATATGTATTGTAAGTCTTTATGAATCCTAAAGATCTTATGTCAATAAAATTCGTTTAATCATAAATTTATTTAAAAATTGCTGAATACTGAATTTAGCAGCTTTGACCACCTACTTCCATAAAGCCTGTTCATAGTTCGTGTAAAGTTCCTTCTGCTTTTCGGAGGAGTCTCAACTACTTGCATTTTAATATTGTACTATCTACCACACAAATCAGTAGTAACAGATACATCAATTTTTTTGTGATCTACAATAGTAACGAAATCTATGTCATAAAGCGTTGTATTCGAAGTACCATTGACTTTCTATAATTACGATAACATTAGAAGAACTGCCATGTCATACAGAAGGCATGCTTGCGGCCATAATCTCTTATAGATCACTTTTTTCAAATAGGTCTTAGTTTTAGAAAAATATTTTGGCTAACTTATGTTTATTATAGCTTTCTTTATGTATTATTCTGGAACACCACATCTAATATTTAATTGTTACAGTAATTAGGAAGGCACTGGCTTCCATAATACAGTTCGAATTCGACAGTTCGAAAGCTTAAATAATAATAAGAAACTACTATAAATTTCAGATTACATTTTGGATGTTAAAAGGTGACCGGGTAAACGTTACGGGAAAAACCTATGGCAGACATAAATGAATTTAAGAAAATATTTAGCTGTGTCTCAAGTTTATAGTGGTCAGGGTCACCACTTAGCAAATACTGAGAATTACGCAAAAAAAATTTCACTTATCCGGGCCGAATTAATATTGCCGAACGAAAACTATTGAAGTTACCCCTGATTGGCTAACGAATATTTTTGGGAAATTCAACCCCTAAGTATAAAATAGGAGTTATAAGTTTATATTATTAACTCCATCAGTTTGTGGGTAGAAACGTTAAACCATATATTTATTTTTCCATAAAATGGTTAAATACCTGTTCTAGCGTATGAGGAAATTCTAGTCTTTAAGGGGTGAAGGGTTGAAAGCTTATATGGAATCTCAGGATTCAAATTCTTTGAGGATTGCAATGCGTAGATTTGAACATTGGATAATAAGTATAACAGTTAACGGTGTAATTGATAAACCGATAATTATTAGTCAGCGTCAACATATTAATAATCTCGTAATAAAATTATTTTTTTGTGAATGTATTCTCTTTTATTTAACATATTTTCCCAATAATAGACGTGAGGAAATGTTTTTAAGATTTTATATTTTTAAATATCTTTGTCATTTATGTCCGCGACCCGGTTGGATTGCAATAGTAGACGACGTGAGGAATCATTATTAGGTTCTAATTGCTTTTCCCATCGAATTTAAATAAAATGATTTTAAACAATGATAAGTAGGTTTTTATTATCTATCATTTGATACCATTTTCATTAATGTCCGCGACTAGAGATACAAAGTTCACAAAAATATCGATATATCGAGTTCGATATATATCGGTTACAGTGGACATAGATATATCGCTTTACAATGCCAATATATCGATAATTTTTTGGGCCTTAAGCTAAATCGTTTAATCATAAGTTCATCTTAAAAATGCACCTAATTTTAAATTGGTGGCGGCTACTTCCTGGCTACTTAGCTCGTTCCTACTTCGTTTAATATAGGAACAGGCTTATGTAGCATGATGAACTCGAGAGTTTTGTTTACACTCAAATGTCACCTTTCTCCGGTGCGCCCTAACGATATCTTAATCTTGACCCAAGAAACGTGACGTTTGGTGTAGACAAAACATTCCTCGAGCTTGTCATTCTTTGCGTGTTGCTTTTAAAGAAATGCGATCAGAAGGCATGCTTCTGGTCTCAATGGGAAAATTTTCTATTGCCACTTCAAACAGATTGCAAGTAGATTGGTATTAACACTTTATTTTTTAATTAAGTACTAGATATATTATTAAAAACTATAACAAATTTAAAAGCAAAAAATCAGGGTTATATAGTGACTAATAAATCACATGTGTTATATACTAATACGGAATTCAATACCGGGATACCAGCCCCGCACATAAATCGAGCGGGATTAGTAGGACTGTGCAACGGTAAACTCCATGTGTTGTTCGGGACGCGAAAGAGTGTTGATAATGAAATTCATGATGATTTACCTTTTGCTACAGTCGCCGCAATGGTGCAAGCTGAAACTACCCGAAGATGAAGTTGCTGATTTTTGTACTTATTCCGGAGTTCATTATTTCGATGTTTTTATTAAGAAAGAAATGTATTTATTCGAATCTGATGCATTAAAAGGCGAATATCTTCAATTCGCTTAAACTAATGTTATACATATACATATAAAATGCCGTTCGATGTTAAAATTTAGATAACTTATAACGCATTAACACGCATATATATATGTCGGTTTTCCAATATATTGTTGCATCCTTATCCGCGATCGGTCGGACTCAGCCTAGTGCCTTTCTGACTACAGTCTGTCTCACGAAAGAAGTCCCACAGCATAACTCTTATTCCTTTGTAATAAAAACGAAAACATGTGATCCGAGGGACTTATTTTGTTTGACGAACTCTACTGATATACATTTAATGTTATTTTTCGATATCGATATTTATCGGTGTCAATATAAATCGGTTTTCCGATAAATCGTTACATCACTATTTTCACTCTACAATAGATTTGTGGTTGGTTTTACTTTTCACTGAAGATTTATTTATTTACCTCGTAACAAATAATATAAAATTATATTAAAACCTTAATCATATTATGGTTCTGTGGATATTTCAATCCTTGAACAATCAATATGGGTGACCACAACTCATCTGATTGTTCCTGGAAAAAAATGGTGATAGCAAAAGCAAACAACGAATGGATATCTACAATCAAAACAGAACAAAGTGTTCAAGACTCTGTAAATTCTTCAGGTTTGGTAGGGGAATCGGATTTGAATGATGTGAAAAAGGAGCATGTGGAATCGTTTATGGACTTCAACAAAGATCATGGAGAAGCAGAGACCATGTTACAAGAAGTTGATCCGTTGTTAGTGATTGCAGAACCTAGAAGACGCAGTAAAGGATCTGGATCTAAAAGTGAAACGCCAGAAGAAAGGAAAGCTCGGCTTGCGAAAATGTCTGCCTATGCTGCCCAAAGGCTTGCCAATGAAACTCCAGAGCAACGTGCTATGAGACTCAAGCGGATGTCTGATTATGCAGCGAGAAGACTTTCTCAAGAAACGCATGAACAAAGGGCAAAACGGCTTGCTAGAATGTCTGCTTATGCAGCAAGGAGATTAGCTCAAGAGACTCCTGAGCAGAGGGAGGCTCGTTTAGCCAGGATGTCCATTTATGCAGCTAAAAGAAAAAATGTAGTACAAAAGAAAAGATCTGTCCATCACACTGATGAAATTACAAATGAGACCTTTAACCAAAGCTAAAAAATATTGGACCCTTATATTTTGTTAATAAAGCCCAATTTACATTTCAAAAAGGGTGTGTTGCTTTAAGATAATTATACCCTGCAATGATTATTAGAAAATTATTTGAAATTGTAGTAACTATTCATAATCTAAAATTTTCCTTCCTTCAATAAGTTGTGCTTTCAAAAACTTTTTTTAAACATTAAAACTTACCATGTCTAGTCTTTTAAACAGTAAATAATTTTTTACTTTAATTCTTTGAGTACAAACAACTCATTTATTACAGTAACTAACAAATTCCATAACTCAGTGCTGTACTTTTTGAAGTGTAAATCAGGCTTATGTTTGTGAGGTTTTATGCAATATTAAGTAACATAGAATAATACTTTTATAAATATTAATTTAAACATTTAAGAATTTAATGTTATTTGATTTTTGTGTATTGTGATTACGATGAGTTTTAATTATAGCTATAATTGGAACATAATAAATTAATTTTATATTAATTTTATCTTTTGAACTTTCTAAATGAATTAGTTTCCTAGTCAAAACATGTCTTTTAACTTTTTTATGATTTTTTCGATACTATATTTTCATACCTAAATATTTAGGTGAGTAAAATAGCAAACTGTCTTTTCTATAAATATATTTGATTACATGGTTTAACTTTAAAATATTTTATAAATTAACATAAGAGATTCAAAATATATTCAGGAATGCCTATATAAGTCAATATATCTTTCTTTACATACATATCATAACCAACACCTTAATTCTTATTTACAAAATGTCAATTAATAAATATTAATATATTTACAACTTATCTACTAAAAGTTCTTGTTCACTACTGAACTTACATTTTGTATGCTAAGCGAGATCGATATATATCTGTGGTGAAATGACATTTGTTCATCAAAATGAATCATGCTTAAAATCTGAAATTCATGTGATATTATAATAAAATTTCACTTAACAGTGTCACACTTACTTTATAGTTAATTTTATTAATTTTAGGTAAATTATGTTTATCAATTCAACATAATATGTAGTCATTGAATGAACAAATAATGTATCAAATAGTAAATTTACTCTTGTTAAGTTGAAAATATGTAATAGTGTATCATAAGACAAGTTCAGACTTGAGCAAAGTGCTATCTGATAAATTCTTGAAGATTTTGTTTACCATTTGTAGTTTTTTATACAAGGTTGAAGAGTATCAGTTGTAAAATCATTTATTTTACAATTGGTGATTATTATTTCATTTTAGAAGAATGAACCGAGAACAATATGTACTTTTCAGTCAAAATGAAGGATACATAGGGTAACTGTTAATTTATAATTATTGATCTGATTAGGTTTTGTCCAAGTCAGCCTTACTCTCGAAGGCAATTCCGATCGACATTGCGATTGTGCCGCTTCGCACTCTTTATTGGTTCACTAGCATATTCGGGCGTTAGTGTACCCAATCAAGACCACGAAACGGAACAATGAGAAAGTATTTTAAGAAAATAAAGAATCACAGTCAATCAGTCTCATTAGATGGCGACTCTAGCAAAAGTTTATTTTTGCTGGAAACGAATGGACTAAAGATAGTAATTTCCGTTCTTTTTAACTAACATATTAAAAAAACTGAAATTACAAAGTTTGAAACATAGATATCAAATACGAAAAAGTACAAAAATAATATGAGTTGTTTATTGAGTTTTGAAAATTATTTACTTTTATACATGAAAGAAAAACGGAAGGGTAGTTATGGAGAAATCAAGAAAAAACCGTAGCGACATCTAGTTTGATTTCGGAAACTAATGTTTTTTTTTTATACCTATTGCGATATTGATCGGTCGCGACTGCGTTCGAGAGTAAGGGGGCTGGTATTTATTATCAGTCAGCATAACAATAAACACACACTATTTAATATTTGAATTAAAAGCAGAATGTAGGTGTGTGAATCAATTGGTGTTACAATTATTAAATAAATGCAAATTAAAACTTCACACATTCCTATGCTATGCTTCAAAAACATCGATGCATTGGATTTCTTATTGACGGTCACAATGTACGTTTCCGATTTTAATATTCAATTTTTGACTTGAAACCTCAGTGTTTTCATGAAAAATTTTCAGCACGTTCGATAGCGAGCTTCAACTCGCGACACTCGTACTCTCCATTCAGCGTGGGGGCAGAGCGTTCGCGACGTTATTACGTACGGGCATAAGAGCGTTATTGCGCTAGCACGGTGTGTCGGTAGCTAGCGGCGCACCCGCAACCGGCACGCGCGTCAACAGCTGACGGGTGGACGACGTAGAGCTGTACGAGTCGCCCGACGAGCGTACCGACGACTGACTCAGAGGAGTGCCTATACAGTTGTATCAATGTCAAATTTATATAATAGGGATGACGACTGGGTAAAAAAAATGCAATTCTATTTAGTCCGTCAATCAGATAATATAAAAATATTAGATACGTATTTTTTTTACTTCAATTTAACAAGAAATAGCTTAGATAACAGGCATTAAAGTTGAGGAGTGGGGGGCTAGCTACGTCACAGTTTAGTAGAAAACGTACCATAACGTGACGTCATGCGAAATTCAACTTCATGTAACGCCGTAATTTTATGATTACGAAAAAAATAAAAAAATACGTGTTTAATATTTTTTAACACTCTATCTGACGGACAAACAAACAAAAATTAGTCGCCATCCCTATTTCTTATACTCCGAACTCATTGAAGGTTTTATACTCGAGCAAAATTAGTCGACTCAGTCACGGCACGGGCTTTTGTCCACATTATTGATCTATCGTACTATCCCTGAAGAATCGAGGGAGGGGAGGACCTTTTGGCAGTGGAGATCAAGGGTTAGCTACTACGGCGGACTATATTTGACTTGTGTGTTTATCTTGAAGTCCTCTAAAGAAAATAAATAAAAAATTTAAAAAAACATCAAGCCATTGGTGTCGGCTGCATATGCAGTGTTCATTAAAACTACAAGTGTTATCTTAATAAATTCTTATTTTGAGTTATAAGTACGGCAGATTTGTTTACTACTAAACTATTAATATTATCTCACCTGGAAGAGAAGTAACATGGTGGGGCAAAGCCCATCGTTGTGGTGTGCACTCCTCTGTTATATTGTTAGCTGTTTCCTGAAATAGAGCATTTCTTAATTAAACATATAAGCTACATTCAATAAATGACCACCGAACAGTAAGACACAATGAATGATGTATATAACATGATAACATTAGAGCAAAACAAAACAACAACAAAAGCAAACGTCTTTCAACTTGGATACAATAATAAAATAAAAAATATTCAGGCATAGTACGATAGATTCAGGCTTTTTTATTATTTGACTAGAATTTTTTAAATGCTTATTACCATCACAATATAGTCTAATATGTTTTGCATTGGAATAATGATAAATTTACAATGCGCGATCGGTATATTAAATTATTATTTAGTATGCCTCAGCTTGTATCTTCTAAGGGGCCATCCATAAATTACGTCACACGTTAAGGGGGAGGGAGGGGGTCGACGAAGTGTGACATTGTGTGAGCGTCCTAAATTTCGTGACGTCACATTTCAAAATCTGTTATAAACTAAGTGTTAAAACACGAACTTTATACTATTACTTTACAAAAACCTTGCAAAATATGTGACATCACACTAGGAGGTGGGAGGGGCAAAAAAATCATGAAAATCGTGTGACTTAATTTATGGATGACCCCTAATAAGGCAAAAAATCAAAACATGTTGGTTGAGGTCAAATATTAAAATAACCATATCCAAGTTGCTGCCGACAAAGACTAATGAACACAATATCTAGCAACAGAAAACACCAAAAAAACCAAACTGAAACAAAACACGATGGCACAACATGGCGGCCGGGCGGTGCATGTAATGACGTCACGCATCGCGCGCGGTCTGAGGTGGATGGGCGTGGAGACTTACGGCGTGCTTGTGCTTGTTGGGCACGGTCAGTATGGTGGTGGCTGTGTCCTCGGGCGTGAAATAGTCCGAGTCTTCGGCGGCGGGCGGCGACTCCGCCTCCGTCGACGCGTTACCCTCATGCCCGCCCGCTGCGTGCCAGGACACGGGGTTTGCATATTTTTTTTAATTTGTTGTAGGGAAATCTACTTTATAGGCTATTTCGATTACATTACGCACAACCCTAACTGCCAGTTAGCTGTTAGCAGCTAGATCAGATTCGCGCCATTCAATTGTCCGGTTGTCTTTGCTTCAACTATTAAAATATTTGCTCGAGACAAGGCGCTGGCTTAATTATAGTAGAGATTATAACGAAGAAAATGATTTGAATTTAAACTATTATAATTTTTAAACATTTCAACTAGACTCTCCTATATACACCTATACAGTGAAATCTTACATTTTTTTCTGGACTCATTCTATGACGTACATGTCTGTGGGGGCTTCTTTTCCCCTATTTGATCTGATCGTAATTCGTTCCTGATACTTAAACGTCGACAGTTTCTATACTCGATACTGTGAGTAGCTTTGAATCCATAACATAAACATGTACGTACAAACAGCTGTACATCAGGTTACCATAATGTGTCAGATTTCACCAGTTGATTTTAAACTCTACCATCAAAACATTAAGTTTTAAAATCAAGTGGAGTTTTACAGATTTGTATAATCTGTTGACTGTACGCATCTAGGTTAACAAACTCAATTTCAATCATAAATATACCTTTGTAGGCTTCAATATTCTGTAAAGTGTTTACCTGACATATAACAGTAAATGCTTAAATTACGCATTGTCTATTTATTGCATCAACATGCTGCTGAGTTCAAATAAATAAAATATTTAAATAATTTCCTGACATAAGGACACTAAACTATGACGTAACAATTTAGTAATCAATTATCTCATAAGAATATCACTGCAACATCACATTGAAAAATTTCATATAAAGACTCCTAAAAATGATATTCAATAAATGACCACCGACTTCCTGCGCGAGTATATAATTCTAATTCGGCGAAAGTATAATTCGGTGATTTTATCACTCTGATCTGACAACATACGATAAGTGACGTCACGAGCGAACAATAACAAGCGCGTAATCGTCTCAGCAGCAAACTCAAAAGTGAAAATTATTTTAGTATTTTTTTTTAATAAAACTGATTTATTTCCGTGGAAAAATATATTAGAGGTTTATGATTTATCTAATTAATGACTACTATAAATACTGATTTAAAAGTTTGAAACGGCGGCCTTAGCAGTCCGGTTCTGTCGCTTTTAAGTCTTCATATACGTAATTTGTATAAACGCCACAATTACAAAACTGGAACGATGTATTCACGCCGCGCCGCATTTTGTCGCGAAACGTCAGAACACACAAATGTCATATAAAACATTCAACCTTGCACCCTTAATCGATACTTTAGCGCGTCAAGCGTAAATACTAACACATACGATGCACCGACCCCCAACAAACAAATATGACTAATCGCTTGAAGGCTAAATTTCGTACCGCGGCAAATCAGATACATTCAAGTAGCGATTTAGATGGAAAACTAGTGCGATATATTTTTCACCTTATGATTGATAATCATTGATTATAAACTTTAATCATACGTAGCATGACTAACTAGAGTAACATTTTGTCTACAGTTTTCTCGGGAGAGTGAGAAGTGACATCTAGATGTAGACAAAGCGTTTCTTGAATTTATTATGCTACTCGTGTTGATTAAAGTAATGAATGTCATTGCTTAGTATAGATAAGAAAATAATCCTAAACCATATTTTTTTTGTAAACATACTATTAGATTTTTTTTGAAATATTGACTTTTAGTAATTTTTTTTTTAATATCGTTTGTGGGTGTTAAGTGTTGTTATGGAATTCAGTACGTACAGTGCGTGATCCTCTCTGGCTCGTCAGTGTCGGTGTCGTCAATGTGGGCCATCGCGCCCGTCGCGGTCTGTCGATATACGGGCACGTTATTATTAATTATAAAAATAAATATTTCTTGAAAACTCAGACAAGTTTAAATGTAGTTCAATAAAAAAACTTTTTGGCGATGAAACCGTCATTAATAAAAAATCACATAGGCATTTCACTTTAACGCAAATAAGTCTAATCGCTCACCCCGTTGGGCGGCAGGTGTGTGAGCAGAGGCGAGAGCCGCTCAGCATCGCTGTCGGGCTCGTCGGGCGGGGCGGTGGGCGTGACCGCGGCGGGCGCGGGGGCGGGGCTCGCCACCTCCAGCGCCTGCCCGTCCCCCTCCCCCTCCCCATCCTCCTCGTCAGACCCAGAGCCCGACGCCGCCGAGCCAATGCCTCGACCATACTCCAGGCTCAACGTAGACTGCACCCAACGGAACAAGTCAAAACGACGGTTCGAAAAACTATCCGGCACCATTAAATTTATGGAAACAGGTCATCCACTGATATTCGAGCGCCTGGCCCCCACTGTGTGTGAGCGAGACAGACACCTAACGCGTTGTATTTTACACCTCATGATTATGGAAATCAGACACCTTATAAATCGTACCTATCGTAAGTTCAATCGTCGTCGAAATCGGTAGATCTGCTTTGCGCAAACGATGATTCACCATATAAGTTAGAACACACTGTACATAGTAAGTAACTGTAAGTAACTTTGTTCCAAGCTAATAAAATTCAAGCAACAAACGTATTCACCTTTGATAGGGTACGCTCTGGCGGCGCGGGCGTACTGAGCAGGGGACTGTGTGCCGCCTCGTCGCGCGCCAACAGTACAGACATGCGGAACTGTAACAACGCACACATAAAGTACTGCACTGTTACATTATAAACACAATACTGTAACAATATAGACTTACGGCACTGTAACAACTCACATCAGTATGTGAATAGAGATGTAGACAGCATTTTTTATTTTATAGATATACATTAAATATATCTAAGAATTTATTTTTAATAAGTTTAAAATCTAAAAATAAATTTATTGGTGCCGCTATGACGTCTTGGCCTACTGAAACTAATATCGTTCTATTATGCATAAGGTTCAATTCTCCAAGTTCTGATATAAGTAAGCAGGGCGTGACGTCACGCGCTGTTTGCGGTCACGTGACAACGAGTATAAATATTTGTTTGTTTTTTTTTTTAATATAATTAATATGTGCGATATTATAAATTTTATAAGCATAAAAGTGTGATTATCGATATTAAACACTACCAGAAAAAAAAGTATTTATTTTCGTTTACTGTTTACATCCGTATTGTTGCACAGAACAGTTTCTGTATGAAATGAAATGAAATGAAAATGAAATGAAAATATCTTTATTCAAGTAGGCTATTACAAGCACTTTTGAATCGTCCAAAAAACTTTTTTCCCCTACCACTTGTTCAGGACGTCTTTTAGCTGACAAGAAGAACAAGCGAAAGAAACTTATCAGCTTTTTATCATAAGTAATGACATTTACATAAATCATGTCATTACCAAAATAATATGTATTATCAATTTATCACAATAGTAAATACAACTTTCAAAGTCTGTAGGACATAAGTTGAACATATAATTAGTCTTTATAGAACAAAGCGAAGGCTATTAATTCCATGCATTGCGATCCTTAAAATAATCATCAACTTTATAATAGCCTTTACTCACAAGTATATTCTTTACATGAATTTGAAATTTATTTATGGGTAGGTCAATTACATTTTGTGGAACTTTATTGAACATAGCAATACATTTACCCAGAAATGATCCTCTGGTTTTTTGAAGTCTGAAGCTTGGAACGGCAAGTTTATCTTTATTTCTTGTGTTAAGATTATGAACACTACTTTTTTTTGTGAAGGAATCGTAATGTTTTCTTGTATACATAATATTCTCATAGATGTATTGAGAGGCAACAGTCAGAATATTTATTTCTTTAAATATTTCTCTTAGAGATTCCCTAGACCGTAAATTATATATAGCACGGACAGCTCTCTTTTGTAAAATAAAAACATCCTGAATGCTAGCCGCAGAACCCCATAACAATATACGTCATTACACTATGAAAATAACTAAAATATACCAATCTTGCCGTTTCAACATTTGTCAAGAGTCTAATTTTCTTAACAGCAAAAGCTGCAGAACTCAGTCTACTTGACAAGCTATCAATATGAGGATCCCATTGCAGTCGGGAATCTAGTGTAATACCAAGGAACTTTGTCGATTCTACTAACTCAACTTTTTCACTATTTACATTTATAAGTGTACTGACATGCCTCACATTAGGTAATGCAAACTTTATGCATTTCGTTTTATTTGAATTGAGCTTTAAATTATTATTATCAAACCACTGTAGAACGTTGTCGAGAGCATTATTTACATCGTCAAAACAATCATTACCCCTCTCAACTTTAAACAGTAAAGAGGTGTCATCTGCAAATAATACTGTCTCGCACAAATTCTTCGTAAAGTGAGGAAGATCATTTATATAAATTAGAAAAAGCAATGGTCCTAATATCGATCCCTGAGGTACGCCCATAGTAACTGGTGCCCCTGCAGATTTCGCTTCATTGATTACTACCTTTTGTATTCTAGCAGAAAGATATGATCTTATTAGATGAAGTGAATTTTTCGTCACACCATAATGTTCTAATTTCCCCAACAGTGTTTCATGACTAACGCAGTCGAATGCTTTTGATAGATCACAAAAAATGCCAATAGCATCTTGTTTATTCTCCCAAGCATCATAGATATGCCTCAGAAGTGCAATCCAGCGTCTGTTGTACATTTACCTCTTCTAAAGCCAAACTGATTTTGGTGAAGTAATTTATTTAATGAAAAGTGTGCAAGCAGTTGATTGTACATCATTTTCTCAAATACTTTACTTAATTATAGTATGATTATAGTATGATTACGTATGATTATAGTATGATTACGTATGATTATAGACATGCGGTACTGTAACACTGTGGAGCGTCTTGCGTAAAGTTAGTATTAATTATTTCGATATATTTATTGGATATAAATTATATTAAATGTTTTTCATTAGAATAAAAAAATGGTAACCTCAGGTGTGAGGGTGTGCGTGGGTTTTTCTCGCGGTTTGACGTCGTCCTTGGAGTGTGACTTGCCCTTCCTGCTGCCGCTGCTGCCCAGGCTCGTCGATGAGCTGCGCTCCAGGTTGCAGCGGTTCAGGATTTCCGCTGCCTGGATAGTAGCACGACATCAACCGATATATACCGTTATGATATATTTATGAATATCCATGGATAGATAGTGTATTAATATATGGCCAAAGCGATGCGTAAGTCGAGCGAAACGCGTTATCGTAGAAATTTGCCACTTATCGCTAATCGACGCTCTTTCGATGGATTATTGCTATTCGACTAAGTTAGGCTATAATGTACATCGAAGACTAATATGGAATTTAGGCATAATTAATAGGAAACATACAAACAATTAAAACATACTCTTAATGAAAAATGCTAAATAAATTGTGACTGTAAAATTGATCAAATATAAAAGCACTAATAGGTTTTTAAACACAGATAAATTAATATCTTTAGTTTGATGAAACGCACTCCTAAAGGCTGGTGTTGCAGTTTAATGTCGCTCTACGGGAGTGCCGTATCTTGAATCGTATTGTTTAGTTAGTTTGTCAGTAGTGACCTGTGAGGCGGTGTCAGTGTCGGGCGAGGCGATGGCGGGCGCGGGGCGGGGCGCGGGGGGCGCGCGGGCCGCGTGCGGGCCGTTCAGCGCCTCCAGCAGCGACACCGGCTCGTACCCGGCGGGGATGTTCTCCAGGCTGCCCTGCTGTGTACATCGTTAACAATAACAATAGGCAAGTTCTTTAGCAACGGGACACAACCTAACCTTCTTTACTATGAAATGTTTTAAAATTATAAATAATCTTTAATAAAATCGAAGCGTGTAAACGCCACTTGGACGGAAATGATCTGTTACGAGTTATGTAACTGTTTTTATTATGTAGAGATTTTAAGTGACTTTTCTCTGACTAGAATAGAGTAAAATATAAAACGATTCGTGACTCGTGTGGGCTATGATAAATCACCGTAATCTAAAATATTTAAAAGAATTCATGAGCAAAACAATATTTTTTGTTGGAAGTATTGAGTTTAAGTTAAACTAGTAGATCAAACATTGTTGTATCTTATCCTCTCCGGTTGTTGGTAATTCGAAATAACCTTGTATAAGTAGGAGACTGATATCTGCGTGTTTCAGAAATGACCCTGTATAATTAGTAGACTCACATCGTTGGGCGTGGCGGCGGCGGGCAGCAGCGCGGGCGAGGCGGCGACGCGTTGCAGCGCACGTATCTGCAGCAGCGCGCGGAAGGGGGCGCGACATATGGGACAGTTGTTGGCCTGGTACCGGAGCGAGTCCGCGCACGAGTTACACAGGCACAGGTGTCGGCACGGCAGGATCAGCGTGTCGCGCACGTCGCACATACATATCACGCACTCGGACCCGCCGTCCTCGGTCTCCTCGTCCGAACTCGGCTGGACAATACACATGCATACATATAGAGGTCACCTGATTGAACGGAAGATGAGCGCCGACTCTATGGATGCTCGGAAAACAGTGACAACATAATAACTAAAATAAATCATTGGCGTTTGCGGCGAGTGGTAATGTGATATTTTTGCTACACTTAATTAACACGGTATTTATTTACATATTCACATATACATATTTAATTAAAATACCTATCTACTTATTGATGTAATATACCGAAAGAAAAAGTACTGCTTCAAAATATAAGTACTTATGTAAAACCGTTTTCTAAAACCGGCGCCTCTGCTTCGAAATACATTTTCAAATTAGTGATAGACCACTATTAGTTTGATATACATTTTCAAATTAGTGATAGACCACTGATGTAGCTTTTAGATTTTAATCACACGTAGATATAATGAATGTAAAATGTAATCCATATTGATATAACGACAAAGAAAAATCGGCTTTAGGCGACGTTGTTTCAAATTACCACTTTTTAGACAAATGTCATTCTAAAGCGATGCAAATATTTGCCAAATAAAAATCATTTTATGAAATTAATCATATGATCTATGGTTTGCTAAATAATCGGCTCGATACAAAAAATCGCAGAGGACTCTAAATAGGCTTTTTTGGATCGATCTTCTTTTTCATAAACATAGTATTTGTATACTTGTAATAAAATCTTTCCAGCTATACCATTTGTATCTGGGTGGTTTAGGTATCATTAAAAAGTTAAAATTTTAAAGAAGATAACTAATTCAAATTAGGAAAATGTGTGATTTCAAAAAGTGGAGCAAGATCGGCATATCTCATTTTTTATTCTTTATTACGGCGTAATGAAACCAACAAAATTTTGAAGAAGCTGATAACTAGTGATGACTAGTGGATCACGTACGAAAAGCGATCTGAATTAATCAATAGAAGGGTAGTGTGGTTTCGCCTCATGATAATGCTAGACCTCACACATTTTTTACCACTCAGCATAAATTAAGGGAGTTTGACTGGGGAAGGTTAATGCATCCTCCGTATAGTTTTGACCTTGCACTTTCAGATTTCCATCTGTTTCGGTCCCTTCAGAATTCTTAAGGCAGTGTCAGGTTAACATCACGCGAGGACTTTCTCAATCAGAATCGTCAAAAAACCGCAACAAGTGGTTTAAACCGCAACGAGTGGGAAAAAGTTTTCGAATAAATTAGTACTTTAATTAAATGTAAATAAACTTTATTAAAAACTGTTTTAAATTATCATATAAAATGCGAAGAAACTTTTTCCTCAACCTCTTTCATAAAATATTATATCAAGTATATAAAAATACTTGCTTTCGCCAGCGGCTTCGCCCGCGTGGTCACTAGGAAAATGTTTAGTTGGATAAAAAGTATTCTATAATTATTTATTAATGAAGGCAAGTACTAGCATAGTTATAACTATAACTAGTATAGTTCAAAATTTTACAGATTACAGATGTACTATACCTTTGTATCGAGGTTCTTATTTTCAATGCCATATATCTCCTGCAGAAGGTAACATAGACCATCCACAAAGAGTTTCTGTTTTAGTGCTTTTAAAACATATGTTCCATCAGAATGTTTTTCCACTATGGCGATTGTAGTATGCGACTGCCTGATTTCTTAAAAAAGAAAAATAATAATTAATAGAATCTATTTGATTATACTAGATGTGTGTCATTTAAATAATATGTTACCTACATACTCAAGAGTGTATTCATGCTTTTTTGGTAAAACTTAAATTTGCCAGTAGTTCTTTTTTTTTTGCATAAATGTTAGTACATCTTTGGAATAAGGCTCATAGCTGTTTTGGGGATTCACGTCTATATAATCCCAGAGCGTTTAAGCCTAGTGTAGTTGAAACATTAAGGTTGATGCATATGAGACGGAAGATGCATCGCGGCTCATGGTCGTGAAACGTCAAAACTGACAAATTAAAAGATATGACATTTGCCTTCCACACCAACGTCACTTACTGCCCATTGCATAAATGTTCATTAAAATTATCATTAGAGTAACTTTAATTCCTCATACTGATTTTTAAATTTAAAACATCTGTTAGAACTAAAAATCATCATTAATCCTTAATACACATTTACGCAATTGACCCTTGGAGCTTAAAGTCGTCATTAAACTTGAATGAACATTAGTGCATCTGGATGTTACAAATGCATAATTCTGTGAGATACTTGATGGATCTTTTATCAAATTGGGCCATTTCAGACTTTCAAACTTCAACAGAGGCACATTTATTAACCCTCCTTCCATTAAGGGTTATTTTAGATTATTACCTTCTTGACCTTCATCTACTACACAGTAAATAGCTATTGGTATAATTTCTCTGTCAGCATTGTACACCAAATCTTCTTCTGGATGCTTAGAGGGGTCAAATACATGAGATATCTGACAGAACTGCTGGTTGGCTCCTTTCTTGTAATGATACGTCTGTGAAGTCATTGATGAATCACGAGGGTAATACCTGAATAAATGGTAAAAGAGATGAGTATTATAAAAAGCTTGTAAAATATAAGGGGTGACACATCCACGGCGAAATGCAATGTATGCTTGCTAATTTTCCAAATGTTCCACATAAATATTACACAGATTACTTGAATACACAAGGCTATGCATTGTTATATATATAACAGCCTTAAAAAACTATCAGCTAGATGGAAATTATCATCACACAATAGCAGTAAGCTAAGAGAAGTTCAACTATGGGCAAATATTTAAGCACAAATAGTTGATTACATATTTGCCCATAGCTTAATTTTCAATGAACAATCACAGAACAAGATAAATTAAAAGTAAAAGAATTTAAGAAAATCCTCCTTCTATACACTGGTTTTCAAAGTTATTATTTAGTTTATGAACTTACACTACACCAGCTGGAGTGACTTCTTCAGTACAGAAATAAAATATTGTTATGGCACATCTTGCATCACAGTCAAATGTAAACTCAATATTGTAATATGTGCCTTTTCCATTGTTTTCAATAGATTTCATGACACCGTCACCAATTTTGTTAGAATCAGCAACTTTGCCCACTGGCTCAGGACATCTGACAAACCGGAGTGATTCTTTGCGGATATTAACCAGGCTTTTTAGTGTCTTTGTAGGTTCGTTTGACTGTGGGGGAGGATATGGAAACTGAAAACAGGAAATTATGATAATTACCAACTCAATTTTGAATTATTTGCTAACCTATTAGAACTTAAAACAAATCAGAATTATTGTTTTGTAAACTGACATTCTGTTACTTTTAATTTAAAATTAGGAGGTCTATTCTACTTTAGTAAACAGCATTTTACCATAAATACATTTTTAGTAAAAAATTTATAAATCTATTTTATCATTTGATATTCTTAAAATCCCTTGTAACCAACACATAAATTTACAGTAAATTGATGTTTAATATTAAACAACAGTAACTTACAGGTGTAGGTCTGCTCCCAAGGAAATTTAAATCAGCATTTTCTCCAAACAAGTAGGCTTCTGGTTGAGGGGTGTCAAATCTTTCCCCGCCCATGATAAAATGGCTTCCGAAATAGTTGCCTGAGCATGATTCATGTATTTATATGAAAATTTAACAGACCATTGTTTAATAAAAACCTTCTAAAGTAAACAATAAATTTTAACAGATTTTTCAAATTATAAGTAAATATTATATAAACAAATAAATTTACTTTAATTAAACTCTTATCAAAATCTAGTATATTCTAAAAATTAAACTTATTGCTATTTAATATTGGACTTCAGTTATGATTTACATAACATGACAATGATTTAAGTTTATATCTTCACTTATTGTATTACTAGCTTTCGCCAGCGGCTTCGCCTGCATGGTCCCTAGGGAAATGTTTAGTGGGAAAAAAGTATCCTATTATCTAAGTCAGCTTATTAGCTGACTTACCTGTATGACCTATCTGTATACCAAATTTTATCAAAGTTCAGTAGGTTTGGCATAATTGACATCCAAACAAAGAAACTTTCACATTTATAATATTAATAGGATTACTACATAAATCAAACTAAGAGATAATTTTAATAAGTATTTACACATAATTTCAATAGAAATATTGGTTATTTAAAAAGATTTTGCAATTGATTTGGAATTATAAAATTAAATGTCTAATGAAAATTAGTTGCATCAAAATTAAAAACTAAGACGATAAGGGCAAAAACGACAATGAGGACATAAAATCGCTCAATGGCTCGGCAAGAGATTCACAAATAAAATAAACAATGTAGACCAACCTGATCTTGGTGGATATTTATAAGCATGATTAGAAATAACGTCTGCTTCTTCCACTCCAGCATTTTGCCTGCTAGTTAGAGCACCCATCGCTGATTAGTCAAATTCCAATACATTAGTATAAAAAAAAGGAAATCAATTAATTGGAAAATTATCACTAAAAAAGACCAAATTTTGTGATTTACTTTTCTTGACGATTCTGATTGATAATGAAAGAGTAGTCTATGTGATTACATTAATGACAATGACAGAAACATTTAAAGAGTAAATCAAAACCGTATCCATAGAGCAAGTTAATGATGCTACTCGAGTAGAATTTTGTGTCTCCATCACATGTGCCTATTTAGTACTCACTTGAGTCATTCAAGAGTTTTACAATGATTCGAGTAAAAAAAATTCAAACTTGCTACTCGATTGAAATGTCTATTAGTAATTTTACACAATAATATAAATAAATGACACATTAAAAGTGTTTTTACAAATTATTCATGTAGGTAATCTAGAAAATAAAAAAATAAGCGGCATAGATTAATAAATTAGAGTAACGAAGTGACTTCTAGAGGCAAGAGACCCAACTTGATACGCGGAGTTGCCTCGATAACTCGAGTGGATAGAGACTCAAGTCTTTTCTCTCGAGTTGAAGTTTGAAAATTTTACTTGAGTGACTCGAGAAACAACAAGACTCGGATCGCATCACTAGAGTAAGTCAGAAACTGCTCTCTCTTTCTTCAACTGCGAGGTGTCACTTTGTGAAGGTGCTGTAGATTATTTTTCTTGCAAAATCCGTTTTAATCTATTTATAGTGTTTAGTTTCTTGTTGTTATATTGTGCTGTAACTGTATATACTAGCTAATTTGTATATTTTTACAATTATTTCAGGTCACAATGGGGCGCCGGCCAGCGAGATGGTAAGTGTAAATACAACCTCAATACTTCAATTCTTTCCAATATATAAATAATAATAATCATTATATTTTTTCAGCTATCGCTATTGTAAAAATAAACCTTACCCAAAGTCACGGTTTTGCCGTGGTGTGCCTGACCCTAAGATCCGTATTTTCGACTTGGGCAAGAAGAAGGCAGCAGTAGACGACTTCCCACTTTGTGTGCACTTAGTGTCGGATGAATATGAGCAGTTGAGTTCGGAGGCTCTTGAAGCAGGCCGTATTTGCTGCAACAAATATCTCGTGAAGAACTGTGGCAAGGATCAATTCCACATCCGCATGAGATTGCATCCGTTCCATGTCATCCGCATCAACAAAATGTTATCGTGTGCTGGAGCTGACAGGTAAATAATTGATGATTTAATTGTATTACCCTACTGGGATGCATTCAAGCCATTGGATACTGTATTCTCTAAAATGGGTGATTTTAACTTCATCAAGTTCCTAATGTGGCCTTAAAATTTTGTAACAATGCCCAGCCTGCTCCATAGCCACTTTGTTAAGTCATACTTTACATTCAGGCTAACTTCACTCTCTTTTATGTGTTGCTAAATAATAATATTAGACTTTATGCTAACGTAAGTTATACGGGACCATTTGGGCACTGCACCAACTATGTTAGAATATTATTAGAACTTAGGTAAATTTCAAGTTTTCTTTTTTTATATATTGTAGTTGCAGTGTTATCATTAGGCAATTTAGAAGTACCTAATAAACCTTTAGACTAAATGTCCTGGTTTGTTTGTGGAAATTTATTACTGAAATTCAATTCAAAATTTCATATTTAATTTAGCAGTAAGTTTTCATTTGTATCTAGGGAATAGAGGGCACTTTAAATACTATTAGGCTATTAACTGTTCATAAAATAAGGTGTTGTGATGACTTGCGTATATATGCTCCTTAAATAATATTGTGAAATATTGTGTCATAGCAAATTTAATTATGCCATGCTTCTTTGTTGGGTAACAACTATCCATTACAAATATGTATAATAAATTAGTAATTGCTTTCATGGGTTTATTGATTTATTGAATAAGTCATCCATTATTGTTGTTGCTCTTAAATTCTATAGCTTATGTTTTGTGGCAGAAATATGGATCCAGCTTCACTGAGAGAGAAGGGTGGATGCACTATAAAGTTTCTGTCTGACTAGAAAGTCATAGATCCTGGGCTATCATTTCATATGCTAATATAGTTCTCATTTCAATTAAACTTAATAGTTTGACAGTTTTTCTAAATTTAAAGCATCCTTGAGAATAGTTGTCATGTTGTTATAGGACAGGAATAAAAGAGTATCTCTTAAGAAAATAAAGAATTTGTTAGCAAAAATATCAACATGAGGTACCTTTTTCAGGAGTTTGTTGATAATTAAAATGGCTTGTATTGAAAGATAATTCTGTGTGTCGCATACTGATGAAGAAAATATGGACGGCAAAGTGCAGGTATTGCACCCTCACCAATATTTACCAGCAGTTTTGGAGTTCTTAATCCTATTCTGCTTAGTGCAACTGGATTGTCGATCTTGTCATGCAACAAAAATAAAAATACATTAGAATCAAATAGAGAAGCTCGGTGGCGTAGTGGATAAGCGCCGCGGCCCGCGATCGTTGTCGTTAAGAGACTTTCACAAGGGTCGGTCACGGGATGGGTGAACAAAAATTATTATCTCGAGCTACTCCGTGCTTCGGAAGGCACGTTAAGCCGTTGGTCCCGGCTGCATTTGCAGTCGTTAATACCCTCCAATCCGCATTGGGCCAGCGTGGAGGGTCATGGCCCATCCTCCATAACCATCCATAAGGAAGGCCTGAACCCCTGCAGTGTGGACGTAAAAGGGCTGATGATTATGATGATGATAGAATCAAATGCCTATTTATGTCTCAACTCCAAAGTGTACATATCAATCATGCCTGTAATAAAAAAGGATGGCTATATATCAAATTCAATAATTATTTATTATTATTTCAGATAATTTTAACTTTTCCTTGCTTTTATGGGTGGAATTTACAGAGAGTAAAATCTAAGATAATAATGCTTTTTTCTAATCTCAACAATAATTCTTATACTTCGGTCAGTTCAACAAAATCTGAATATTATTCGCATCTTTTACAAAATAAAAATGGATTTAAAAGTTTAATATTACCCATTACTGATTTACAGCGCACAACCTAATTGGATACTCTTAACACAGCTTTAATGCAGTTAAAAGTATTGCAACTTTTATGTTTGTGAACTCTGTACCTGCTGGTTTTTATTTTTATATTTTGCGAGGATTTTCTGTAGCCAAAGTGGAAAAACCTTTTACTAAGTGTCTGCTGTCTATCCATTTCCACAGTCTCTGTCCAATTTCACCAACTTAAGAAACTAGCTTTGTACATAGGATAGGTGTTGTAATTATTGTTTTACAAGGTTATTGTTTTATAGTACGAAGGAGATAAATTATATTATGTAATTGTTGTGTGTTTAAGTTTCACAATATATTGGAATTGTTCCAGGCTCCAGACTGGGATGCGTGGCGCTTTCGGCAAGCCACAAGGCACCGTAGCACGCGTACACATTGGACAGCCCATCATGTCCGTCCGCTCCAGTGACCGCTGGAAGGCGCAGGTTATTGAAGCTCTGCGTCGTGCCAAGTTCAAGTTCCCTGGACGTCAAAAGGTATGCAGCAATAGAAAAACTAGTAATAATCCTTAGCCTATTGTATCCTGATTGCTAGTAGTTTAATAGTGGGAGCATGGAGGCTTGATTAACTACTAGATGACTAATACATTTTTATTAGTCATCATATGACAGTCCTCTGTGCAAGCTGTTCAAACTCTATATGGCAGACTTCATAACTAGTGTCAATGCAAACCTTATTTAACTATTATAATAATAATAAAAATTATTGCACTCAAAATGTTACATTGTTCAAAGGAGATTCACACACACACACACACACACACCAGCCCTTTTACATCCCCACTGCAGGGGCTCAGGCCTTCCTTATGGATGGTTAAGGAGGATGGGCCATGACCCTCCACGCTGGCCCAATGCGGATTGGAGGGTATTAACGACTGTTAATGCAGCCGGGACCAACGGCTTAACGTACCTTCCGAAGCACGGAGTAGCTCGAGATAATAATTTTTTGGTCACCCATCCCATGACCGACCCTTGCGAAAGTTGCTTAACGACTACGATCGCGGGCCGCGGCGCTTATCCACTACGCCACCTAGCTACTAATAATAGTTAAAAGGAGATTATAGTAAACAAATTGGTGGCCTTATTGCTAAACATCAATTTCTTCCAAGCAATCTAATGGTAACTTCAGTTTGGTGTTTTATGGCTGATTTACACGCATTAAGTTGATGAGTAGTCAACTTAATTTTGAATGAATTTTATGATGGCTGGTTAACATCATGTATTTAGTTGATATTAGCCATTTAAGTTTGTTTTAAATTATTCCAGATCTATGTGTCCAAAAAATGGGGTTTCACTAAGTATGACCGTGATGAATTTGAGAAGTTGCGTGATGATGGCCGCCTCGCCAACGACGGCTGCAACGTCAAATACCGCCCCGAGCACGGGCCCCTGGATGCCTGGAGGAAGGTCCAGGTCGAAATACACAACATATAATATGAATTGAACAATATACTGTGAAATTCTACAATCTTTTTTATTTTATCCCCAAAATTTTATACCATATTTCGTAGTAACTTTAGATAGTATACAATTTATTATCACAAAGACATGCATATCTATTCTATATCACAGGATAATACCCGAGTAAAAAAAAGAAATAAAAGTAATATGTAGGTAGATTGATTAATAGGACAAAATAATATAAAGAGGAATTTGATTGTTTGCATTGAAATTGTACCATATGGTTTTATCGCTGACGGTAACATGTGTGGTCCGCGATTTCTAGGGGAGTCTGCGGAGTCTTGGCCCGGAACGAATACGCCGTCGGAATTGCAAGTCAATAGTTACCGTTATACTTTTCAAATAGTATACATTATTTTATTTATTTAAAGATAGTTTTATAACAAAATTTACACCAATGCCTACCAAATACTGTAACTTTGTGGTATTTGCTTATAACTTTTCTATGAAGGATTGCAGAAATTCTATAAGGCACTCTAGGGCTTAAAAATTCCCATATTCTAGCAACGCGTTTCCGGTGTCATCGCCTTCACCAGCCTTTTGATATTCCCACTGCTGGGGTCAAAGTCAAAATAATCTTCATTCAAATAGACTTCTTAAAAGTACTTTTGAATCGTCCAACATTTTTTCCCTACCACTCGTTCAGGACGTCTTTTGGCTGATAAGAAGAACGAGTAAGAAACTCACCAGCTCTAATAGGAGTAATGACATTTAGAAAAACCATGTCATTAGCAGATCCATACATTATAAACAGAGAGAGAAAAAAAAACTTTGGTCTTATAATGATAACATAATCATTTAATAATAATGGAAACAAGATAATGAGTTTAAAAGTAATCACCTATCCAGTTGCTGGATCATATCAAGTCCAAGCGTTCTTATCGGTTATATAATCGGATACCTTATAATAAGCTTTTTTAATAGTAGATTTTTGAATTTGCATCGTCTCTAATTGTTGTATTTTGCTTGGGACCTTATTGTAGAAGCGCACACAAAGACCCTTCAATGAGTTATTAACTTTTTGCAGTCTAGTGACAGGCACCGTTAATTTATTTTTATTTCTTGTATTAAAATTATGTACATCACTTTTTATAGAAAACAAACTAATTTTTACGAACGTACATTAAGTTCTCGTATATGTATTGAGAAGCAACAGTCATATTGTCTATTTCCTTAAATTTGTCCCTTAAAGAGTCCCTAATCTTAAGATTATAAATTGATCGAATTGCTTTTTTCTGAAGCACAAAAATTGTTTGTATGTCGGCAGCATTTCCCCACAATAGGATTCCGTACGACATTACACTATGAAAATAACTGAAGTATACTAATCTGGCAGTATCTCTCAGTACTTCGGGGCTTGGACCTTCCCTATGGATAGAATCGAATCTGGAGAATGAGCCATTACCTACCGGCCCGGTGAGCTTTGATGCAGCCGAGACCAACGGCTTAACGTGCTTTCTGAAGCACGGAGGCGTTCGAGAAAAAGTTTTGGTCACCCATCCTAAAACCAACAATTGCGAAAGTTATTTAACAACTGTATCGCAGACCGATCACGTTAGCCGCTGGGCCATCGTGCTCTTTGTTTCTGGTTCAATTTTATAAATTTATATTAATGTCAGTCTTGAAACGTCCTTTTAAAGTATAGTATGCTATGCACTTTGCATTTCTAAAGTTTATTACAATTAAATTAAAACATACAATATAATTATAGAATTAAAATATTATATTCTGTATTTACAAATTTCATTTGAAGCTTATCCAAAATACGAGTTAATAGATTTACAAGGTACTTTATTAGGTTTTTTGACTGGTGAAACAGTGACACGTTTTCTCTTTCCAATGCTGTATGAAGGGAATGCAGCGACTGTTTTCTTATTGAGTTCCCTGTTTAATTTCTGGGCTTCATGAAAGTCAAGATGTTCTGCCAATTTTCCATTTGGCACTCTTTTACCACATTCTGTGCATGTTTTTGTCGGAACAGTGTTATCAATTTTTACCAGGAAACTGGCTATTGATCCTTCGCTTTTTCCAGGTAAAACTTCAGGTGCAAGTATTCTCTTTTTCGTTTCCTCATTTTTTTTAATAGATTTTATAGTTTTTTTTCCTTTGCGTGCTTGCAATCTTTCTTCATCTCTTAGTTTGATTGCAAGGTGATAATCCGCATGAGTGTCTAGTTCATCCATTTTTACAGCTTTTTTACATTCTGGACACTGAAATGTATCTATATTACTCTCACAAACAGGATTAGATTCAGATGAACATACTTCTTTCAAATTGGAGACATTATTCATAGATTCTAATGAATTCTTATGATCTACATTTGAACTCCCTATAGATTTATCATTGTCTTCAGATGATTTTTCTGATATAGTTTCATTTTCATCTTGAATTATAGTAGAATTAAGTAACTGTCTCATATTACTGATTCTATTTAAATCTTCAGGATCATCCTCAAATAGAGCAATGCTTTTATTGATCTCTTCATTTATAGTAGATGTTGAATATGCTGTATCATTGCTATTTTCGCCACAGTCTAAGACATCACAAACTGCTGTAGAAGGATTGATTATCTCTTGTTTTTTATCGGGTGCACTTACAGGAAATGGTTTCACAATGTTTTCATTAAGTTTTTTATTGTTAGTACTATTCAGCAACTTAGCAAAAAAGGATTCTTGCTTTTCTAGACTAGTTTCAACAATTGCTTCGTTTGTTCCATCTATAAGTAGAGTTTTCTTAAGATTTTCTTGTTTGTTTAAAGTGTTTTTGAAAAATTTCTGAAGAACATATTCTTTACCCTCTTTATGCTGATTATTGTTAACGACATGAGACACTCTATCATCAGAGCTTTCAGTATCCTTCACCTTTAATGATGTTCCAGCAGCAAAATAGTCTACTATTTTTTTAGTTCTCTTACTGTCTGTATTATCCTCAAATTTCCCAACACTGATGCCCAAAAATTTAATAGGTGCTTTCAATTGTCTATTTTTTTCATCACCTATAAGAAAATATCATTAACAATAAACATTTGTGAGCATAACTATTGATAATACCGAAAAAAAAAATATCTGATTTAGCTATACCTTGTAGTTTTACCCCCTCAGCAGTTTCCATGACTAACTCCAAGGCTTTACTTGAGAATAGATCACTACATAGATCATCATCATTAGCAAAATTATAGGACCTAGAACTACTGATATCTCTTCCGTCTGCACTATTTGTAGAAAAGCTGACTACCATTTGTTTTGGTGTCCTGTTATTTTCTACTGCATCTTTTTCTAGTCGATCTTCTATTTCTTGTCCTAAGTCAATAAGCCATTTTTTCAAACTATCTAGGTCAGTAAGGGCACTTTTTCCCCTTAATTGTTTACAACATCCTATACTTTTTGGGTTAAATCTTGCCTGCACTGGTTCTAAGTCAATTCCTCGGGCTATGTTATAAAGCCAAGTTCTGAAAGTGAGATTATTCAAATTAGATATTATCTTTATTGTGTAGGTGAATGGATAACTGTTAATGAATTCATTATGTATTACCCATTCTTTTCATCAAATCTTACTTGCAGTTCTTTTTGTGTGAAATCTTGTAATTGAATCATATTTCTGATCTTTAGTGTATCACATACTGTGTCTCCAAACTTGCCTCCCAGATGCTTTACTTTTTTTATTGATAATGTACTGAAACAATAATTAATTATATTTAATATCTATTATAAAGAAAAAATAATAAAAATATCACCCATTATAAGTAAACTTACCTATATAAAATATTAATGGAGTGTTTAGGTAATATTGTCTGTTTGTCAGGTTTGTTCATACCACACACTAATTTAGCCAAGATTTTATTATGGGCAATGCCAGCAGAACACTTGTAACCTGTAAAAAATTATTAATATATAATATAGTAGATCATTTTATAACTATTAATTCAGAGAAAAACAAGCCAATACCTGTCTCTTCATAAACTGCAGCTCTTATCTCACTGACAATAACTGCTCCTACTAGTAGTTGCTTAGCATGTTCATAGTCAAATTCAATGGAGTCACTGCCATAGTTGTGGACATCAATAATGAATTCACCAATACTCTCATATCCAAGAGCAAATGTGTCAGGTACCATGTTTTTATTCACAGAATTCACATTTAACAATTTTAGCCTTTCCCGAACCTTTGAGGTAAAAAACAGTCCATTAGAGATGGATTAACAATACCTATACCTACTTATATAATAAACAGTCAAATAAAAGAACCTGAGTAAACATTATTGGCTGATTTACTAATAATTAACATTGTGTATTGTGGGGATGCAGCTCCTCAAGGATTTTGTAATTTGACAGACTAGAACTTTAATTTGCTATATATAATATGGGTACTCCCAGGGCAATAAGAATGAAAAAAAAAACATTTCTAATACACACTGGCTCTGTGATATCCATATATGCTTCATCAATTGAAGCTCTCTCCAAGAGAGGTGTGAATCTTTGTAGAACTTTAGCAACTTCTTTACCAGCATCTCTGTACCTAGAATTTAGTAAATGAAGATTAAGTCAGACTTAAACTATTGATTAGAATAGTATGTGAATAATAATATTCTGTAATACTTGGTTATGTCTGCTTTTCCTCTAAGACATGGTACTGAGGGCAATATTATGTCTGGACATTTCTCCTTGGCTTCATCTCCTCTCATGTGTCGAGATACTCCCATCGCTCTTGCTACATAATTAACTGCGATTATCCTGGTATAGAAAATTTGTGATGCAGAGAGTTATTGTAGCATAAAGTCCTGGTTGCTAATAATTGGCCATTCAGTACAATATTAAATATTAAGCCTTTATTAGAGGAAAATAAAATATCGCATTTTGAGCATAAACACCTCTTATAACAATAGCAGATTGACTCACCCTCCACCCTTCCAAGGGTTGTATTGCACCACTGCTAAAGGCTTTCCTTTTAGTTCAGGGTTTAACTTTTCTTCAACTTGACAATAGAAACAGTCCATGTCGATAAGTACAACTACACGATTATCATTATCCATTATTATAAAAATCGATGAGATCTTTTTAAAATAAATATGTATTCTTCTTTCAGTACATTCTACAAACTTTTTCACTGCAGTCGAAGTCGGGTCAGGTCACTATATCAAGCCACTTTTGACGTCTATTAACAACAACAATAGTAATTTCGTCCATGGCACAGGCGAAGGAACTAAGCCATACAGCCAGTGACGTCTATCAATCTGAAATCGATATTGAGATCTTCTGCTAAAAAAAATCGATTAATATAATCGTATGCATTAATTGCGTAAACATAATATAAATTATCATAGGTATAGTCAAATATATTACGTTACGCATCAAGGGTTGAAAAATATTTTGTAAGTTTTTTTTAATTATTATAATATTTTAGTGATAAAATCACCAATGACATTGTAACAATGAGGAATGAATGTAACGTTGTAAAAATATAAATTAGTTCTTGAAAGCAAACTAGATGTCACTAGCGATTTTCGGATAATTATCTATGATATTCATTCAAGTTTTCTTTCTGGCATAATTAAATTAAATTGAGTATCAATATAAACATCTTAATCAATTCAGTCTAGGACTGCTACATAGTATTTGCGGAAGTCGAAAGATATGCCTGAGAAGAACCGGCAAGAAACTAAGCAATGGCTGCTTTTTTCTCCCTGTTTTATTATACAGAGAAGAATGTGGCTCAATTAAACTATGAAGTCACTTTCCATTACAATATCAGAAATAACATGACAGATTTTTTTCGATTACTGATTTATATGGCAGTTGCCGAGTCATACATACTCACTGACAAATCAATAAACAATATTCATAATAAAAGAAAATGGACAAAATTAAGTAGTCCAGTACAGACTCAACCCCGCTGGTAGCACCCGTTGACGAGTTTGACGCATGAGCTAGTCATCGCCTTGCTCAACTATATTTTAGGGAACGTAACGACTTGATGCACAGGACACCACTGCCGAGATTTTTAATTACTACGTTATTATAACGTATAAAGTTATAATCTTGCTTTTCATTTCTTGTTGATTTTTTAATTTTTTTTAAGATAATTTAATTATTTATACAACGACATAAGTCGGCTTCTTTCAAAGGGGCTTTTCGCTATGCTGCTTCCAAAATATGGAACAATGTCCCGCTAAGACGTTCGACTTCATACCACTAAGTTTTATGAACGTACGTTGGCTTCAAAATAAATTGAAAAAATATCTTTTGGATGCACAAATAGCTATATGTAAGATATAAATAATGCAGATAGCTCATATATATAGCGGCTTCTTGTAAAGGATAGATATTAATTTCCAAAAGTTAATTTTAAATTCTTATTTTTATTCAATATATATGTGCATATTGTTAATATTTATGGTGAATGTAATGGATGATTTATTTTAAAATATAAATAAATTACCATACACTTATATAATAATAATTTAACTAGTAACTATTTTTAAATGATTTTTTTATTTGTAATGTTTTATTTCTTTTTGCTCTCTTTCTTTGATTCTGTGTGTTTAATGAGAGGTTTATTGTAACAGGTTTTCATGTTGACATCTATGTGTCAAAAAGAGACAATTAGACGTCAATTGAAAATCTTTTGAATGGCTTATCTGCGCATTTCGCACAATTCTGCCAATGTCAAGTGGATAAATAAATTTCTACATGTAAAATGAAAATGAAATGAATGAAAGAATGAAAAGAGCTGAATTTTTTTAATGTATATATTGTAATAAATTTATTGTAATTGATGATTATTATAAAATGTTTAATGTCTAAATAGACGCACAAACAAATGTTTGTGCACCGGAATAAATACATTTCTTTTTTTTACTTTTAATGAATATAAGATTTAATTACTGATCTTAACTTAATAAAAGTTTTTCTTAATTTCGAAAGGACGACTTAGTTTTCTTTCACATATAAAAATAAAAGTTTTCAAAACTCGATAATCAACTTATATTCTATTTATACTTTGCCGTATTTGCATCGATATCCAAGTTTCGAAATCTTCAAATTTTAGTTTTTAATATGTAAGTTAAAGGAACAAAAATGACTATCTTTGATCCATTCGTTTCCTGCAAAAATCAACTTTTGCTAGAGTCGCCATCTAGTGTAGGTGCTTTTTAGTGTTTTCCTTTTTTTAATACTTCCTCATTGGCATAAAAGCTCGCCAAGAGTATATGTTTCTTGCATATAATAAATTATAGGTCGCCGATTTCCAACGACTTCACCAGCATAAGTTATAATAACATATAGGTTACTAATAATTTTAAAATTATATCCTTTCTTTTCTTTATAATTATCCTTTATTTAAAATTATAACAAAATAGTAAATAGATTTATTATACAGTAAATAAGCACTGTACTGCATCGATAATTAGTTGTTCCCACTTGTCCTTAGATACTATATATTTGCAAGACATATGTATGTAACTTATTAAATAATAAGAAATTAAAACAATTTAAAATAAGAGAAACATTGATTTGTAGACAATTTATTAAAACCCTTGTCCATAAGTATTATTCCACTTAATGTATTGTCCTAAATCATCCTGTGATACACTAGGTTTTACTCTTTGCAGTGCGTTTTTAAAGTCTTCAACATTCACTGGTCGCACCTGAAAATACAAGAAAATGGGATTGTACATTCACACATATCTTATAATAAGTTATTTAAAAGTTATTATATTATCAGGGGTACAGACAGAGAGTTTGAATTTTGTACTAGGGAAGTATACCCAACTGAAAATTGAAATTGAACAAGATCAATACACCTTACAGAGGATGCCTTTTTAATTTTCATTTTAATATTTTAGAAATCCTTTGGCACTGTATTTATTTTCTTTGAGTAGGGGGAGGGGGGGGGGGTTTGATAAGTTAGTGAAGGGGTTCGCTGTAATCTGGAATTTTTACGGGGGATTTGAGATGCATTTACCATTGCTGGCAATGAGTATTATGAGTACCAGCCATCTGACTGTATCCTTATACCTGTCCACTGTCGATGGACACTATCTGTGAGAGCGGCACGGCGCGCACGGGCCCCATGGCTGCCTCCGAGCAGAGCGCGCGCATGTCCGCGCCCGAGTACCCCTCACTCAACACTGACAACTCCTCTATGTGCGCGGGGATTAACGAATGTCTCTCCGTCTTCAATAGGTTCGATATTATCTGTTTACGAGCCTGTAAAATGTAAATAAAAACCAGTTTAGTACGAAGTGTACTGCACCGGTAACGAGTAAAAAAAAAACACGATTTTTAGATTCCTCCAGGTGATAAAATGACATTGGGGGATAAAATCACTCTACCCTCAAAACAAAAAAAAATGACAAATAAATATAACCTAACGTGTTGTGTAATGTACATAATATGAATTGTACAATATAATATAATGCCATTTTTGTCAACTATTAGTAAACTAAAATAACTATTAGTAAACTTCCATAAAAAGTTATATTCATTTAAAATTATATTTAATAGAATTATTGATTAAAAAAAAATGATTTATTCAGTCTAGGCTGTTACAAGCACTTGTGAAAGTCGAGAGCTACGCCATCGGTTCGTAAATCTACGGCGGGAGACCTTGTACCGAGAAGAACCGGCAAGAAACATATATTTAAGTATACTCACCTCAGTATCGGGCAGGGGTATGTAAAGTCGTTTGACGAGACGCCTTCTCGCCGCCTCATCTAACTCCTGGGGACGGTTGGTCGCACCTACTATCAACAGTCGATCCTCTTCCCCTGAAAATAACGAACATTTGATATAGGTTATAACAAAATAAAATTGTACTAGTTAAATATTTAACATTTAGTGGAGGTTACCTGTACCCGCTCCATCAAACTGCACCAAAAACTCAGTTTTAATTCTTCTAGTGGCTTCATGTTCAGTATCGTTCCTCTGTGTGAGCAAAGAATCTATTTCATCTATAAATACCACCTGAAATTATAAGATTTATGATATATTTTCAGAGAATACATTTATTGTCTTGGATCTGTGTTGCGTGATACCATTATTATTTCCGATTTCCACAATACAAGTGTTTTAGCAACTTAATTTGGGATAACAAAATATATATAAAAAAATATTCAAAAAGTATCATTCATATACTAAGTTAAAATCTAAAACTAAATTTAATTATTCTCAATAGTTTTATCAAAACTGCTATCAATTAACCATTAAAACAAACTAAAATCAGAACTGAAAACCTGTTTAAGTAACGTTTAAACTGTACTTAGTACTGTTTGAGGCGTTCTTAATTTCAAATTTTCAATTCAGAAACCGGGTGAAAACTTCTTATTTATGTTACAATAAAAGGGCGCTTGTGCACTACACTGAATTTTCATGTCCGGCGGTCCGATTTTTTCAGGTCCGATATGTCAGGCCATATGTAGGTAATGCGCGCTTGTGCACTGTCAGGAATTTTACCGTCCGGAATTTTACTTTTCTCTATTCCGGACCGGTTTTTTCAGGTCCGTGATGGCGGCAATGAAAAACGTGTTTACGCTTGTGCACTGCTGTGTCCGAGATCCGGAAAATTCATAAGAAATAGGCTTGGGAAAAAATAATCGATTTGAATCGATATTTATTTCGGCAATATTGTTAATTTCCAATAAACTTATAATCGATATTTATTGTTGATTATAAAATGCTATATTTTATATGATGATTTAATACAGTTGGTATATATCACTGCATATGCTTTGGAAAACTTGGTATGGTTCTAATTTGATCAGCATATGGTTCTAGTATCGATACTTAGCTAGATTTTAGAATTGTATTAAAAGTATCGATAGTTTAAGTAAGATAAATAAGTGTTGTTACGTTTAGACAACTGAACCCATCTAAATGGAAATTAATATAGTAAATAGACTTAACTTTAAGAAAGTACATAGGCTACATTTTATTGCGAAAAATAGGGGATGAAAGTTAGCCTGGAAATGTGTCATTGTCAATTTTTTTTGTAAACAATTAATAAGTATTGATAAATATTTGACAACAGAATTAATAATAAAGAATAAACAGAAGATTATTAAAAGTAATTAAGTGAAACTCAATGTCTTTTTCGCTTTTAATAAAATTTTAAATGTATTTTAGTGTCATTAATAAATTTAAAAAAAAAGTATTCTAAGGGAATAATATTTCTGCTCAAAGAAACTACACCACGCGTATAAAATTATGCCTATATATAATACATACAGTCAACTGATCTCGTAAAGTTCATTAAGCATAATAATTCTCCGCTAACATGGCACAAATTTCGATTTGTTTACGAAATGGCGCCACCGATTGGTCTATCTCTGTAATCGCTGAAAGTTGTTTTTACAAAACTTCGAAAAAAAAAATAGCACATTTAAAAATTTAAACAGCAAGTACTAGACAATTATCAGTAATTTTATTCTAATGTCAGATATTTTTAGCTATTGTATGTGAATAATGCTGTTCCTAAATTAGTAAGGGTATAAGTTTTTACATCTGATAGTAGTCATCCGATAGTAGTAAAAAAAAAAATTCGTCTTGCCATAATTTATTATGGTTTATGTAAAACGATCAGACCATTATTTAGGTACCTTTCTACGTCTTCGAACGGAATTACCAACGTTCCAAAAATCTCATCGTACCTAGCGTAAGTGACGTGTAGCTTCAAAGAGAGCTGCCCTACACTGGGCCGCTCCGATCAGGAAAAAAACGGACAAGTGCACAAGCTACTCATCCGAGTTTTTCATGTCATTCCGGACCGGAAAAAATCGGACCGCCGGACATGAAAATTCAGTGTAGTGCACAAGCGCCCTAAGTCAAGGAAATTCTTTGAAGAATGGGTTTAATAATGAATTTAATAAAGCAATATACGAGTAGCTTAAAATTACAGTTACTATAAAAATATATATATATAAAAAAAAGAAATAAAAGATAAAAAAAAAAATATTTTTACATATTTTAATATTGATAATAAATTAAGGGTAAATTATGGTACAGAAACAACAAGGCTCTTTCCAACAAGAGTCTGTTAGGTTTTTGATCAACTACAAAATCGAAAATGTTCACCGATTTTTCCGAATTCTTAACCGATTTAAATTTCATCGAACACAAAACAAAATATGCTTTACATCAGATAACATCCAAATACATCGATGATATGTTTATATCAGCGAAAACAAAAGATTGCGTATTTTGCATTCTTTCAAAATCCGAAAGAAAGATTTTCTATGTTCAACGGGCTTGTATATTTTTAATGTAAGTAGGTATATTCATCGATTTCTTCTGTAATTTTGAACCAATTTCTATCGAACTACCTGTTACCTCGCGACTTTGCCTGCGTAAATTATGTCCCACGAGCATTATTATGTAGCATCCCGTAGGTGAAAGAATTATATAATCGGTCCAAAGTTTTGGAGCCTATCTATGTACCTATATAGCCTTTATAATATACGAGTATAGATTATTGAAAAAAACAATGTCGAGTAAATAAACAAAATCTCCTTTCTTAAGACTTTCACTTTGTTGAGATATTTTATGGAGATATTTCATATTTTTATTTTTCAAAAAATAGAACCGACTTCAAAAGTCGAGGGCCTATCATCTAAATAATAACCTGGAGTGAACCTCCACCCGACTTCAATGGCAGTCTCTTGAATAAGTTGCTTTTAAGTATTATTTAAAATTTTACACTCCATATAGGTTATGCTTCCGAAATCAGTGTTCGACATATTACAAGGAGCACTTAGCACAAGGAGCACTCTGGCTAAATAAAAATACTGAAATGGTAAACCGTAAAATTGGGCCGAATATCAGCTTCGGTAAAAATTAATCTGAATAATATTCGGTAATCGACGAAACCACTATTCGGCGCATCCCTAACAGTAATATATAGTAAGCAAAGATGGACGTTTAAGCGAAAAGCACTTAATTAAGCAGGTTTTTCTAAATAAGTGCAAAAGTGCTTTTCCACTTAGAAAAAAAGTATGCTAATGCTTATTGTACGTCCCGCCATCTATCAAGATATAACTACTAGCTTCAATAATTTTTTCCGTTTCGGCATTATTCTATTAAGAGTGCAGCACTCTACAGAAAGCGACTGTATTATATTATAACGCGTGATATCCATCTAGATTTTTTGCAACAACTGTCTTGGTTGGTTGATCCAAAAGCTTTTTTAAACGGAACTAAAAAAAAAGCAGTATGCTTTTCGTTGTCGAAGTAAGTGCACGTTGTGTTGAATGTTAATTGCGTAAGTTGAATAGTATGCGTAAATTAATTGCTTTTTAAATAATGATTTTCCTTTATTCCTAAATAAACAATGTTAATAAGTTGTTTATGAGGTGATGGTGTGTATATAAAACATTCTAAATATTATTGAACTGAATTAGTTTTAAGATTGTGTTAATAAAATGGCGAGAAACGGTAATAGTATTGTGGTCTTGTATAAAACATAAAAACCTTCCTTTTGAATCACCATATCTATGAAAAAAAACCGCATCAAAATCCGTTGCGTAGTTTTATAGATTAAAGCATACTTAGGGATATAGGGACAGAGAAAGCGACTTTGCTTTATACAATGTAGTGATAACGTTGCACGCGTATTATAACGATTTCCAAACGTCAGTTGAAAAAAAAGCGTTTAAGCAATAAGCAGTTTTTTAAAACGCTTAAAACTATTAACCAGTTATTTCCACCTCGAATAGTAAGAACTTACAGCTGGTTGGCGACACCGCGCGACCGCGAACAGTGCGCGGACCATTTTCTCTCCATCTCCGATCCATTTAGACGTCAACGATGACGCTGAGATACTGAAGAAAGTAGCGTGGCATTGCGCCGCTATGCACTTACCTAAAACAGTATCCAACAAATGTTCTTTTAATACAATAATACAGTAGAAGCTCCTTATTCACGAAATGAAATGAAATGAAATGAAAATATCTTTATTCAAGTAGGCTATTACAAGCACTTTTGAATCGTCCAAAAAACTTTTTTCCCCTACTACTTGTTCAGGACGTCTTTTAGCTGACAAGAAGAACAAGCGAAAGAAACTTACCAGCTTTTTATATGAAATGACATTTACATAAATCATGTCATTACCAAAATAATATGTATTATCACAATAATAAATACAACTTTCAAAGTCTGTAGGACATAGGTTGAACATATAATTAGTCTTTATAGAACAAAGCGAAGGCTATCAACTCCATGCATTGCGATCTTTAAAATAATCATCAACTTTATAATAGCCTTTACTCATAAGTATATTCTTTACATGAATTTGAAATTTATTTATGGGTAGGTCAATTACATTTTGTGGAACTTTATTGAACAAACACGGTTTCATTATTCGCGTGTGGAATATAAGTAACCGAATTTCTGTACTAGCGGCCAAAATCTGCGTATTCGCGGATGCAATCAATAACATAAAGGAATTCAGCGTCGTTTATTGACGTATCGTCATCTTTTAAATACTTTGGGCATGTCTCAGGGTGGTTTTTACAACGCTTTATAATTTTTGATTCGTTGTAGCATTCATAACGTACTAAAAAAAAAGCTATATTATGAACGCTAAATTAAAGATCTTTAAAAACTGGAAAAAAGATTGTTAATAAGTTTTTTAAAAACCCTTATTTGTAGCTGACAATAAAGATTGATTTTATTTGATAGTTCTTCAATAATCCTACCTCAATTGTACGAGAATTTACTTTGACATACATATCGCTTTTATTTAGAAACTTTTGAATGTATCCCCTATTAGTCTGTACTAAATGTCAACATGTATTCCTTTCCTGTATTCGCGGCATATTTAAGGAACGTATCCTCCGCGAATAAGGAGCTTCTACTGTATATGTCTTAAATCACATTTGAGCAAGTTGGTTTAGTACGAATTATATGACGATACATGAGATTTAATAATTATTATTTTTATTGCACAAAATACAGACAGGAAAACAACACTAAATTATACGGTATACAAAATACACGAAAAGGCGGCCTTATAGCTAAACAGCAATCTATACCAGGCAACCTATGGAGGAGAATAATAAGAGGAATGGAAAAATATAGGGCATTGGGTGCAAAAGTCAGAAGGATATGATAAGATATATCTTTATATATTAAATAAAAAAAAGAAAGGAAATAGCTTACAACAATCGATTTTTTCTCTCAATGCTCACATAATACTTTGTGTCTTTGTCTTTTTCACCTGCCCCTAAAAATATGCTAAGTACATAACGGTATTTTTTAAACAGTAATTAATTTTCTCATACATTTATACATAGAATTTTAACACAAGATAAATAACACTCTGTTCAAACCAGAGTTCTACACTATTATTTTTAATCAAATTCAAAAAGGAGGAAGTTTGAAATTCAACCATTATTTTATGACAAATGACGATGTTCACATATTTTTAACATTCATAAATGTGAACTAGTTATTATTATATTTAAAAACATTTCCATCTTAGCACTGGCAATAGTTACTGCAAATTTTAATAAGTATTTTCTGTAACTAACCAATCAATGTTTTTCCAGTTCCTGGTGGTCCAAATAGTAAAATGCCTTTGGGTGGTCTTCTTAATCCAGTAAATATATCAGGTCTGAGCAGTGGCCACACAACTGCTTCTTGAATTACTGTCTTGGCCATATGTAAACCAGCTATATCATCCCAGCCTATAGAAGGAAGTTTTAAAACATTTACAGTGTATTTTATTAAAGATTATTTTTTTGTAAACAGTGATAGACTGGAATTAGATGGTACCTATTTGTGTTCCTTTATCTATGATTTCACTTTCAATCAATTCAATCATTTTGGGGTCTAAGTGTTTGAGCCTGTCATCAACTGCTACAGGGTCACAGTGTTCTTGTTTTTCTCTGAAAATCATATTTTAATCAAGGCAAGGTTATTTTGACTATTTGTTTGAAAGTATATTTAATAATGCTTCTAGATCCATCTCTTCCACACAGTATATTACTTACATAATTGTTCTGAATGGCAAACTACCTGACCCTGTTAATTTTCACACCAACAAAATGGTAGCAACCCTGTTGTCGAAACTAGACTATCATGTTAAGTGTTTTCAACTGTAAAAATAACTAGGATAATAGAAGTATTAAATATAAACAAATCAGAAAGGTAGATTTTTAACTTAAGAGGGTGGTACAGCAGATTTGGCATCAATATATTTCAGGTTAAATCTTCTATTTCTCCATTGTACATGTGGTGTTTTAGCATTTCTAATAAGCTTAAATCTTGAATGCCCTTTATATATATGACAAAACACATATCACCACAGTCAAAGTCTTTACAGGAATATTTAATATACAAACAGAATTTTAAAAAAAACTTGGTTGAAACTTACTGAGCACTAATCATCGGTGAAACAAATTTTGCTTGTGCCTTTTTAGAAGTGCCCAAAGTTCTTTTAGCTGCTGGATTAGATGCAAGGAATTGTTCCTTGGCAGTTTTAAATGTAATTTTGGCAACATTACTTTTGTGAGCTTTCATTTCTTCTTCTTCTTTTTCAAAATCTACATTCTGACTTATGGGAGTATATTTAGAAGCAGAATATTGGTTTACCCTTGTCAGCTTAGGACGTCCAAATTTTGGTTTGAAAATCTGTCTCTCTTCAGTGGCTTTATTTTCACCATCACTATCTGCAGAGTTCAAATTTTCAAGGTAGCTAGGAGGCTTTTTATTTACAAGTATATTATTTTGATTTTGGTAACTCGGAGCAATGATATTTAAATTGCAAGCACATTTATCAGTCAAAACTTGATCTAAGCCCAAACTTTCTTGTGAAACTTTTGAGCAATGGGTACATTCTGGTAGAGATTTTTCAAACAGCGCTACGGGAGCTAAGCTTTTACTGAAACAGTAACAATGAAAATTGTAACATATATAATAGACACTATGATTTGGCTTTACATATGATCACAAAAATTCATATAATCAATATTTGGTTATCTTTATCATCATGAACTAAGTTAAAAAAGCTTCTTTATTTTATGATTTGTCTTATGCCTCTGCATAAGACAAATTTGGAGTCATCATTGTTTCAAAATATTATTGATGATGCTTTATATTTAGTTAGAATAGTCTGATAAAAATATTAATGTAAATAGGTACCTTAGATTACTTTTCCAAAATCTACTATTGTCTTTTGATGTCGAAATGTGAATATGTTTTAAAATTTCATCAGACTTCTCATTTAGAAGTGTTTTATTGGATTCCCAAACACGATTTAACTGTATCCGGGACGATATATTAGAAAAACTGAAACACAAACTAAATCATTCACACTCCCGAAGTACTGAATTATATGAACTGATTGATTTGTAGTTTACCCGTGAGTAGACAATTTATACAAATGCAGATCAACATTGTTTAAAATAGATTTACTATCAACACACGGATCTTGGAATAAAAAAGTTTCATTTTCCTTCATTATTTAAATTCGTAATTTATGTTATATTGCATCAGCGAAAGGAAAATAACCGCCTTTTTAAAACTTTGTTTACACTTCTTTAGTCTATGCGTAGTTTGTGGTCTATGCCAAAAACTTGACACATGTCAGTAGTCCTTTTAAGTCATTATAATATTACTCTTTGCTTTAGTGATTCTTGAAATCATCGCCATCTTTCATTCATTTCATTTTCATTTTACATGTAAAAATTAATTTATTTACTTGACATTGGCAGAATTGTGCGAAATGCGCAGATAAGCCATTAATTAAAAAAGAAGAAGAAGTTGAGTAGTGGTCATGTCATGATAATGGTAGTAGTAATGAAGAAGTATTTTAAAAAAAACGAAGGCACTAAAAAGCACTTCCACTAGATGGCGACCCTAGCAATAGATGATTTTTGCAGGAAACGAATGGACCAAAGACAGTCATTTCAGTTTCATTTTAACTAACATATTAAAAAACTGAGAAAAGTTCGAAACTTATTTATCAATACAAATACGAAAAACTCTAAATAGAATATGAGCCGTTTATTAAGTTTTGAAAACTAATTTACTTTAAAACCGGAAAGAAAATATGAAAGGTTGTCATGGAGAAATCAAGAACGTACCGTAGCGACATTGTGGACGGCGGACGTCAAGCCATATGTTAAGTTAATTATGTAATAAATACGGTGGTATGTGCTTTTTGGTTTTTACAATAATATTGTTAATGATTGATTGAATTCTTAGACCTACTCTAGAAATCAGTTTTATTGAAATATATTATTTACTAAGTACCTAGAGTAGTCATGCTCTCCTAAAATCTCTGCGGTGGTGTCGTGTTCGTTAGGTCGTACGTTCCCTCAAATATAGTATAATTGAGTTGTATTGTTGAAATTAAAAAAGCAGCACTTGTTGAGTTTCTTGCCGATTCTTGTCAGTACAAGATCTCCCGCCTTAGTTTTGCGAACCATTGGCAGTTTCCGACTTTGACAAGTACAATGTAACAGCCTAGACTGAATTGATTTTGATATTTATATTAATATCATTCGTTTAGTGGATGCATAATGAATACACCAACAAATACAAGCTGAATTCTGCGCTCCGCTTTTTGTTTTTCATTCCAAACCTGAATTCCGATGAAAGTTCTTCTTGTTCTTTTATTTTAATGACTATTTTGTGTTAACCACAATCCTGCTAATTTTACGTAGGAGACCGGATGAAAGTTACGAGCAACCAATAAGTTGGCTCATCACTAATGTTGACGTATCGATTAAACATCGTTCCTTTACACGTAACATAATAAACAACTTAAACTTACGATTAAAGTAAATTAAAATTAATTTGAAAGTGAGATATTATAAGAAACACAAAACGATGTTATATTTATTAATTTTCGATACTCAATTTACTTTAATTATGTCAGAAACAAAATTTGAATGAATATCATAAACAAAATCCAAACATCGCGAGTGACATCTAGTATGATTTCAAGAACTATTTTTCATTTTTTAAATTGTTAATGAACAATATTTTTTGTATAATGGTAAGATGAAAGAATAAGACACACGACTCCGTTATGCGTGACTATCTTTCTTGGCTCGGATTAACTTCTGCACAAAGAGCAATCAAAAATATACTTTAATTAATAGTGATAACGTTCATTTTTGTATAAGTTTATTTCTGTTATAAATATTATGTCCATGGACATGACATGTGCCTGTCAAAGAAATGTCAATTATGTCAAATGAAAGTTATCGGCAATCTTTCGATCGGTTTAGGTATATTTATTATATTTCTTAATCATTCAAATCATCATTTGTTTCAAAAGCGATTACGACCTTAAAATATTATATCATAAACCACTATCACAATCGCCATACCATTAAATGGAGTTACGAAATAAATTAAAATGAGGAAGTATTATAAAAAAATAATTCCCGTAATGAAAATTTAGATGTCGCTACAGTACTTTCTTGATTTCTCTATGACATCCCTTCCGTTTTTTTTTCATTTATAAAAGTAAATGAATTTTAAAAACTTAATATACGACTCATATTCTATTTTTACTTTTTCGTATTTGTATTGATATCAATATTTCGAACTCTGCAAAATTTTGATGTTTTAATATATTAGCTAAAAGGAATGGAAATGACTATCTTTAGTCCATACGTTTCATGCAAAAATCAACTTTTGCTAGAGCCGCCATCTAGTGAGGTGGTTTTTTGTGCTTTCTTTTTTTTTTCTCTAAAAGATTTCCTCATTAAAAAACCACCGAGGGTCAGTTGAACAAACGCCCATTAAAGGTAATGACGCCATTAAGCTCTAATTAATATCTATATTGTATGGGTAATATCGCTAAACTAATGTCAGTTTTAATGGTCATTTATGCGTAAACTTATTTCGAGTCTCCTTCGTAGGTCGTTTGTTCGCTGAGTCTGGAATTGCTATGGCTTTATGAGCTTGATCCCTTTGGCGTTATTTATGTGACAAACAAAATTGTCATCTAAATTCTAAAATTATAGTGTTTTGTTGTTGGAAAATTGTTTAAAATTATATTTTTTTAGCTTTAATTAATGCATAATTATTAAGTCGATATTGTATACATTATTTAATGGTCAAATTTACAAAAGAAAGAATTTCATCCTTCAAAGAAAATGTTTCATGATATGTAAACGAAATGAATTCAAAGCCCATCATTTATCACGAAAAACAAGTTAAAGAGCTGTGTGCTTTGCATGCACTCAATAATTTATTCCAAGTTAGTTACAAAGAATAATTTCTTGCATATTTTGATAATAATATATAAAGATAATTTCGGCTTTTCAAAAAACCGTGTAGGTAAACACTTGATACAATATTTTAAATGGTGTGACCTTGTCAATTTTCAGACACGAGGAACTTTTTCAAAGTCGGAACTTGATGGAATTTGCAGCCGCTTATCACCAAACGTGTGGATAAATCCTCACCGGTCTATGCTGGGTCTGGGCAACTATGACATCAACGTAATTATGGCAGCTCTACAGAAAAAAGGCTGTGAAGCAGTTTGGTTTGATAAAAGAAAGTAAGACATCATAACGATAATTTGTTGAGAATGAAGTTGTAAAATTTTATTCAAATAATTTTTATTTATTTACAGAGATCCAGGATGTCTAGATTTATCTAATATTTGTGGGTTTATTTTGAATGTGCCATCAGATTATAAGCTAGGATTTGTGATGCTTCCTCTTCGCCGAAGGCATTGGATCACTATACGTCAAATACAAGGCAATTTCTATAACCTAGACTCTAAGCTAGATGTACCACAATTGATTGGCAGAGTAAGTCATAATAATATTTGATTTCAAATTTGAATTCATTAAAACAAAAGGTTTGTGGTTTTTGCTAAACTCTTATTTCATTATTTCAGAGCAGTGATCTAATAGCATATTTGAAGGAGCAGCTTGAAAGTAAAGAAAAAGAACTTTTTGTGGTTGTAAGCAAAGAAGTTGAGGAAAAACAGCTGTGGATGCATCAGTATGCCCTTCAAAATTCCAGGCAAAACCCAAATTCTTGCATAGAACAGAACCAAATAATTAATTGTGACAGCCCAGTAGACAGCATGTCCTCAATCTCAGCATATGATTACAGAAATCGTGATGCTGAGTGTCTCAAATTGACTGAAGTAAGAAACTGTGTTATCAGCAAGGAAAATAATCATTAAAGCAATCTAGCAACTTGCCTTTGTGATCGCATGGCAATTTTTATGTGTTCACTATTTAACTTCAATGTATGTGTGTTGTGTGATAACAGGTGTTTTTGTAGTCTCGTTTTTAAATAAATCAAGTAAGTGAAAATTACAAACTGTTTAGTATTCGCAATTGTGAAAGCTGTGTGGGGCTAATTCATTTGTATACTGTACTTAATATTTAAAAAAAAGAGTATTTAACTGAATAATTTATAAATACTGAGTTCCTCTATGGCACTTTGGCATGGATTGCAGGTGTTCCTTGATTTTGTTGATATTATTAGATAATGTTTTGGTGTTTGTAATAAGGTAGATATTAAGTTAAAACGGCCTATTGTTACTTTAACTTAGATAATAATATTATACTTGGTATTATGCAGAATCATATTGTTTAAATTGCCAAATAATGGAATGCGTATACATACTAATTTTACACAGCTTTAATTTGTCTGATATTTTGTTTTGAAACTGATATACATTATTATATACTTTTTGCAATGCACAGATCAGTGGACGGAAGAGTTATTATAAGATGTCTATGAAGCCAAATGTTAACCAAACTGTATATTAATGATTATATAATGATACTTCATAGATAGTTAATTAACTTCTATAAGACTTTTTTACAGAGCACATTTTTGGCAAATATTTTAATGTTTCTTTGTTACATACAAACATGTGCATTTGTTATGAGAGTAAGTCACCTTTTTAGCACAATATGAAAACTGATATTTTTTTCTTATTTTAGTACATTGTTTTAGTCATAAATATTACTAAATGAACATGGATAAACAGTACAATAGGTGAATATTCTTTGGATTAATGTCAATCAAGATTAACTAAGGATTTTATTATATTTGAGAAATTTTATATTGCTTTAAGACTCGTTAGTTTTGTATACCAAATTATACACATGATAATCGTCATTTCTACAAAATATCTAATTAATATATAAACCTTTGAACTTTTTGTTTCTTAAGTCTTAAGAGAGCCCAAGACTTATTTTTTTTAATTTAAAATGCAATCCTCAACCATACATAAAAATTAATTAGGCATAATAAAATGTTTAATTTCTCCTTTTTTTTTCATCATGGCATCTAATGTATTGTTAATCGAAGATTGTAACATATTCATTCCTTCTAATGAGAAAATATTATAATGAAACTTGACAGCAAGATTTCCCAATTTTTAAGTAAGATTCTATATTGACTGTACATAGAAAATATTTTTTCAAAAAATAGTAAGTGTGAGAAAATTCCCTTGTTTTATTTGTAACTTGCCCAGTTGAAGGTTTCTCTGTCTACAATAGAATTATAGACTCTTTCCTGTTATTTCAAATGCACCTAATGACTTCTATCAAAATGTTAAAATTGTTTGCACTTTGACTGCCTATGAGATCGATTTATTTATGCTAATACTGAACCGAGTCTGATTTGCACTTGGTTAGTTTATTACATTTGTATATCTAAGATAATTTAAATACTGGGGAAAATAGGGGTGTAGGTCTAAAGAGATAAAAGTAATTTAAAGTTTCACAGCTAATTTATTGGTTGCGCACTCTCGGTGCAGTTATTGTTTTTAGATATGATGAGCCTGTCCGGATCCAGGCGCAGCTCCAGCATGATGGAGTAGATTTGTGCACGCAACGGCGCGGGTATCTCGCGAGTACGTCCCAACACCCACATGCGATCTGTAATTTGCAAGCGATTGCCGATTAACTTCGAATATTACCTACGTTGCGTCAACGCCTTCTCTACAAACATAAAATAAATACGTGTTCTATAATTATTATTTAACTAGCTGACCAATGACATACATCGTGACACGAGATTCTTAGATTGAGGATATAGTGTGTAGAATGGAGATATTTTACGATGATAAAGATGAGATTTTTCTTAACTTTTGCAGTTATTAATTCGATGTGAAAAACCAACTATTTTCTGACTGCTCATGTATTAAATAAAAAATCTCAAGCACTATGTTATTTAGAAAGAATCTGAATAAGGTTATAACATTGTGCTTTCAAAACTTCATTATCGTTAGTGATGCAATAAAAAAAAATCGCGACAAAGAAAAGTAATAACCCCAGGATGTATCTACGTTTTCACCTGAATGTGCAATGCTGACACTGGAGCAGGACCACACGAGAGCGAAACGTTCGTAGTCTGTGAACAGTATATTGTACAGGCCGGCGCCGGGCAGCAGCCGCCCAATCAGGTACGGCATTCGGTTGTTCACTTTGTACCGGAACACCGAGGACCCGTTGTGGCTCGGTATGCCGATCGCGTACGTCACAGACGGTGTGCCAGTCCTGTAATGTTATATTTCATTCGTGTTTTTTGTCCAATGACTACGGTTCCGACGGCGGCGGTGATACCTCCTTCTAATCGGTAAAGCCTGTCACATCATCCTCTATATTTTCATCGGCATCAGCATGCTCTCGTTAGTATTTTGAAAGCGGTAGATATTCTACTTTGCATTCAAAACACTACAACCACGAGTTCTCGCACAGTGAGAAGCTCTTGTACAAATTGTGGAAAAGTGATCCAGTGAATACGGTCTATTGGACTTGTTCCGTTTTACATAAACTATATTAAGCTACTAGCATGCCGAGCGTTGTCAGGTGCCGTGAATTAATGAATAACTATTATACTAAATCGATTGCATCGACAAGTCTGAATAGTCTATACTAATATTTGACGGGCAGAGATTTATTTGAATTTACGTCACCTACGGAAACCTTACACATACGCGGGTGACATTCTATTTAATTTAATATCGTGCGAAGTAGCGGCACAACAGCTAGTACATTATAAAGCGCAAGTTTAAAAGCAACTCCACTTTTATCTCTCTCATGTGAAATCAACAAGAACGATAGAGATCTTTAACGTATATCAAAATGTACTAACCATCTATTAATAGTACTGATGCTTATGTAGAAGTAGCCTTTTTCATTCAGGTTCACGTTGAGCTCTGTGCAACTCGCCGATAGCTCCATTAGGTAAAATGATCTTTCCACTTCATACCACGTGCCTGTCATCTGAAACAGTCGCTCTGATCAATGCATACAATGATGACTCGCTTTGTTGCTCTAATTTTACAAGTTACTGATAATAATAGTAATACCAATTGTTAGATTTGGGGTAGGTATTCGACTGAATATGGGTGGACAGTGTTAATGCCGGTGACTGGATTTTCACTTCCATATTATATCGATTACTTAATCATATGACTTGTTTTGTGCAGGTTAATGCCTACTTATGAAACATTGTACACACAAAAGATGAAAGAGGTCACGAGGCGTACTGCGCATGAATGCCGCAGCGGCGTCAGCGGCTGCGCAATGTCTACTGATGTGACCCTAGCTCGCTGACTCCTACAACCTTTGATGAATAGCAAAATTATTAACCTGATGTATTTTTAAAAAATTTTGTAAGACATCGTATTTTATTAAAAAATACTATTTGTCCGGCTCGAAGGACCATTACGTTAGACGCGCTCTTTTCTTTTAATGAAGTATTTCGGCGATGACACTGCATACAAAAACTAATAAACAAGTAGTAAAAAACGGTAAATGCATATACAGGTAGGTAAGTAACACGTAATGCTCTATTCGTAATACGAGGTGCCTATTTTAAATTATAATTGATGGAAATGTCGAACGACCCCGGCCTTCAATTTTTAAAAACAAGCAACTTCATTACACTTTCCAACTGCGGTTCGTCATCGACATTAATAATTATAAGTTTATCATATGTATGTAACTAAATGCATTACGGAAATATGTAGAATAATTATTAATCTATCGTAAGATTTACCAGTTTCACCATTGGTAAACATAGAAAATTATTTCAATGTTTATACGCCCCTTCAAATTTTAGAAATTTTAAGTAAATGGGGGGGTCGCCGTTTTACGAGGACAAACCGTAACCAAAGTTTATGATTATACTGGGTTTTTGCCAGCGGCTTCGCCCACGTGGTCCTATATTATAGATCATCTCATCTTGAATCACTGTGTATATTGCCGAAAAACCGCATTAGAATCCGTGGTGTATTTAAAAAATTGATAAAATGCAGACGGAAAGCCGGTTTGATTTACAATATGTATAAGTAATCTTCTTGTAGAACATAACAATATTCATCTAAACTTAAAGTGACTTATTGCAGTTTTCGAAATAATTAAATTTATATAATAAGTTTTATTTTTTCTAAACATTATATAGTTTAGAAAACAAAATCATTGATTAAGTAAATACATACAAGTGAAAAAAACACATCATTTTAAAAGAATTTAAGTGACCGTTTCGATCCAGTCGGTCAACAGTCCACATAAAATTTTAAATGCACCCAAAATTACAAAGCATTTTTAAATGTAGTGTGGTATGGAGTTCTTTTAAACTCAACCTGACGACAAATAGTTACATTCTAACACACACATGGAAAACATTGTTTTGTTACATTCATTTTGTAGATGATTCAAGATTGAAAGACTATTGCCTTCATCTCCCATTATATTAGATGAGAACAAAAATGCTAGCAACATAATTTCGCGTGTTAAAGGTGTATACTTACTTTGCTGATGTCAAAGTTTGGCAATTGTGGGTATACAGGACACTCCCCTAACCCCGTGCAGTGTACCTTGGCCATGCCAGCCAGCAGGATCAGGAGTGTCCTAGCGTTAGTGACGCGGAAGTCTCCCATGGCACTGCGCTGCTCCCTTCGGCTGACGACTCAAGAGCGTGTCGCAAACGTTGTTTTGTAAACACCAAACATATTTGTATAACACGGTACGATTTGCGTTGTTCGTTGCCTACGATCACACCTCACACTGAAACGTATACGCGATTGAAGCGTTCACTCCAGAATAAAGTTCGTTTTATACGTAACAATGACGTCCTGCGTAATTTACTACAATACTGACATGATTATATTTCTATATGTCTAGCTACATATATCTAACTAATAAATCAATGAGTGTGTTCATAGCTGGTGAGAGAAAGAGAAACCTTTCAATGAAACGGATGCAGTCCAAGATATACCTATGTATGGAATAAAAATGAAAAATATATTTTTGGGTATTACTCGAAACAAGTTTTTATTACAAAATGATCCAGAATATCAGATATATTATTTACTATTACATCATAATTTGATTACGAGAAGAATTTTAATTTATTAGATCAGACCTACATCTGGTTAGAACAAAAAGTGTGACAATTTTCAATTTTATAAATTCACTTTTCAGTTCAACGAAATAGGTATCTGTTATTCTATCTTTATTTTTAAATCCATTTTGATTGTAGTTTGTGTTTATTTTTTATCAGTGATACTTTAAATTTACGGTATAAACGACGGATTAGAAATTACTATTGGATAAATAATAAAATTCACAATCGTGCGATATTAATATTTGGGAATGTATTTTTTTAAACCGCCAAGGATTCGTCACGTTGAGGTATATTTGTCCGGTTATATTTCATATACATAGACATAGTAAATCTATCAGTTGCTTGTAATTGAATGTATAGTTTTTGAGTTGCGTAAGTGACCGTGCACAAGCTGTAATAATAATTATAAAAATTGATTTCCCACATTGTTGCATACAGAAATGGTACTGACAATATTATTAAAAACTATTGTTGGCTTTTGAGCTGTGCCACAAAAATGTTATCGTCCTGACGCTAATTTTCAGAGGTTAAAGTTGCGCATGAGTTGTAAATATAAGACTAACAGATGCACAAACGTCCATTAAGGTTTGATGACGTCTTTAAGCCCTAATGAATGTCAAAATTGTATGGGTAATGTCACTTTAAACTGATGAGAACTTTAACGGACGTTTGTGCAACTTACTGTTACTCAAGTAAATCGTCGCTATAAAAAGCAAAAGATAAGAATATCCCAACCCACATTACAAAAAAAAAAATTAAAAAGAAAAAAATACATAGCATTGAATTGCATCAGTGAATCTACGAAAAAGTCCAATTATTCTAAATATGTGTTCTATTTACATTATAAAATAATACATGTGTCGTTGAAATAAGACATAAAATAACAAAAATATCCAATTAAAATTGAAATTATCAAAACAAAATTATATACTTACATAATATAAATAAAATATCATAAAATAATGTACATCAGTAATTATCCGGAACTCAGACGATAAGTTACTGTTACTGTTAGTAATAGCAATAATAATTAAATATTTATAACCACGCTGACGTATTCATGAGTTTAGTTGCTATACAATTAAAATAATTAACTAGACTATACAGAGAAACAATTTGCCTGTGGTTTTCTCTGTATGGTCTAGTTTTTATTCTCAGCAAGAAAATGTATTTTCTCTAGGTCCTAAAATAGGATCCTACTCCGGAGCTTTCCTTGCAGGGAACCAGATTCTTCCACTCCCCTACTCACTAGGGGGGTAGAAGAGTCTGGTCTTAAACTAGGTACCGACAATAGTTCTCGTTTTTTAAATAAAACGAAGAATAAATTTTATTAAAGTTAATCTAATTAAATCAAATTTCTGTCTAGATTGAAAGTAGTGATAAGATTAAACGTCCAATTATTAACCATTCGTGACTTTACCCAAATTTAATTATAAACATAAATGAACCTTATGTCACACGCCATAAAGAAAATTCAATAAAATATTTGAAATTAATCTTTTATTAACAATGTCAACACATTTATTACTTATCCTAAATACAATTCACCATTTAAATTTTGAACCTATACAGTGTTATTAATAAACAAGGTGTAGCGTTGGAGTAAAGTTACGCTGCGACTGCACTTAGTCAAAATACATATTATTAAACATAGACTTAGCAAGGGTTAACCTAGTACGAGATTCTACGGGAGTTATATTAACTCCTAGAAGGTAGTAGGTTTGCTTATTCTCTGTATAATATGAATTTGGACTAATACTAAAATTGCAATTTTAGTTTACGCAGAGTAAGTTTACGCAACTTATTCTGACGCTAAACCTTGTTTATTAATAGCACTGATAGACGATTTTGAAACAAAAATAATTCACCAGCTATATACATAATAAGTATAATAAAATTATAATTATAAAACATAGATTCAACAAATATCATTGCAAAACGTTAACCAACTTATGCAAATATGCGGTCAGAATGAATTAAGGATTGCCACAATCATTCATTTTTAAATATTAATGAATGCACTGTTCAAAAGTTAACATTATATTTTTCTAACTCTGCAGATACATACATATTCTTGCACGTTTCAGAGATTTCAGTGTATCAAGTTGTGCGATTTCGCTAGGATGTCAGTCTGATGTAACTAACTCAATGTTAAATCAGCAACGCCATCTATAAATTATATCACACGTACTTTATAACGTAAGATACCATATTTAAGAGCAAAATACAAACTATATTAGGGGTCATCCATAAATTACGTCACACTTTAGGAGGGGGGGGGGAGTCGACGAACTGTGACGTTATTACAATATATATTTTGTTATGTAGATAAATAGGTGACAGGGGGGGGGGTTAAAATCCTGAATTTTGTGTGACGTAATTTATGGATGGCCCCTTATGATTAAATATGTAATTTGAATCATTGTGGTATCCTACTCTCACTCACTGGCATTTAAGATATTCATCCAGTTGCACAAACGTCGATTAAAATTGTCAGTAATTTAAAGCGACATTACCCATAGAAATTTGACATCCATTAGAGCTGAAAGGCTTCATTAAACCTTAATGAGCATTTGTGCAAATGACCGATTACCGCGTAATATTTGTATGTATACAAGTAAGTAAATAGATATAAAAAGTTTCGCTTGTACGGTCGCGTCGCGTATGACTCGCAGGTATATGTCTATGTTCACCACTTGATATTGAGTGTGAGGTCAGTTTTGTCGACCGCGTGGTAGGCGGTGTGGAGGAGGGCGCGCGCCTTGTCCGAGTGGTGGCCGTGCAGCGCGCGCGCGTAGAGGGCGCGGGCGGCGCGGGGGGGCGGCGCTAGTGGCAGCCGCTCGTGCGCCGCCTCCAGCGCGCGGACCAACTCGCGCCCCCCCTCCGCCGTGGCGCTGCGCACTTGCGCGCCGCCGTTTAAACAACCTACGTATTGGAGCGCGATTACAGTACTTCCCCTCTATCCATAATCATCAACCCTTTTACGTCCCACTGCATGGACTCCTGGATGGTTAAAGAGAATGGGCCACGCTGGTCCAATGCGGATTGGAGGGTATTAACGTCCTACAAATGCAGCCGGGACCAGCGGCTTAACGGGCCTTCATAATTATTTGGTCATGCATCCCGTGACCCTTACCTTACGAAAGTTGCTTAACAACAATGAGCGCGAGCCACGGCGCTTATCCATTACGCCCCCGAGCTACTTCTCACTATTAGCACATATATATTAAGATATACTATGCTCAACTAAACTCTCATTTTACTTCTTTAACATTATAAAGATCTATTGAACATTTAGATGATTTTTCAGTTTCAAGAATTACATATGCTCATTTCAATAAAAAGAAATAAATTAAGTTTACATGAACTGATGGACTTTTTATCCTACGAACTAGGTTCAAAGATTTTGGACGCATCCAAATAACGTCTGCTATTTTACCATTGTAACGATTTTAATAATAAGTAGTTTAATTGATTATTTCACGTTTCGCAAAACAATTTCAACATTTACGAACTGTATCCTAGAAATTACAGTAGAAAATGCATCAAATCATGCGTTTTGTATATTTCGGTGTATATTTTTTATGAAACTATAATTTACATAAACGAAATGGGATAGATGTAATATGCCTATCGTTAGACTGACCGCTTTTCAATAAAAGTATGGAAACTATATACTATATACAATACTCGAACACATCATATAAAATATGTCATATAAACTCCGTTCAGGGGGCCAATTCTACTAAATAAATTTTGTTTAAATCGAATCGAAAACGGATCGAAACCGAACGAAACTACAGTTTTCAATGGTTTTCCTATTCTACAAAGTGAGATACGATACAATTCCAGTTCTATTTTAGCTGGAATTATATCGTATGTTACTTAGTAGAATAGAAAAACCATTAATAACTGTAGTTTCGTTCGGTTTCGATCCATTTTAGATCCGTTTTCGATTCGATTTAAACAAAATTTATTTAGTAGAATTGGCCCCTAAGGCTCGACACAAATATGTATCGACCAAAACTTTATACAGAACTTCAAATTAATTTGACACTGTGGTAACGATACTGATTCTGAGGTATGAGGCTGTCTGATATGAAATAGATCACCTGAGGGGCACGCCATCACCTCCACGTAGTGGTACGGCGACTTCCCGCGCTTTAACTTCTGCACGAGGTTCTGTATATTTCTGAAGCCATTCGCGATCGCGAACCTCAACACTTCTTTACCGTCCTTCTCTAATGTCACCTCTCTAAAGTCAGGATTCCTAAATAAAACAAGAAACAAGCTTATACCTACAATACTTATATTTACAATAGGACCGTATCACATCATTATCAGTCTGTTAATGTCCCCATTTCTACATATCTTCGGGGTACATACCTTCCCTATGAATGTGATCAAATAGGAAGAATAGACTTCTGATGTAGCAGGGACCAAAAGCCTAAAGTGTCTACTGAAGCACGGAGGAGCTCGAAATAATAAAATTTTGGTCACCCTACCCTATGACCGGACCTTGTGAAAGTTATACTCTGGTTTAACTATCGCTTCATAGACTGAATAAGATAATCGTGATCCAATCAAGCTCCTCCTGTTTGTATATAAATGCATATTTAAGTTGAATTCTTCAAGCGTCGATGCCCTTATTTGCAGTGGCGTAACTATACCGTTTGAGGTGGCTAATTCATCGGATATTCAATTTTTTTTCCAAATTGCTTAATAATAAATGTCAGGAGAGTCTGACCGGGGGCCCCTTCCAGCTGGGGGCCAATAACGACAATAATACAGGACCTGTTACCGCTCAAAAGCGTAACGACTCCGTCGTTTGTAACAATACTTAATATATTTGCATGCTATTGTTGATGGCTAAATGGGCTGGATTCATTAATATTGTATTTCTACCTATGATGTACCTCATTTAAAGGCAAATAAATATTATTATTATTGTTTATATTTATAATCTACTCTTCCCGACCCCTCGAGGATTCCGCCCCGGCAGAGGAGGCCAGACGGCCGGGGGTCAGGGCGACAAAGAGAGAAAACGGCGGACGATCCTTGCGTTATCGAGCAAGATCGCCCGCTGGAGCCTCGCAATCATTGGTCCGTCACGGAGTCCCAACCTCTTCAGATGGTCGTGAAGAGAAGTTGGGACTAGGCCATTCGTTGACACTACGACTGGGATGATCTCAGTGGATGACACTCGCCACATATCGGTAACCTCGTGCGCCAGGTTCAGATATTTAAGTTTTTTATCTGATTCGGCTTTCACGAGGTTTTCATCGAATGGGACGGTGACATCCACTAAGAACACCCGAGATAACGCCCGGTCCATCAGTACGATATCAGGCTTGTTCGCAGGAACAGTCCTGTCCGTAATGACGGACCGGTCCCAGTACAATCGAGCGCGGTTATTATTATTATAACAATTACAAACCAAACAAAAAGTGGAACTAGCAGGTTAATGTAGTTTTAATTATTAAGCTGTGAACAACGTATGAATGCTAACGGAATGAGGTGTAACACTATTAAAATTACAATGAGTCAGGACCCATTCCTCAAACAATGAAATCTTGTCAACTAGCCCTATAAAATTTAAATGGGTTATATTTCGTCAAAAAATATGATTTGTTTGTGTGTATCGATTACAAAACTATTTCATTGGTGTAGTTGTTCAGTATTACATACATGTAAAAATATTCTAAGCACTGGAATTGTTTTTCTTTTTAAATAATTCATGTACTTGTCAGTTTTTGTACGCTGTCGATATTTTGATTTTATTTTAAAATATTTTTTAATAGTTATTAATTGGTAAACATAAAGGTGTCGTCATGTCGCACGTATACGAAAACTAACATTAAATTTGCAATTTGTTCAGGCAGTGCAGGCACTTGGGTTATAGAGGTATTACAGTACTTAATAACGCAGCCTATAAGCATACCGCATCTTTATTATCGTACAGTTGGTCATCACAATTTGAACTTTATTGTTATTTACTGAGAAATTTGCAGTTTGAACTCACCTCAAATTCTTGTAAACCAGTCGTGCATTCGTCTCGCCGAATAGATGCTCGGCTGCGTACAGAAATACATGGTCGGCGTATCCGCCGGATCCGGAGCCGATGTGCCGTTTAATGGAGGGCGGTGTGCCGTCCTCCTCCGTCCCCCACGGGTTCTCCAGCTCGCCGTCTGCTGCCTCCGATAGCGACATATTGCTATTGCCGAGCATTTGCTCTATTTCAACTATAATGATATAATTTGCATTACACACTACAATTTTTACTCATTACAATATCCTCAGTTGCCTTGATAGGCGATATGTCAATTTGTGCTTTTATATGGAAAGGATCAAGTTAATACATCTCATCACATATAAAGGACGCTCTCAAAACATATTGTAATTAAAAAATATTTTTATGCTGTATAGAATTATAATTTAAAAAATATCTTCTATGGTTAAATCACAAGTCACGTTTGCTACATGACCTTAATCTGTTACAAAACTTTTTCATATTAAGTATTTTTTGAAGAATATCGTCGATTGTGCCCTGGTCACGCTAAGGATAAAGTCTGTAATTACTGCGTTGATTAGGACGCGCCTTGAGACCACACATATTGCGATAATTAATGGCATCACAGCTTAGTGTGACCCGGCTGTTAGTATTTTATTGTTTAGTATTATGTTTGAATGTGATTTAAACCTAGTTGCATAAACTCCCATTGTTATTTGTTTAAAGTTACATTACTGTTACAAATTTCCATAGCTAAAAGTTATGTTAAATCTTAATGGACTTTGTGCCACTGGGTGGTATACGTAGCAACTTACTGGCAGTGATGACGCAATCGACGTCATGACAATTCAATAATTCGCTATAAAAATCCTCTCTGGAAGCTTCGAGTTTCTTATCGTAACACGGCATAACCGTAACATGGTATACTTCGCCAGGGATAACGCCCCGCGACTCGGAGAGCAGCTGTTTCACCAACGAACCCATTATCTGCTGTGGCGACTTGGTGGTTGATATGTGCGGTAATATAAACGAACCGTGTGTCTTTTCAGCGTAGCAGACCCAACCTGATAAGTGCATTAAAATTAAAACTTCCTTTTTATATTAAACATTTATTTGATTATTATATTTGATCAATTTTTTTAATGAAAAATGCTTAAAAAATCAAGTCTCATCTCAGAGTGCCAGGGACAAAGTGGGTTTTTTAATTAAGAATATTTATTGGATTATTAATTTAATGAAATAAAGTATTTATAAATTATCTATACTAATAATTGAAAGTGGTAATATTTCTAACTCTGTTTCTTTATTTCATTTTTTGTTTGCCTTCTTCAGAAATACTGATCTGAACATGAAAATACCTGTACTTTCACCTTCAGGCAACTAGATCATATATGTTATGTGACAGCCATATAACTACTAAAGCAAACCAGTAATTCAATATATTTACTATTATATATTTTTAAACTCTAAATACATCCCTGATAATAATATAAATGTGCAAGTCAGTTAACTGTCTGTCAGTTATGCTTTAAAGATTAAATTATCATATTGATTTTAATGAAATTTGGCACAGTGGTAGAGTTGACCCTGGGAAAGGACATACACACAAAGCTTCCTTAAAACTACAATTCTATAGTCAAAAAAGGGTTGTAATTAGGGATGAAAGTTTATTTGGATGTTCAACATTGAAAGTGGATGATGATATGGACAAAAACTAACATGAAATGAAATCTCCCAGTAATCCTTTGGTCCATAATATAAATTACATGGCGCATACAAGTCAGATGTAGATCAATGATTAGATAGTTTGAAATCAAATAACACAATATTGTGTTAAAATCTTATTTTTGTAGGTACTTTAATTCAGACATGTACTTGCAGCACACTCCTACCATGAAAATGTTAATAAAGCTTACCATAAAATATTTTGTTAATACATACATAGCATTCTTGTTATTCTTTAAAAAAATCTGTTATTACATAAATATAAAACAGCGGCACATCAGGTTAAAAAATTATTGCAATTTTCTGTTTTACATTCCAGTGCATTATTTTAAGGATTTAAAATCAAATGAACAAATTTGACAGATTTGTATAACCTAATGTGCTGTTGACTGTAACACACCTTCTCGAGTTTTTAATATAAAAAACACACCTGGACAAGAGCTAGAAAGCATTGGTAAGTTTTTTGATGAGGGCTCATTTTGTTGATTATGATAACGCTCTAAGAACTCCTGCTGTGCTTCCAGGAGTGACAGATCTTCAGCTATAGTCATATCTAATATCATGTCAGCCCCTAAACTTTTGAAGTATCCTGAAATTAAATAGCAAATTCAGAGTCAAGAAATCAATCACAGGGTATTGCAATAGTAGAGTCAATACAGCAATAGTTTGTGATAAATATAAATGAAATTTACCTGCCAACTTTTTGGTGGCTTCTTCAACACTAAGTTTGTAGCGGACAGCCAGTGATAACACAGGCTGTGGTGACAGTGATATGACAATCAGACTGACATTTTTTGTTACACCCTTATTGTCCTTGTACTTTCTCTCATTGAATACCCTAGAATTAAAAAACATGTTGCAATAAGTCAAAACAATAAAAAACAAAACAGAAGAAGAAAATATTAATAAGAAATAACTGTAAAAACAACTTATGAATAACAATATTCCACACATCAATTTTGACCGATAAATAGATATTCATATTCAAGTGATATGGACAATATGTCCTATATATGTTGAATATGAAAATAACACAATCAAATTTATAAATTATTTAAATACCTCAGTAGCTCTTCTTGACTCTGTCGAGTAACAAGCACGCTCTCTGCAGAAGTGATGCAACCACTGCACGCCAGGCAGTCTGCTAAAGTGATTTCAACTTTTTGGAGCTTCTGCTCTCTTCCTCCAGATATATCAAAGTAGCCATCCTCGCCAATTTTTATTTTTGCACCGGTTTTTGATTTCGTTTTCTCTATTTTAACAGGTTTGATACATTCCTGCAAAATCAAAGGGAATTATTTATTTGCCAAAATAAGCTTTGGAGGTTATAACTAGGAAGATGTGTTCTTTAGGACGAAAAAAAGATTTGTAATTACAAATGGAATCATAAAAAAAAGCATGGTGTCTATTATACAAACGGTACAATTAAGTTATTGAATAAGTCATTCGTTCAAGGTTTCCACTTCTACAAAATAAGGTTACCTGTGATGGCGTAATAAAGTCATCCAAATCTGTTAGCTGCAGGGCACCACTAAATCTTGATGCCATAATGAGTTTTAAACATATGCTATTGATTTCTTTATTAAATGAATTAGTTTAGAATTAAAAATCAAACTTCATGTAAACAAACAATCCGTGTAATGAACAGCTGACTTTGACAGTTTACTTTTTCCTTTTAAAGCAAAAATCTAGTGACCATGCAGCTTTGTCCTTAGTTTGAACTCTTCTACTTCTTTTAAATATAAATTATTTAAAGTATTTCGTACGTTCAAGTATTTAAATATATAATTCAGCCTTCTGGGTACCTTACCTGTTGGCAATGATCTGGGAGACATTTATTATTGATTGATGTTACCTACTAAAAATGTAATTTGATGACAAATATATGTATATATACTTTATTTATTTAACAATGGAATCTCGATCCTAGACTGCCCTTTTAATACTTTTCATCAAATCGTTACTATTTTATTTCGAAAGATAAGAATATAGAAAAATCTGCTACACTGGAGGTAGTCCGTTCCCTGCTTACGATCAATAGATATTACGTTACGTTACGACTCAATTTGCATCGCTTTGCAAAACAAAACCACGTTTTAACCCTATAAAAAAAGTTACTATAAAATCGGTTTCCAAAACAACTTTAAGAATTATATTATTTTATAGAAAAGAAATTTAGATTAATTTTCGGGAAGTTATTTTGATTAATAAGAGAAAAACCATTTAACGGCACAAGTGTGTGAAATTAACAGAACATGCCAATATTCCTCATTTATAATAAACTCTAAAATCATAAAATTAGGGTTTAAAGTGGAAAATTATGATAGTTATTTTAAGATACAAATGTAGAGTATTTTTTAGGGTACTACTTTATGGACTCTCGGCTGAAAATAGGCTAGACCGGAACTAGTGACTTTTCACAGGCACTGTTGTTCCAACCATATCATTTTGAATTTGACAAAAATTTAACGAAGCAAAACACTCATCTATTTTTATTCCTCAGTGGTTGAGTAGATTACATTATGATTGCTCCATGCAGGTATAGATACTAAATGGTCTACCTTTAAATAATAAAATTGAGCATAATCTTTGCTCTTTATTAATAAGCAAAATACCGTTATACAATTGAATGAGGTAATTTTACCACCCACACACTGCGCTCTTAAAGTATTTAGTATTAAGACATAAGCCGCCGATGCTGGCTGCTTGTTGCATCACTATACGTCGAGAAAAATCAATCAGATCTTCGCGCCTCCGCCGTCGGTTTCCAAGGCGACGTGTAAACAGTGAGGAGACGTCGCTCGAATGAAACGTTGATTCTGTGATCGCTCTTGGAGCATAATTTTTGAAACGATATTTTTGTGTTAAATAAGTTTTATGAAATATGGCTGAGGAAGGTGGAGGTACGGCTGGTGAAAAAGTAATACATACTTATCCTTTAATACGGGTAAGTAGTTAAATTAAATACTGAATTAGCGTAATTTTAAAATTATGCATAGTTACCCTTTGTTTAGATCACGCGTATTTTTTTAGATCTAAGATTTGTTTTTGTTGATTATAAGGAAATTGAAATAAAAAAATCCACTTAAAACTAATACGACGTACTAACGTCCTACGCAGTTCCACATTCACGTATTAGACAGACGTCTCGAATTTTAAACGGCTCTTTCTTCAGTATGATCCTTTTAGCCGAATTTTTCTTTTAGTTTAAAAAAAATCTAAAATACGGCAGGGTTTGATATGACGTTCTATATAGTATTTCGGCAAGTCAAGGTCCATGGGAGACAGTTCAACGTGAGCCGACGCATGGAGCGTGTAGCGTGTCGTTCGGCCGGGGCGGTCTGCGGATGCCGCCGACTGCAATATCAGATTTCTAATGACAACCCTATCACATCTTAAAGCAAATTACGTGGGTCATGAAATAACCTTGAATCAAAAGCTTTTTAAAATGGAAAATGGAGCTTTTTAAAAGTAGGTAATCTTACTTAAAATATTCGAGTCTCACGTGCCCGACGCTGGACTCGAACCTATACCTTCACAGTATCATATTTTTCTTTAAGATAAATTAAATCAATAAAATGCAAATCAAATATAATACCTAATTGGAATGCTATGTTTTCAATGTTTTTCCATACGATACATGAACCGGCTCAAATTTTTTTAAGGAAGAATATTTACTTCTAATATCATTGAAAGAAAATGTGTTATATTTATTGCTTAGGATAGAATGCGTTAGCGTCCGGCTAAGCCGATCGACAACAACCGACATCGTATTCAAATAATGCGTGCAGGATAGTATTGTTTGTTTTGGCAGGTGGCTGGAAACGTCCGGATGAGCCACATCGATCATCAATATAGAATAGCTTTGATTTTGAAAGCTCGAAGTCCACAGATAAATAACTCTCTAATAAGTTTACTGACATATGAAATTTTTGATTCGCGTCCGCCGCGACTTATTTGTTTAGACTGGTTTAACATATCATAATCTATATCTAGTGACCACTACTGTCAAATGCTTAAGCTAAGTGTGTTCAAATATTCAAAACTAGTGGCCGCCAGCGACTTCGTCCGCGTTTTTCATTATTTCTTCGCTCCTAATTCTTGCAGCGTGATGTTATAAGCCTAAAGCCTTCCTCTATAAATGGTTATTCAACACAAAAAGAATTTCTCAATTCGAACCAGTAGTTCCTGAGATTAGCGCGTTCAAACAAACAAACTCTTCAGCTTTATATTAGTATAGATATCTACTTTACCCCTTAATAGTATCATTTGGAGTAATAAGACTTATTCTTCTTCTTTTTGATACATCGTGTATATAAGAATCTATTTAGGGAACAACGATGGGCAGCGGGTAACACGTTGGCCGGTTATAGGATGGGTGACCAATAAAATGTTATATCTAGGATCTCCGTGCTTTCGAAGACACGTTAAGCCTTTGGTCCTGCCTGCATCTGTAGACGTTAACACCTATCAATCAATGCTGGGACTGCTTGGTGGAGTATGGCCCGTTTTCTCAATTTAATTATATCTATGGGAAAGCCTGTGCACTCACACAGTACAGCAATAAGCTGATGCTAATAATACTGAGGTACCTACTATAGCTTAACTTTAGCCCCTTTATTATTAGTCCACGCTTTTAAACTAAGGCAAGATCGCCTACGTTATTCATATCATTTTTTTTTCTCAGGCGTAGGTAATTCGACCTTGATATCATTGTGGCGTAAATGACGTGAGAACACATTTAGCCTACTGAATGGACAATTATACTTATTTTGCTTCAATCAAGATTTTTAGAGTTCCATATCAAAAATGTAATAAAAAATATGTTTAAAAACTAAAACCCGAATAGCGTTTTAAAAAGTTTGAAACAAGAAGTTTATTTTAAAGCGGTAGCTATATTTAATAGCGATGACAAAAGGACGACGTAGTCGTATCGTGTGTCACTGATCATAACAAAACAAGCTGCTGTGGCAATATATATGTATATATCTTGTTTCAAACTTTTTAAAACGTGATTTAGCTGTAATCGGGTTTTAGTTTTTAAACTTATTTTTTATTACGTTTTTGGTATGGAACTCTAAAAATCTTGATTGAAGCAAAATATATATATAAATATATAATTAAGCATAATTAAGCCCTTGCATTTGATATCTTACTTACTTTATGCTCTCTAGAGGACGCTGTTGCCAATTTAATATAATGTCCCTGCCTATAGCACGCGGACAACTAGGACACTTCTAATGATATAGCATTTGTCCAGTTACTATGAGTAGTTTTAAAGTTGTAAGGAACAGATGAATATTTTACGTACATTCATAGTGGTCAAAATCATAACCCTCCTTTTCGCTTCGCCGAAGTCGGGTAAAAAAGGGATCTATTCACTTGGGAAGGGTCCATTAAGAGTGCACTTATTGAATTTGAATAATTTTTTCCATGCAAGTAGCTCTGAAATTTAACAGCTGTTGCCTATGTTCATTCCAATTATGAAAAATGAAGTGCTTTTCAAAAGAACAACGCGTTATTACAAAAATGGGGAAAGTTACAAGAAAACATTATCTCACGAAATTCTAATGTCGGCTGAACATGCAATTTTACATCGGGCTATTGGGTGGGGTTTTGTGAAATCTCGTGTTAATGCGAATAACCAGAATCAATTCCTGAACTTAAATCAGCGATCCAACGCGTTAACGGTGAAATACAGCCAAAACTATAATAATTATAGCAAATTTCATGAAAAGAGTAATGATCTGTCATCAGAGCTGTGGGGGTTTTGTATATTATTAGGTAATTCTAATTAATCAATTCTGAACCATAATAATATTAAAGATGAAAAATGTATGAAAAGAATTATTATTGATCAATTTTGCATTCACAATGCTATACTGAAAAATATTCTTAATGAAAAAAAAATGGTCATGGGTTCGAGTCCGGTCTAAGAGTGTGGATTAAAAAGCATTTTTCATTAAGAGAATGAAAAGAAGTAATCTTCACCGTCCACAAATAAACAACAACACAATTCTTTTACAAAAATACTATATGTAAGTAAATAAAACACCGAATTTAATGGTAAATAACACACAGCAGTCGAAACGATTCCTGAGTAAAAGGGTTTGCTCGCTAGAAAAGGCCACTGACACACAATGAATAAACTCTACCGTTCCTTTTTCCTTTTGTGGCACAAAACCCTTAAAAATTGTGGGTATAAATTGTAGAAAGAGTAGAGATCACCGTCCATAACTTGACATCATTACTTTCCAAAATATATCTGCATATATTATTTTGTTACAGCATTCAGATATGTCTGAGGAGATGCGCACCGAAGCGATGGAGTTGTCGGTGACGGCCTGTGAGAAGTTTTCACAGAACAACGAGTTAGCCGCACGCATGGTGAAGGAGTCCATGGATAAGAAGTTCGGCCCCGCGTTCCACGTAGTTGTAGGCGAGAGCTACGGATTCGAGATCACATACGAGTGCACCACCATCTGCTACATGTACTTTGGCGGCAACCAAGCCATCTGCATTTGGAAGTGCTCGTGAAACGTGCGTGTGCGTGGACTCTATACAGCTCTCATATTGTTTACCTCGTCGAGTAATACGTAACAAGTCTTTAATGTAGGTATTGTGCGACCAGCAAGGACAAAATTAAAAATATTTTTACTTATATGAAAGTCGCGATGAAGTTGCGTGCGTGCATCGTGTGCGCGACGTTTCATCGGATCGACGGACTAGAGACGAAGCGGGATGGAGGGTGATGCGCTGCGTTGTTGGAGTTTCGTCTTTTCCTTATCGTGGCGTCAAACAACGCAGGTGTAGCATATGTACAAACTAGAATGCGTCGTGTCCAAAATGATTAAGAATGCAATCCCCACTTTCTAATTCGTGTTATTATTTTTCAAATTAATGTCTATAGGGTCGCTTTGCAGTGGCGAACTAAGGGGGGGTGGGGTGGACGCGGCGGTCCTTCCCGGGTCTCTTGTTCTGGGGAACTTCCAAATGGCTGCGAGTTATTGCCTATCTTTATTATGTCCAGTTTCGTAGTTTTAGCAGGCGTCTTAGCGCACTATATACCCCGTATTCGCAAAATCAAGTTTCTGCCCCGTTTGGAAAAAGTAGTAAGTCCGAGCCTGATGCCGCCCCGGACGCCCGATTAGGTTAGTCCGCCACTGACGCTTTGGTTACTGATGATGAACGTGGAATACGTGGGTTATGGCATGATACTAGAACATTAAGACTTGTGTAGAAGCCAGAACTATTTGATGAGCAAATTTAATGTTAACTGTAAACACTCAAGCAAGCCCACTTTTTTATCAAGTATCGGTAAAAGCTGCCTTATACACACGGCCTCGCGTCACTCTACACACCACCACCGTAAGCAGACCTTTGTTAGTAGGTAAGTTCTATACGAAACGAAGATCGGTACGAAGTCCACAATATATAGTTTGACGTGCGGCCGTGTGTACATTGGATTTGTAACACTGGAATAACTACTATACGATTAATTTACTGCAAAAAATGTAAAAAAGTTTAAAATAATTTGGATATAAGGTTCTTAATTTTTTTCATTGATTTACTATGTTGGATTGCAGCCAAGCGTTTGAATATTTTCACGTAAGCAACACGGCACGTAACGACTCGAAAAAAGTTGTAAATCGGTAACAAAGTAAGCCTTTTCTTATGTAAAATACTAAGAATCATAACACCGAACCGTGCAGTCATAACCGAGTTCTAAAAACAATTCAAACAACCAATTTGCATACACTAATAATGACATTATTTGCATATTTCACATGGTATTTATTTTATTTTACGCGCATTTAATTTAGGAGTGCGAGTCTTGAGGCACGTTTAGCTTGGTAAAATAATTGGTTTTAAATATAATTGCATAAACTTAACAATAGAATAAATAATATTTCTTCTAATTCATATTTACATACTTATTCAACTTCTCGCCTTTGAAACGTGATATTTACAATTGATCTACGCAATATTCGATTGCGCTATGATATATGTATAGGTACCAAGCATATTTACATTTTCCCCTTCCGAATCCGATGAGGGAATCTAAATCGGAAGGGTAGAACCCTCAACCCTCGATTATTGTAACGTGTGCGCTTATTTAACTATAGGAACTTTTCATTCATAAGAGTATATCTAAAATAAGCGTGTATACTTACACATACTATGTCATTACTACCATCATCGTCTCAACAAATAGCTGCTCTTATTCTCGGCTCAAAAACACGCTATCTTTGAAACAGACAAATGACAAATTTTACCTACAAATGAAGGTATCAGATTACTTGTATGCATAACTTTCAAGTTTAACTATTACATTAGAATCGACAAATTTTAGATCCACTATTCACAGTGAAAGTGCCTTCTCATAGCATTGCTTTCATATTTGTGTTTGTCAAGTGACAATAGAAGATTAAATATGTACTTATTTGTTTGATCAACTAATATGCTTACTGATTCCAGAAACAGGTCAAATTTTCGTTCTTATGCCAAAAACAGAGACCGTTGTGTTAATGAAACAGCAGTGTTGTTTTTGACAAAAGGTGTATCAGAGGCATTCTCACGGTTTTATGTTATTCTTGTTTTGAATACTTAAAACACTAAATCAAGACCGGTATTTCGGTGACTCTGACTTCTTTATAGAAATTCAACTTTAAATAAGCATATAAAATATAAAAATGTAATAACTATTGTTTTGACTGTTAGTAGTAAACACTTTTTTTGTATTTACTTCTAAAAATCTGGAGAGCAACGGGATAATGTGGGCCTCTTCTGCGTAGGTTTATCAGGCGGTAATTTCCGAACTAGTTTCGAACTACCGCCGGATGAACCTACGCAGAAGAGTTCTCCGGAGCTAGCTTTAAAAATCCCTAGTGTTCCTTCTCCGTGGGGGTGAGACACGGAAAATCGGAGGCGAATCACCAGAAAATTTGAAGCATTTACCTACCTATACAAAAATATTATCAAAAGAACTATAGAAAACTTGACTGTCGCTGCCGTTGTGCTTTAATGGCCATAATTATTATTTAATTATAAAGCCTGACACCAAACAAACTTTTAACCTTCAGCTAAAGCAGTGTGAATTTCAATATTTCTTAAGAAGCAATTATTTTTTTGTGAGTTTCTCATTAACCTTGCTTGAGTTGTTGGTTAGATCCTTTGTTCATTGAGTCTTATTGTAATGATATCGGTAATGGCTGGATTTGTTCTCGTAAGGCAATTTTTATAATTGTTTAATACAGGATATACTTTTAAAGGTTTTGCTTTGTGTTAAATGTACAACAAAATCAAGGCCATAATTATTTAGAGATAATTAAGATAATATTAGTTTCAGAAATTATTTTAATTAAAAACAAATAATGTATTATTAGTAAATAAATTATATTTTAAAAGTAATAAATTCTAAAATGTTTTACGAAGATTTCGTTTTTTATATGTGGCAAATATTGTACTGTCAAGCTCAAGGGTATGGACGAGTCCCAATAGCCTTGCATCTAGATACAACGACCCATCAAGGGTCGCGCGATCCAACGTTCCGAGGCATGGATCATGCATTGGGAATCGTTTTATTCTGACGGCTGCAATTTAATCTACACCGCACGTGCAAAGTAACCAAAAATGGATCGCGCGCGCTCCAAATTTTAGCTTGAATCGTGTGATCTAATGTCCTCACCCAGTCCAGAGCATGTTGGATCGCTCGTTATGGCTCCCGCTAATGGGCTATCACATAAGACAAAGATAGTTATTAATTTAATCCCACCATAGTCCTACTGAAGACTTTAGGTATACGCACAAATTGGGGCTATTTATTTATGACAGAAGTGTATGATATTTGGGTATAGTAGACAAATATTTATCAAAGACGTTCAACTAAGTTTTGTAAGGTCAAAGTCAAATAAAAGGTTTGTTACGCGATAGTGTTATAATGACTGGCTTTAGCTGATATGTATTTGGCAAGTTCCCAAGTTTTGAGTTACGAATCCAATTCCAAAATGATACAAAAATCAAAGTCTATGTTACATTTTCAATAATAATATTTATTTTGATTAATATATAATACAGTCATTAATTTCAATAAATTCTGTATAAACAGCGTCTAATCCTGCTTCCCTTTGTTTTTCGGTTTGAATAATACTTAATTTATTACATTGTGATGAAAGGACACGAGTATGATCAGCATAAAACTATACTTGTGTTGTTTTTTGTCAACACCCCTCGATCATAACCGCGCTGTATGAACCCATCCATAAACAGTAATTTAAAAGAAATAAATAAATCATTGTAACAATTATCATAGCGGGATCAGGATTCCATGACAAAGTTGTTATACCGACCAACTATTCTACGTCTTTTACAAACATTGGCACATAAAGTGATCACATAATACATACATACCTAGAGTAATACTAAACTTGTTCCGTACGAAAGCTAATACAATTTCTCAATAGACTACAAATATTAAAATTCACGTAGTACCAACTATACGTACATTAGTATATCTATCAACATACAGATTGTTATGAAACGTTCATATAAAAATCTACACAACTCATACAATATTGTAAACATATTCAACTTATCTAGATACAATCTAACAATAAATGTTTGAATACATTATAACATTTTAGGCACGACTTTATCAAATTCAACATGTAACGAGTACATGACGCGCACTGGGCAGCTTAGGAAAACTATTATTTAAGCACCTCTATATTATAAAAATGTGGAAATAAGATCATCACAGTGCCTCTCCCCCCCACACTAGGATTCCGATAAAATGGACAGACGTTTTGTGTGTTATTATTATGATAGTGCGTATTGGGCACTTTTTTAAGTAGGATTTTGTTCTTTTTCGTCTTTCATAGAACGAGTAGTGTATGACGAATATCTCACCTATGGAACAACTGTTTGGAAGTATGGAGGTACAATTATTACAAATAAACCTATATATACGACACTAAATATGCTTAATCAGAAAAAGAGGCACCTACACAAGATACCTATTTTTCTGATAAAGCATTGCTGATGAAAATTATGGGTGATATAATAATAAAGAACACATCATATGGAATGAAAAGTATTGAATGTTATATTACTTATATAGGAAACTGTATAACATATAATGATGTATGAAAGAAGTAACTGATTCTTAAATGTTTACAATTTACCGCGGTTTTCGTTAGATATAGTTTTGTTACAAAGAAAATGTTATGAGATATAAATTAGTCAGTATATTAAATTTCAAGCATATTTTATATTCCAAAAGATATAAAAACAAACAAAAACCATATTATTATATAATCATAAGTAATTTAAAAAGCCACTACTTATATTAAATAGATAAGTATGTAACACAATCATTTGTCAATATCAGATGACACGATAAATCATTTTAAACTTACGTGGTACTGACGTAAGAGTACTAGGGAATTAACTCGAAAGAGGGTAGATCGATATATCTGCCTATAACATTACCCGCTGGGCTTCAGTTACCCTTCATTGTGGCACTTGCAACAGTGCCGAAATATCGGGTACTCCTACAAAATAGGGTATATATTGATGCCGCTAATAATTTTATTATTCTGACATGTTGTTTTAGCACAACAATGAGAATGTAGAGTA